AAAACATTAAGCTTGTCTGCTGCACATTGGTTCCTTCTGCTTGCCTCACATCTGCTTTCTTGTGTGACATTTGGCTCAGCCTGGCCTTCTAGCCCTGTCCCGCAATCGTTGCTCTCAAATCTGACGAAAATGTCCGGCGCTTTGATGGACAAGGCCATTGCAGACCTGGCTGGCAAACAGATGCTTCTACGTCTCTTAGAGAAGCCAGACCACAGTCCCATTGATTGTGAGACACCCTTGGCCATGGACAAGTTCATTGCGGAGGCTTGCCGGGAATGTGTCAAGGTCCAGCCCTTTAGGCTCGTCTTTGATGTCCATTTGTCCATGGAAGCCTGTGGAGACCCTGCTGAAACTTCCAAGAAGCTCTCCGAGTCAGATGTGGAAGGCCTTCCAGCAGCCATCAAATTCAAAGCCCCTCTTCCTGAAGGATCCAAGGTTGATTTCATCCATGTCAGCAAGGACGATGGTAAGGTTGACGTCCTGAAGGTGATCTACACGTCCCGTCCGATCTCTTCCCAACTAGCCAGTTCTTTCTGCAGTGGCAAAATGCACTTACCTGTCCATCGAGCAGGCCCATGGAAAGTGAAGAAAGCCACCCAATGGCTTCTAGGTCAACTTGGTGGTTATCAGCTCCGCTGGCATGTCTTAGAAGAGAAGACTGCAGACAGTGCTCCACCAAAACCTTCATGGTCCCCATCAAATGCTGAACTTGAGGAAGGCGTTCTGTTCATCAACGCGCATGCACCAGAGTGTGACGCACAAAATGAGCAGACCCTGTGGATCCTCATAAACATCAAGTCCGACTCCGGCACGCCAATTGCCAGCTGGCCCGAGCCAAAGGTTCGGCTCATGTGCCAGAACAAAAGTCGAGGACAAGCGGGAGCCGTGAGCATGACAGAGTTCCCTTTGACTACCTACAGCCTCAAGCCCTTCTTACACTCAGCCCTCTTGCCTCTCCTCTACCCCTTGATGCTCAACTTTGGCGTGTTGTTGCTGGGGTGTCCAGGAGTTGGCAAGACTCCCTTTGTTGTGATCTTGGCAATGGCCCTGGGAAGGTATCATGTACGCCAGAGTGGTGATACAAACTTGAAACCTGGGTGGCGTAGGGCCAAGTCTTTGGACAACTTTCGTCACCGCGCTCCTCGCGTTCAAGAAGCCTTGTTCCTTGATGACCCTTGCCGCGCCAAAGTGAGCATGGCTGACTTGAAGAGTTTCCTGACTGTGGATGAGGATGGAACTGTTGAGTCCCGCTACAATGATACCCGCCTAATCAGGAATCAGTTGCGGGCCTATGCCTCCAATGATCTGAAAGATGACTTGGAGGAAGAGCAAAAGATTGGAACTACTCTCCCTCCAGGACGCTTTCTGGTCATGCTGGATGACTTGTTTGCCGGGGAGAAGGAAAAAGATGTTCTGGCTGTTCTGAAACGTTCCATCATCTTCGTCTTCACCGGTATGGCTCTATACTTGCGCTTGCCCAGTGAGAATAAGGAGGCCATCATCCACCGCATCTGTGTAGACGACTTGCACAAAGACTTGCTGGCTGACAAAGACAAGCCCTTCTATGGCAAGTACAAGGCAGGCTCCATGGAAACTGGCCCCTCTTTTGATACTGATGTAGGTCGAGGGCAAAGGATGCTGGAGCAGGCAATGAACACAATGGCAGAGTATGAGGAAGTCCAGGGTTACATTGAGTTCGTCAACGGCAAGATTCAAGATGCACTGTTCCGATCTCAGGACATCCGCATTCTTCCAGGCTCTCCATCGTCGGATGACGACGACCAGGTGCCTTTGGCTGCTCGTCCTGTGCCACCCATTGGAACTCATTGTTCTGGTCGTCGTGTTGGTCCATTTGTCTATCCTGGCCGCCGTGTGCGGAGGAAAGCAACACCTGTGTCTCAAGAGCTGGAAGAGTTGGCTCAGGCTGCCGAGGCACAGACTGCTGTCTTGGAGGATGGCACCAATGATGAGATGGACTTTGAAGCTGCTCTGCTAGACACCGCTGCAGATGAAGAGGCAGCTCATGCGCTAGGCACTCTTGATGCTTAGGAGTAGCTACTGTAGCTTCACCAATTTATTGTGCGTGTACTTCACGTGCAATAGCTTGCGTACATGCTGTCGTTCCGGATAGACAGCTATCGCATTGATCATATCTGGGGAAAAAAGTTTGTCCCACAGCTTCTTTTGTCAACGGAACTGAGTTTGTCTACCCTCATGCTTGCAAGCGCTTGCAAATCATTCCACTCCAAGTCCACCAGCACCATACCAAACCTAATTGCTCATTCAAATTCAGTGTCTGATTCAATTTTGTCACTCGTTATAGCTGTTTGGTTTCCGCCTAGCTCCGAAATTGCGCCTTGCCATGTCCAAGTTCAACAACTTTCCCGTGCCCAAGAAAGGTAAGCTACGTGCTGTATTGAAACGGCCTGCGAGCATGAAGACCAAGGCATGGAAGCAAGTGAAGTATGTGCGATCCCCTGATGCAGTTCCTGAAGTTCGCATGGACCGCTGCAAATGGAAGCGCTCCTTGGCACAAATTTTGCAAAGCTCTCCATCTACTTTGGTGAAGATGCTTCGTGAAGATGGACTTCTTCATAAATGGGAAGGGCATGTCTGTCCGCGATGCTGCCGTGGCACCCTTGGTGGCCTTCAACAACTTGGAGGTTTACTAAAGCATAGATGCAGTGCCAAGAAATGCCACACCTACATCAACCCGCATCATGCTCACCCCATTTTTGTGGATCATTGGGGCTCTTCTTCTACACCGCTTGCCACCCAGGCATGTTTACTGATGCTCCTGCTCAACCGTGTTTCCCACCCCACCATCCATCGCCTCCTGCATGTGAACCATAAGAGCATTGAGGATATGGAGAAGAGATTAGGCCAGCTACGTGAAAGGTGGGTCAGGAACAAGGAGAAGGACATCAAATTTGGGCAAGGTGGAAAATGGCAGGACGTGGAAGCCGATGAAGCCACGTTTGACAAGAAGGTCGTGAATGGACAGCTGCACTGGGAGCAGTGGTGCGGCATTGTCCAAAGAGGTAAACCTCAGACGCTTGTCCTCCATCGCTTGAAGCCAGTCATCTCCAAACTTCGCGCTCCAGGCCCCGGTGCTATTCGAAAAGTTGAATGGCAACCATTGGCTGTGAAATGGCTTCAACACCGTGACATTATTCTCCACACCGACTCGGCAAAAAGTTATGCCATCAAAGTCAAGGGTGTCCTCCATGACCGGGTCATCCACAAAAAGAAGCGGGTGAAAGTCAATGGAGAATGGAAATGGCTCACTCCAAAGTATGTGGAGTTGCACAAGCATGTCCTCCCCGGCAGCAAGAAGGCAATCACAGTCAAAAAGGGCACCCAGATCATTGACAGATGCTGGCGTTTCCTCAAAGACCGGTTGAACATCAACCAGAACTGCAAAGTTGGCAGCAGTCTTCTGCGCATCCGGTTGCGCTCTGCTCAGTATGAGTACTGGCATAGGGGGCACGATCTGTGGTTGGCAACGGGTTCTCTTGTTCAGTGGTTCTTGTTGAAGGCCTAGAGAGCCCAGCCACCACAGCGGGGCAGAGTTCAAAAGAATCAGCGCGTCGCTGCTAGCACCTTCTGCTGTGTTCTAACCTTCTTGACTTTGCTGCCATCGCATATCTGTGGGCTTCCTATGTAAATTTCACGTCTATTTGCTTCAATCATCTGCTTCAATAATCTGATTCTCATGTCCTTCCTGATCCATCATCTGCTGGCAAATGTCTTCAACATATTCATGTCAATGCTCGCTCTGCACGCATGCAGGCCGCTCAAGGTGGGTATCAGGGGGGGGGGTAGCATATATATATATATATACATATATATACATATATATATATACATATACATATATATATATATATATACATATATATATACACATATATATATATATATACATATATATACATATATATATACATATATATATATACCCTAAGCGTCTAAACCCTACAAAATTGTAGGTTTTCAACTGAAACCTCGTGTTTACCCGTGACACGAAGATAAACCTCGTGTTTTGAAGTAAAAACTCGGTTTTTTCCATCATCCCTCCGATTGAGGCCTCGCAGTGCTTCGTGATCTGGCTCCACCAGTGTTGAACATGATATCAGTGGCCCATGTTTGCCCCCTATGAAGATAATTATTTTTTTGTTAGGGTCATAGACTCTGGTGGTCACTCTGGAGTTCCCAAACCAATTCTTTTAGACTGAGTCATCTTATTAGACTTCATTGGTTTGGAAACTCAATGACTATTCATATCACAGAGGTACCGGCTTGGTATAAGATTCTCCCAGCGCCAGGACATGCCGATCCTGAGCCACCAGGATGATGGCTGAGTTCCAGCGCTTCCCACCTACTGTTGATGGATCTAAGTCTCGAAGCCCCCAGGGTCTGGAAGGTTGGGAAAGCGGTTTGACATCAGGGTCCTGTCCATCGCGGAGTGATGCATGCTATGCTGCAAGCTGAAAGGCAATGCCATGCAATGCTCCTGCCTAGCTTGATTGCAACTTTTCATTGTTTGTGATGTCCGTAGTACCATTTGGGAAGTCTGTAGTATCCAGGTAGGGACTTGGAGACTTGGAGCCATCAACAGTATCTTCCCATTTAGTGCGCCGGTGCCAGCGGGACCGCCCCAGACATGCCTAGATGAAAATGGGGGCGACGAATCGCCACAAGACATTTGCGGTGCCGATTTCACTGCATTTTGTGAAGGTATTACACATCATATGGTCCTCTAAGTACATAGCAGTCCTCTTTTTGTGTCCCTTGGTTTTTCTTGAGAACAAAGAATCTGGCTACCCTCTGGTAATTTAACATAGCTATTGAAAATGGTGATTTTCCATAGTTATGTTAGTTTACCAGAGGGTATATCATTGGTGATGTGGCAGTGAAGTTTTCCAGAAGTCATCAGCCATGGGGTGCCCTCTCCGTGACGCGGCTCAAGGGATGCTCTGCCCCGCCGTTTTTTAGCCATGGCTCCAGGACTTCAGGGTCTTTGTCTGTCGCATTTACCCCAAACCTCCCCAAAAAACAGTGGAAAGTGATAGAAATCAGGTATTATAAGTGTCTGTGACTAGTAACCATCATATTTTCCCGTTTTTGAGATGATTTAGAGATGGTTGGGCTCCCAAAGTTTCAGCCACTTTGCGGCTTGCGCGCAGGAAACCTGGCCCTCCCTGATGAGCCAGACAGTCCCAACCGTGACAGCAGCAAAGCGTCGTCAACGGTGCCCTGCAGCGTTTTGTTTTTGGGGTCGAGGAGGACATGCTTCACGGTCAACTCCACGTCTTTCAGAACGATTTGGGATCCTTGACAGGGTTGGAATGGACTTTCCGATCCAAGCTGCAGGAAGCGCAGGAACTAGTTGTAGTAACATGTAGTAACTGCCTTAAGCAACGCCACGCCAGGGTCGTCCACGATCTAAAGCATCGAGCCGGCTGACGGAGTTCTTGGAGCGCCAAAGTGAGTAGCGAACCCAGTGGGATGAAGGTAAATTCCGAGAGTTGACCATCAATGGTATCAACCTTTTATCAAACTCAACCATTGATGCCAATGTATTCTGAATGTATTTGAACCGAAAGTGATCAACTGGACCTGGATGAATTGCGCCGACATTTTGAAACTTTTCTTGGACTTAGATGGGCTTCTCGGTCGTTTAATCCACTTTATTCCACTGACACGTTCAGCAGCGGATCAACAGTTTTCCTAGGCCCACGCCGCAGTATTTGATCCGACGAGCCACATCCAAAGTTCATCGTGAGCTGGTCGAGGATACAAGGCCGCGCCACTGGTTGCAGTGGAGCATCGAAAATTTTGGACCCACACTGATGTAGTCTTCTGTTATGTGGAGTATTTGCATTCACCATCCGACTTTTTGGGGTATGCCATGCTATCCTCTGCAAACTAGACAAAGTCCATCACAAGAATGTGAATTTGAAAGCGAATGAAAGCGATGACTTTGCTTGTTCGATTGTCGTGGTATGTTGCTGCCAGGAATGCAGATGATGCTGGATTGCTCGGCAACCAGGGTCCAGAGGCATGGGACATCATGGGACTGCTCGGAAAAGCCGAGATCATATCCAAAAAACATATGGATCGGCATGGATCGACTGATTCCAACTCATTTTTCCCGTTTTCTTTGATCATTTTGATCCGAATTGCTCGATCCGTGTGCGGCCGCTTGCCAATGGCTTATATGATATGCCACCGCAGGGATTTCGCCGTCTGCTGTCCCGAAAGTTCGGCTCTGTAGCCGCACCGGCCTGTTTGAAACGGCGCCGAGCTGACCTGCGCGGTGTCAGGCCCAACCCAGGCCCAACCCAGTGAATTCTGAGGCAGCGGCTTGGCGTGTTTCTTTGGATCCAGATGGCAATGGTCAAATTTCCTTCGGCCGGGATCTTGGGAAAAATACTTAAAGTATCAGTGACACCAAAATGACTTGGGATTTTGAAACACGAAACATCCAATTTTCGAAATTCACATTGTTTACCTGGATTCACTAAGGCGAGTTCAATCATCGATGTCGGCAGATGGGCTTCACTGGGAACCTGCGAAAGTGGGGGTCCCCAGCGGTTTCGGGATGTTCTTGTCACAGGTTCAACCAACGTGGGCTTCAAAACAAGATGAGTAATTCCTGGTTGGGTTTTAGTGGGCTGTCTTCCCATTAAAGCAGTGATGATTCCGAGTTGACGTAACTCTACTTTCCATATCACTAAAGAACTCTTCCGCGTGACCTACAGATCCTACAGCGACATCTTTTTCGCTGTCAGGCTCTGGGGCGAACTCGATACAGAGAAGACCGGCTTCATCTCTTTGAAAGAGATTGACCCGAAGGCGTTGGATCCGGCGGGATCCAGTTGGATCGTGCTGCTGATGTCATGAAAGATCAAAGGCAAATCATCTTGTTACTATGATGTATGGATATGTATGGTAAGTTCTTGGCAGTTCTTGAGGTCCGATTCCTTTTTGGATGTACCTGTGTTTGATCCAGAAGACTTGCGAATTTTCTGCCTTGGAGGCCTATCAAGAGCTTGAAGACTTCAGGCAGGAAACTGTAATCAAACATGGGCAATGGGACAATTCCCAATCGCCCCATTTGATGATTTCCCCATTGTTCAGTGCCCAAATTAATGTTCGGGGATTTTTCCAGCCAAGTTTGATTTTCCCAGACGGCTTCCGTCAGGGCCCTTTGCCTGGACAAACACGGCAACATGCTCAACGCATGGCACAACGGCAGCTCGCCGCGATCGTGGTTGGATCAGCACGGTTTTCGACTCTCGAGTGGGGGATTTCACCGGTAGACCCAAGAATTTTTTAATGACCCCCAGTTTGAAGATTTGTGAAATAACCACTTTAGCATAGCCCCCAACTGGTAACATAGATTAAAAAGATTAAAACAAGTTGGTATGGCTCAGTGTTGGGTTTGACACATAAATGATGATCACTCCAGACTTTGCTCAGGTTTCAACATCGAAAACAAGCCTGGAGTGCCCGAGACGGTTTTCATCTCGCGCTGCCAGGACTACCGGGGTCAAGAACAGAGACACGTCCCCATCGGGATGAGAACATGGGGCATGGGGCATCAAAATATCCAGAAAGCATCATTTCAGATATCATATGATATGAATCAAACTTGTTCATATTTTTGGGGAAGAAGATTTATCCTTGGTCCCGCAACCTGAAGAATTTGCCCATGCTAGGCTTTATACCAGTCACACGTACTATTTGAAAGCCCAATTGAACACTGATTTTGGCAATATTTTGTGGTCAGGTCTTCTCTTTTTTGTGTGCCTGTAGTGCCGCCATATTCTGACTCTATTTGTGCCTGATGTAACGTTGGAAACCACAAATACCTTTCCACAAGGCGGCCCATACACAACATCAGCTTTCCCTTCCATGGACGTTTGGATCAGGAATTGGGCTTCGAAGGCTGGGGTACCTAGAATTGTCATGGGTGAACCCAGAAGTAGATCTGTGGAGCCTTCATTGATTCCTGGTAACTTTTGGGCGTACATGTGGCTTAAGGTTTTAAGTTTGCTTAAATTAGCTCAGATATGTTTATGTTCAGATTCTTCTGGAACATACATATTGTTGTACAACACATGTGTGTTTACATGTGATGTATTGTAATATATACGCGTGTGATACACATCTACATCTACATGTATCTGCATGTATGTACACATATGCATTATATATGCATATATATATAATATATATAATATACATCTATAATATATATATATATAATATACATCTATAATATATATATATATATAAAATACATCTATAATATATATATATAACACATCTATAATATATATATATAATATGTATAGATTATAGGCAGATGTATTTTCATCTCCATCTGGAGGTTTGATGTCCATCCAGTCCTGGCTTAGGTGACGGTCACCGCCTCTTCAAGCTTCTCCGAACTGACTGGAGCCGCCAGCTGTCCCCAGTGGGTTGGCAGCTGCTTGAAACATAAATCGGTGGTGAGCAGTGAGCCAACTCCGTTTTTCTGAAAATGTTCTTCAAATTTCAGATGTTGGGTTTAGCAATTTGGTACTGTATCTTGTGTATCTTGTGGATCTTATGTTTTGGGGTGGTGATTTTAGCCATCTGCGAGAGCGTGGAAGCCCGTGGAAGCCCAAGGTCGCGAGTTGAAACTTGAAGATTTTGACCCGCAAACGGGCGAAGCAGTTTACAGGGCTCGGACACCCGGCACAGCTTCTGGAGATTCGACTGGTGTTTGACGCAGTCAGTTTTATCGATTTGATTGACGCACTTGCGTACGACTTCCAGGCACAACATGAAGGTGTTTAATGGTGTTTTTGAAGTTCCAAAATAAGGATAGAAGATATAGAAGGGTCAAAAACTGCAATAGATAAGTTGATAGAACTTTGAGATATATAAGTTGATAAAAACCAGGAAGACGATCATTGAACACTGAACTTCCCAAACATTGGGATATAATGATATAGCTCCCCAACTCAGCTTAGCTTCGCTGAAGCCAGGCTGATCCTTGTGCGGAAGCCATCAGTTATGGAGGTGGGAGAAAGGTGGGGCCCTTACCTCCAGATCCTCCAGGATCACCTTCGATGGGTGTGATTTTTGGCAGCACCTACTGGACCTACTGTGATACCCCTGGATCCCTGAGGCCACAGCCGCTCCAAAACCCAAGGTGGGGGTCGACCCGACGATGCGCGTATCTAGACCTTAATCACAGCTGCAGATTGGATCCCATCCCCAAACAATAATTCTGGGGCCCCAAAATGGATAGATCCAACACAGTCTTCCTGGGCTGCGGGTGTTTATGAATAGGAAGGGATTCATTCCAAATTGCGGAAACAGTACAGGCATCCCAATTAGGTTCTGTGGATAGATCCAACACAGTCTTCCTGGGCTGCGGGTGTTTATGAATAGGAAGGGATTCATTCCAAATTGCGGAAACAGTACAGGCATCCCAATTAGGTTCTGTCCATTGAGTTGATTTGGTAGATGGGTATGTCTCAATATGTTTTTAACCCATGGGATGTGTCAACAGTTGATAATCTTTTGGTTTTCAGCATCCCAATTTTTCATGTTTTTTGGGTACCCCATTTTGAACTGACTCAGATGTCCACGCTCCAGGCTCCATTGTCTCCTTTGATTCTGTCTCGATGCCACACCAGTCACAGCAGCGACCCTACTGGGATCCGAGCGGCGACTGTGCCGAAGGCGACTGTAGGCCTAGAGTCTAGAGCACATGCAAGACTCCAAGACCACGCCCACTTTTTGGATCGTTTTGGATGCATTTTTTGTTTGGAATTTATATTATAATTTATCCTTGTTATAATTCATGATCCTTTACAAAGCATTGGAAACCTAAGGGACCTATCTGATAGCATCTCTGGCTGCGCCAAGATCTGAAACGCCAACGTTCGAAGTTGAAGACAGCTCCGAGTACGCCAATGTTTGGAGACTAAGAAACTCTGAGGTTCAATGGGTCCATTTAAGGCCTTGAGTTTCATCATATAGAGATTTCACCAATGAATAATGGATATATATATATATGGATATATTATGGGGATATTTCATTGCATTCAATGGGATGCATAGCTAACAATATTAAATGACGTTTTTTCTTTTTTCCAACCAGTGGGAAATATGCCAATGGCCGCTTAAATGTCTAGTGGAGAAAGTGATGGATTTCATGGGATGAGCTCATCCAAGGCACCAGTCCGGGTCGCATCACCATAGGAGTATAGATCAAAATGACGTGGTACTGTATTTCTGGGTCCTTTGATATCATCAAAACATGATTCAAGTATTCAGGTACCAAAATCATCTCCAAAATTTAAGGTACCAGATACCCTATGAAAGGTCCAAGGCATTCTTTTAAGGGAATAGCCACCCAAACACTGACTCATTAGAGCACCTGGTTAGCCCATTGGTCAAAAAACCCAGTCCTCGCAGGTCTTCATCACTGTCCGCCACACTTCTGAGCCCCACCGCCCATCGACCCGCTGCCAATAGCTTCGGAGGATTGGTCTGGGGTCCCAGTGCAGGAAGGAGTCCAGAGATGTGAAAATTTGAGGTTGAAATAGTTGAAATGGTTGAAATACAACTTTTTTGAATGGTGCATCCACGTACTTTTCCATATTTTCTTGTTGGTTTAATTTTTTCACATTTTCGCTATTTTTGGTGGGGGGTTTTGGGTTAAATGCCACGAAACACCTGGCTAGATAGAATGGCGGAGGAATGGCACAAGTAGTCTGGTAGAGCAGATACAACAGAGGTTCCTCCGGTATTGTTTCGAGAGCACTGAGGATGACTGGGATCTCATGGATGGGTCTTCCTTGCTGACTTTGGCCGCCAGCTGGAGTAGATCAAAGCTGAAATGATCCACATTCAAAATTCATATTTCCTGATGAATTCTAACGAAATGAAAACACACTATCAAGACTTAAGATAATTTGAATAGTAATTAATATAAATTTACAGTATATAGTTTCTTTATAGTTTCTGAATTTTGTTTTTGTTTTTTGTTTGCGAAAGAAACATAAATTGTTATGTTAGTACTCTGCCCATGGCAGGGGACTGCAAGTCGACAACCTGGATGCCCCACGGTCTCCTTCGCGTGGAGCTTCCCGTTTAGGCGCCTGATTTCAGCTACTCGTCGCTGGGCTTTTTTTCTGCTGGTCCGCTGCTGGAATCTCCAAGTGATCCAAATGTGTCCACCAAGCCTGGTGGATGTTCAATATTTTTCAGTATTTTTCAATGATGTTCATGGATATTTGGTGATATTTGATGATATTTGGTGGTGGAACTGGAGTTGTCAGGCAGCAAGGCGAACACCTTGATGAAGTTGTCGTCCAGGGACTTGGATGAAGATGTATCCCCCACCTCACGACCATGTGCCTTGGCAAATGCTGCTTTGGAGGTTTTGGGGTCCATAGGAGGAAAGGAGTTATGATGAATTATGATGAATTATGCGCAGATCAGCCATTTTCAAATCACAGCTCGGATTTGAAACCTGAACAGGGTCACATGTGCTTTCAGCATTTCGCTCTTGCTCGGGCCGCAGGCAGCAAAGCCCGGTCATTGAGGTGGGTGAGTCGCATTGGTGCTCCGCAAAGCTGTCATCTTTGCGTGCCCATGTTGGAAATGAGATCCAGTTTGTGATAATGTGAGATTAAACGATATGGTCGGGCTGATGGTGGACCATTTTATAAAAGTGATTTAGTTGGGAATTCCACATTATATAAATTTGCAAATTTCAGATTTGTCAATCTTGGCAGGGTAGAGAGCGGTGAAGAGAGGTGGGATGTGGTTCAAGCCCCAATAGGGACCAGATGGATTTCTTTGACTTGAGATGAAGTCAGTGCAAGAATTGATGTCACTTTGAAGTGTCTCAAGGCGGTGTTCCCTTAACAGAGGTTCTCTTCCTTTTCTGCCCCAAAATGTGCTCGTTCAGAAAACATTGAACAGTCCACCGTTTCCAAAACACTGGCCAAACTGAGTTTAGGGGAAAATTTGGTTTCCAACTTTGGATTTTTTTTGGGTCGACTTTCCAGGCCTCAAGTGTCCAGCTGCAACCGAGGCCACACCCACGCGGAACTCGGACTACATTCGCAGCTGCTCAAAGGTGCAGGCCGCTGGCCATTTTAAAAGATGATCGGGGATGGGTGCAGGTTGGGGTGGATTTTGAACACCCAAAGTATCCCAAAGTCTACACAATGCACATCAATGCGCAAGAAAAAATTGACCCGGTTCTACATTCACGAGTGGAAATTTTGAGTCATGCGCAAAATCCCAAATCGTGATTGAACCAAGAACACAACAGATGCATGGCCGGTTAGATGCAGCAGTGATGGCAGGTTATGGACCGGTCTATTCGAGAAGAAGATAAAATCAGTGCTCACCTCAGAAAAGGAAACGCTGGTCCAAACATGGCAGTTTGTTGGGTTTGCACTCACACTTATACAAGGTAGCAATATTAGAATGGACAAATGGACAATTCAACTTCCTACCGATCCATCCATTTCAGTCTTTCAAGTGTTTGCCACTTTTTGGATTTTTGTATCTGGCATTTGTGCCGAGATGCTGACGTCGGCATGATGAACAAAGACGAGCTCTTGTTGGTGCCCCAAATAACGCGTTTGCTCACACCTGTGCCGCCAACATCGCTGCCTTTGGGCACTCCGTGGACTTTTTCATTTGGGTCCCGGTTCAGATCGGAACTAGAAATGGCTGGTATCCAAAAATGAACAATATTCAAGTATGCATAGGTTCATACCGGAGTTTCCCTTTGGAGGTCCAAAACTGCCAAGGCTGCAGCTGGGCTTGAAGTATGGATCTTTACGAAAGGCCTGGAATGAGGCAGACCTGCGATCGGTGGGATTGGGATTTCTCAAGGGAGACCAGCTGAGTTTCTCATAGCTCAAACAGTGCGTACTGCAGAATCTGCAACTTGGGTTGTTTGAGTAGAAAACCATCCAATTCTTGGGGTTCAAGCATTTTGAGCCATATCCAGTTTATCCATTTTGCAGAATGGTTCCCTCTGTTCATCAAATTTTGGTCTTGAAGGAGGATCTGCAGGCCTCTGAGAGTCACGAAAGGGGCCGGCACTGTAGGTCTTTGACCCCTTTGACAGCGGCAAGATTGGTTTCCAGGCTGGGGGAGCCATGCCGGTGCTTTCTTGATCTTTTGATTTTCCGTGCGCAACCTCCCCGTGGCTTTCGGCTGCGTTTGGTTCTGTAGAGAACGCTAGTAAGAGATGAGCTTGTAACACTGTTTGGGTGAACACTGTGGCCGCTTGACCAGCCATGATTTTCAGATTGGGGGATTTTGGTTCTACCAGCTAAACCCATACCATTGGCATTCATCCCTTCCCCCAAGAATACCCCTTCCAGAAATGGATCTGTTTATTTTGGTCTCCCAGGAGGGATAATCAGCAGGGGAAACGGGATTTGATTTGTCCTCAGCTGAGCTTGGCCGGCTCAGGAGTTCTGCGACCGCATGCGAAATGTGGGCTTCCTTGGAGACATGAAGGCGGGTGAAAGAGTTGAATTGAAGCCGCTGAAACGCCAACGTGCTTAATGTAAAACACGTATGGATCTGTGACATCTCACAATTTTTAAGCTGAAAAAACATTTTTGCACAGGGTCATCTTTTACTCTAGTGGTGGTTTCAGGTATAGGACGCCCCTTTGCATGACTCCACTACTTTCTGGGACTAGTTTCTTTGGGGTCTTCTAGGTTTCTACAGCTAACAGCCATGACATCGGAACCAGTAGCACGTATGCTTTCGCCAGTCACAACCCCTACAAGTGTCACCATTTTCGGGGGTTCTCCAGGGCTTGCCAACCATCATCAACCATCCATTTCCGACTCATTTGTACAACCCCTTTCCCAACCCTCAAATCATGTATCAACATCTATAAAACCAGCATTTTCCCAGCATTTTTCCATATTTTTCCCAGCATTTTCCAGCCATTGATCACCAAATGTAGGGATCCCGGCCGCCAGGAGTGTTGGTGCGCCCTGGGCGCCGAGCGCGATGGCGTCCTGCGGCTCCGTCATCTGGACCCACGCTCCGATGAACTGCCAGGGGAGCTCAGGTGACCCCAGGTTTTCCCAAGGTTTTTTGGGGGGGGATGGACCATGACATGCCACGAAAATTGGGGATTTCAGACTGGTTGGATCTGGTTGGTGGTTTGGAACATGAATTTTATTCTTCTATATATACTGATATATACTGGGAATAAAAATTAGCCCCAACTGACTAATATTTTTCAGAGGGGTTGAAACCACCAACCAGAATACTATTTATTGTGAGTTTACCATGAAAGATATGGAGAAGATGATTGAAATGCTGATTTCACCGACACTTGGAATGGAAGTACATTGCGTTCCGAAGTAGCAATTTTGATGGGAAAGACTATGCTAGTCCATTCAACAAAGCCTGAAACTGATTTATGAATACATATAATACATTCCCCTCCGGTATTTTTAAACATGGCTTGCTGGAAAATCCATCATTTACAGATGATTTGCCCGGCCTTTCGCTCCATTCATGACGAGGATTTCCCAGAAACACTGCCCGGCAGATCCGAGGATGCAAGGCTTTCGCAACACGCTCTCTGAGAAGTGCCACGGGGCGTCACTGTCAGCGTCACCGAAAATTTTGGGTACTGAAAATCGAAACCTGTTGACTTCGTGCTCGAAGACTGCAATTCAATGGCCCAATGGCCTGGTGATTTTGGGCCGTTTTATCCCATTCAACTGCAATTCATGTTGATGACGAAAGTGCGGTACATTTGCGGCAGGTACGGCAACATGTTGAATGCTTGGTGCGGAACCTCAACTCTGTTGGATGCTGGGATCAATGGAGGTTGACTTATGGTCTCATGCAGTGACTGTGCTGACATGTCCAAGCTGTCCATTGTTCATGATCACTGAACGAGTAAAAGTGTCAGGATCTGAGTGGACTGGTAAAATGACTGCTCATGATTTGGGTTGTACAAGATCAGTTTTCCTGCCTTCAATGCCTCATTTCATCGAACTCACTAATGGTCTTTGTTTGACTGAACGCAGGGTGGTAAGCCATTTTTTTACAGAACATGTCTTGCAAAACATGAGACACTTGCTGAAACTTGCTGAAACTTGAGCCAATATGCACTGGTTGTTTTTGATGGGTAGATCTAGCTGTAGATCTAGCGATTCGCCACCAGGCAAACGGCCTTCGATCCACAGAATCGCAGTTTGATCGACGAGGCCAGGGTCACGGCCACAGCACACGATGTGAAGGTGGCGGAAAATCGAGCAATTTCATGTAGCTTTACCCTGCAAATGATGGATGTCATGATGTTGTAGCCATAAACATTTGTGTTCATCACTGTTGTAGTTAGTATATGTTAGTATGCAATACATTGCAATACTATATAAAGTATTTTTCGCTGGTTGATATATGTCCCATTTGCCCACCACGGTAATCACCACGCAGCTTCCTTTTTCACAGGCGGCCTTTGTGAAGCAGCTTTGAACTCAGATCTCTTCGAGGACTAGCAACAGATTGAAACTTTACAAACCATCAAATCAATGTCTACATTGAATGGATAGCCCCAAGTGGTTCAAACACGGAATTGAATTTTACTTCCATGATTGAAAGCATGCCTGCGCTTTTTTGTGTCATGCAGCTTTCTGCCAAATCAATTTGACCCAGGTGCACTGAAGATGGCATCGAGGGCGATCTGGTGCCCTTGGGAGATCTGCGATCCATGATTTTCCCATGAACTTTTGATGCTTTGGAATCAGTCCCGTGGGATTCCAGGACATGTTTCCCATGATTTTCCGACCGAACTGGCACTCAGCTGGAAGCGGGGGCAGGTTCAGCTGTTTCACGATCTACTTGCTCCCTGGTTGCAGAATGGTCACTTTTTCATGGAATCGGTGGGAGAAACACATTTTGATGCAGAAAGGTTGCGTTCTGAATCTCTTGGATGGTCTTAACATGTCTTAAATAATGATGAGTCAGGAGTTTAGTGTTCTTTCAGCTTTTCTTGCTTGCCAACCCTGGTGGAAGCATTGCCACGTATGCCAGCGACAAAACCTGTCTGAGGATGACCCTTTGAAGATCAAGTACAAAAAGATGTCTTTGAGGGAGTTTGAAACCTCAGCCTGGTCGGGGAGGCACTTCCTGGTGTGGGGGATGTCTGGGTGGTACAAGCTGTACTCAGTCTTGTTTGGGAACCTCAACAGTTGCTGATGCTTTGTCTGGGCGACTTTTCAGAGGATCCAATTTTCAGAAACAACAAAAACATGGGCTTGAATACTTTGGGTACGTCATCCCCTATTCTTAGGTTCTCACTCGACTTCAGGGCCACTTTGTCCCAAGTTCGGAATAGAATCCCATCCATTTCCACACTGAGTTTTGACTTGGCTGCGTATCAAGCCTTGGCCCGCATGGACACCGACATGATCGTAGAGGCGCTGGCTTGAACGGTTGAAGGGCTGTTTCCTGTTGAAATCTCCTAAAATGATTCATATTATGATTGGGTTTATGATTTATACCTAAGAGATAGTTCTTTTTCAGGAACATGACGCAGTTTTGGCTTGATTTGAACCGGGGAAGGAAGTTTGAGATATTCAACTGTCACAAACATGTGCAGGCCGGCACAGGTTTCATGAAGGGTCAGGGGTAGTATGTTGCAGCTGAAACCAGGCACAGAAGACGGAGAAGGCAAATCCTATGGAAATGTCCTTCGACGAGCGTCAGGAGCGTCACATCCCATCTACAAGTGGCAGGGTGGAAATCTGACAGGAACATCGACCACACAATTTCAAGTTATGTGCCTTTCTCAGGGGGAAAACCCATGGAAAACACTAAAAAAAAACGGAGAGACCATGAAACGATGGATCGGGGACCAGCTGATTGGCTGAGCGTCAGGACAACATGTTCTCGGTGAAGTGGACTAGGGTTTGCGACCAGGGGGGGTTGGAATGGATGGGCTGCAGGGGCACTGCCGGGGCTGCAGGGGTGTCTCAAAATCCACCTTTTTTTTCTGGGTAGATGCGCGACTTGAAAAGTCTTGGGGCTTGGGTCTATTCTTTTCAGAGAGATCTCGCATTGCACCTTGGAATCCGAAGACACATCAGAAACAGAAGGGTCAGAACCATCCAACACTTTGTGGGGATTGTCAGCTTGGGGGAGCTGTGGGCTGAGGCGCAAAGCAAGGTCATGCGCAAAGAAATGGCTGAGCGAGTGCAACAGGTGTGGCAAAGAGATGCGTCATGGCATGTTAGATGTAGATAAGACACCATGTATCATGGCATTTTTCCGGGTATTATTTTGCTTCCACAAAAAATTGGTCCTAACACAGACCATGAATCCATTGAATCCATTCCCAAGAATCCAACTTCGGATGTGGACGTTGCGGAACTGGCCATAGGAGAATGAAGCTGATGTCGGTTGCGAGACTCTGCAAACTCTCAAGGTGGGCGTCTGAAGTTGCAGTTCAAAGGAATCCTAGCCGCTATGGCACGACCCCTTTTCCGGAAGATGCCCCACTGAATCTGGAAACATCTGGAAACCATACCAGAAGATTTTTTTTGTCACATGGCGGTCTGATTTGCAGCACTGCTTGGCGGTTTGCTAAGCCTTGACACCAAACGTCACGATGTTCTTCGCCGACCCCGGCCCTCATCTGACTTGCGGCTCAGTCGATGCTGATCAAAAAGTACAAGAACTTGGCCAGGATCTTATGGGGCATTTCTGGTGAGCCGCTTGCAGTTCGAGTTCGAACAATTTTCAATCAAGCATCTCAATATAATATATGTAATTATATGTATATATATATACATATTTATATATTATACGCAGTAAATATGATATATATATACATACATAATATATACACACATACATACATACATACATACATACATACATACATACATACATAGATACATAGGTACATACATACATACATACATACATACATACATACATCGATACAGATACATACAGACATACAGACATACATACAGACATACAGACGACAGACATACACATACATACATACATACACACGATTACATACAGACATACATACAGACATACATACATACATACATGACATACATACATACATACTACACATACACACACACATACATACACATAACACACACACTACATACACAATACAGACATACATACATACATACAGACATACATACATAATATATACACACATACATACATACATACATACATACATACATACATACATACATAGATACATAGGTACATACATACATACATACATACATACATACATACATCGATACATCGATACATCGATACATCGTAATATATACATAATATTCATAATTACATATATTTATATCTGTCTATCTATCTTATCTATCTATCTATCTACCTACCTATCTATCTGTCTATCTGTCTGTCTATCTATCTGTCTATCTGTCTATCTGTCTATCTGTCTATCTATCTGTCTATCTGTCTATCTGTCTATCTGTCTGTCTATCTGTCTGTCTCTCTCTATCTCTCTCTCTCTCTATATATGTATATACATGTGTATATGTGTATGTGTATATAAATACATAGATGACTAATTGTGTGTGTATTTATGTATGGGTTTCAATACACCCAGGGTGGGGTTTGCATTTCAAGCCATCAAAGGCAAATTTTCGTTCAGTGAGGCGATTGCTTGGAAGGTGGCGTTGGATCCCATGGGCCAAGGGCATCTCTCCAAGGAGGAGCTCGATGGAGGGATGAACTTGGCTCTGTTGAGTCCGAGTAGCAGCCATTACCTTGTGGTTAACCTGGCCATGGAATCCCCCCTCTACTTAAGCCTATCCATTGATGATTTTCCCAGAAAAAAAACATGTTTGATGAGCAGAGGGTTTCGACTACCCTCCGGTAATCAAACGTGGCCACGATTTATAGATGATTTCCCATGAAGACCTCCATTTTTAGAGGATTACCAGAGGGTATTCGATTCCCCGCCTTTGACATTGCGCCCTTCGCTAGGACTGGTACAATGCTGTGAGGAACCGCTGGCTCCTCAGACCTTCAGAGCTTGGACGTTATCATCCAAAATTGGTAATAGGAAAAGCAATGGTTTGGGGTAGCCATATTTCGGGAAGCCCTCATATCATTGGTCAACATCATTTTCGCTGGTTTCCCTGTGCCAGCAATTGTGTTTCTCTTTGGTGCCTCAGCGGTTTGGTTGAACACCCCACTGGGCCAGGTGTTGGCTTCCATGGAGATCTACGGCAGCTGTGGAGCGAAGCTGCCAAACCTGGTGCTGGTCTGCGACTCAGCAACGACAGTTTTATGGTTTTGTGGAGCAACCGCCTGATTCACTTGCTGCACCTGCCAAATGGCTATGGATCAATACCTATTAATACCATTTGTAGGGGGATGAACATCCATTTACCAGCTATTTTGATGTTCACCAGGGGTACAAGGTTTTGACACACTGCCAAATTGGTCATGGTCTCAGTGGAACTTCCGTTGAGGTCACATTTCCCTCTACGACTTGGATCCTCAAGCAGTTCAGGTGGGACGCCTGCGCATGCCTGCGCCCAGTGTGCTGTGGCTGTGGCTGGAGATGGCTGGAACTCAGGTGCTCTGGGACTTCCGGGCCTTCCTATTGGCCCACGGCTCAGAGGATTTGGATGAATTTTGCAGGTTTGCCATTGCGAAAACAGAGGGAAACATAGGGAAACTAATTTCGTTCTATCCTTTGCTATTGGTTGTTTTTTCTTTTTGCTCTTGAAATCAGAGCAAATTTCATGAAATCCACCAGTCCACAGTTTTTGTTGGTGAAACTGCCATGTGTCGGCCATGTCGCATCTGGGTTTCGCAGATCCATGAGGAAGCCTATGGGGACATCATGACCGCATGGCATCAGGGCTTAGACCCCAGGAAGCGAGGGAAAATCGAGGACGGCCGGGCAAAGTACTTGGATGTGCAGCCCAGTTACAGTCAATTCTCTTGGGATATAGTGGACTAAAATAACTGGAATTACACAGTTATAGTCATAGATGTCATAGCACAGTTCTATGTATTCATTCTCACTTATGGATTCATTTTGGGCATCGAGGCAGAGTGCTGAAGCTAGAGATGGGCTGGCAGAAATTTCTTTGATGGTTGATCAATGTCGATCATGACATTTCGTAGATTTCCCCCATTCAAATGGCCAGAACTTGGGGTCCCATTGACACCACGCGCCGGTTGCGGGGCGCGTGAAGACATGGCCAGGAAGATGACTTTGCCAAGCGCTTGAAAGACATGGGCTATGAGGCTTGTGGGCTTGGCTCAAAGTGACCCACAAAGTTGGATGGTTCATCTCAGTTCTATCCCAAATGCCCAAATTGATTTTGAATAATTATTTATGAATCATGGTCTTGATTCCAAGTATGGCTAGAATTATCATACAAAGCAAACCGCAAGATAACCATAAGATATGCAAGTCTTGTGGGTCAATGCTTATCCTGAGGATGACATCAAGAAGCTGTGGCAGCTGCTTCTGGCAGAGCCGCAGGGGGCCCTTTTGATGCCAGAGACGACATGCATCCCCGAATCATCACTAAATCGGAACCATTCCATCTGTGGGGCCTTGACTATCTTGAAGGTAGACGCAGGAAAACACTTCATCCATCTCCATCCCATTTCTGCTGGTTAAACCACTCCTTTTCACATCTTTTGGGTATCATCGAATTCCAAGGCACCGGAAGTACATCGTGCTGCGAGATATCGATGCAAAAGCAGCAGATGCCACGCAACTGCAAGGGATGGGGTCTAGTGACACCTTTGGACGTCTAGGTGGAAAAGATGGTGGACTAAATGGTCGAAATCTATGCTTGCTGAATGCTGTTGATATGTTATTGGTGTATATTGGTGTCTGTTGATTGATGTAGTTTGGTCACTGCTACTGCGTTCTGCTGACCTGATTTTCCCAAGGCATATTTCCGTGGAGACGACAAAGCCTTAACGCTCTATGGCACCAAAAGCCCGTGACTTAAATTGGGTTGTCATAGTCTGTCCAAACATGTGGGATAGCCCATGATAGCCCCAATCTATGATTGAATCCCGAAAACGACAATCAACATCAATCGACCATGAGATTTTGGCGCACCTGATTGAGATCCGGAATCCGAAACTCGAAAGTTGTGACCCCCGAGAGTTGGATGGTGAACATAACACGACATATTCAGGACATAGCGATGGCTGGTGGGTCCTTTTGGTACCGCATTTTCGAACAAAAAAAGCCATTGGAACTCGTGTGTTGAGGTGGACCTCAAGCCTCTCCGGGCAAGTGGACAGGAAAACTGCTCAGCCCAAAGGGAGAGGATGACGAGGTGCGGAGCTATACGCTGCGAATTTCCTTTCTCGGGATGATGGTGAAACTTGGTGCGCCCAACAGTTTTGCTCCAAGCAAAAAAAAGATCAAAAAGGGGGGCCATGAGAAATCCATTTCATTTCAATCCATTTCAATTCATTATTTCAATCCATTTCAGAATCATTTTTGGATTGGTCTTTTGATGTTGGCTTTCTCCATCTTTAGTCCTCCATTTTTCCCAGGGCTTTTCCACCCGCTCAGGAGTGTCCAGGAACACCCAGCGGAAGTCCCAAGACCTTGGCACTGCCAGGGACGCCTTCCAAGGGGTGGGGGAGCCCTGCATCGAGCTGATTCTTGGGGATAAACGGATAACCGCAGGTTTTCATGATTTCTCCAAGAAAACCTGACTTATTTGGGGAACACCTGTGATTTCCCCAAAGGAGGTGTAAACATCCACGTACTAGCTATTGTAATGCGAACTACAGGGTAGCGGGGTTTTGGTACGTACCCATATTATGAATTCAGATGCTTTTCTCTTTGCGTCGTTTTTTGAGTTGTTTTGGACTTCGTCAAATGTTCATAGACAAGTGTACATATTCTGGTTGTTCCACCCAGGGATCTCACGTGCCCGAGAGAACAAACAGGCAATGTCCAGGTTGATATAGGCCCTGAACTCATGCACCCGGGGGAATGAGCTATTTGCGCTAATCACAAGAAATCATAACAACCTTAATCGTTGGTGATTTTCAAGTTGTTTCAAATTTCTGAAGTCTCTCAAGTTGATAGTTCCTACATGTTCCTACAGGCTGTACTCCAGGTATCTCCAGGTGCCCTTTTCCCAAGTCTGGCTCTGTGGCAGGCGCCCTGGCTCATCGTCCTCTGTTGCCTCGAGGGCACCATCCAATCAGTCCGTGGCACGATCCACTGCTGGAGATGACGAGGCGCCGCGTGGATGGCACGGTTCCAGGAGATTTTTTCCAATTGTGGAATTCTGAAGCGAAAGGTGAACTTTTTTTGAGGACTTTCCCTTCATTCAGCATCATTCAGCTATTTTGAGGATATTTTTAGAGGATATTTTTAGACTGAGAGCCGAGCCGCGAAAAGCATCGAAAGCAGTTGGCCGATTCTCACATGGTCAAAGATCACTTCGACCCGCCGAAAAGGCGGTCTATCGGCCCACGCGCATTGCCATTTGGTGGGGCACCTGAGATCTTGTAGAGGTGGCCCCGGCCCCACTCGGTGAAGATTGATATTCCTTCATCGAGTGAAAAACGCAACATTCCATGTATAAATTAATACGATTATATAATTATATATGTGCAACTTTATCTATGATACCTAAAACCTAAAACTATATACTAATGTATGTATATATGTATATATGTATATTGTAATATCATATATGTACATATGTGTAAAGTGATGTCTGGTGCTTCATGTATTTGCATTCCTGTTTCAGCTGTTGGAATCCTTACGGTCCCGTTGCCCACCTTTTAGCTGTCGAGGTCCGAAGAACTGGGTGCGCGCAAGCGTCAGGGCGCGGAGATGCGCCTGAAACAAGAAATGGATCTGCAAGTCGGTCCACCTGGCCTGCTTGCGATTGCCCAGGCGATTGCTTGCGATTGCCCAGGCGATAATTGAGGCCCGAAAAACCCATGGTAAACTAGCTGGTAAACAGTTCTCGAACTGGAACACATCAGCATTTTGAGGTAGACCATCGAAACCGTAGCTGTGATAGTTTTCTGGGTACACCACATGGAGGAATCCCTTCTATGTTTTATCAGTTTATCATATTTTAATTTGCTTTGGGGGGAGCATTCCCTAAGTTAAGGACAGCACTTCCCGCTCGACAGTCCGTTTCCCACTGGCCCTGTGGGACTTGGAATGAAGAGGCATTGGGCAAGGGCTTCCATGTTACTGGACTCGTTAGTGGTTTTCAGATATCCCTATGACATCCTATTATGACTATATAAAATGACGCACCACACTTGACCAGTATGTTTTCTTGGGACGGGTGGCTTGATCAATATTGTGTTTATGTTTTGTTAAGCCGAAACCATATTTCCAGCTAAGTCTGGATGCTCTGAAAATCCCGCAGCCAGGACCAAAATGCTTGGATGATTATCGCAGACAGCTGGTGAACGGAAGCGGAAGTCTTGCCGAGTCCCCAGCTTCCTCAGGCTTTCTCGATTTTAGCTTTGATCATTTCCGTTGGAAGATCCAGAAAGCAGATGAGAGCCTAGTGTACTAAGGTCATTCATGTGGTAAACCCAATAAAAACATATATAACATATAACACCCACCTAATTGTGGGTGTTTTTGATGATGAACAGATGGTTTTTTGTTTCGTTTATCACATTGTAACCAGGTTTTGTTTCGCATCCCGCTCAGGCCGGAGCCTGGAGATATCGCATGGACGAAGAATGTTGGGGGGACCCAGCTGGAGCCAGGGAGAACGCCAGGAGCTGGGCGAGCTGGGTGCAGAAGATAGGGGAGCACCGGATTTTCCATGATTTTCACAGGAATCTCGCTGGTTTTTGGGCGTTTCGAGTGTTTGAATCTGGGCTGAGGCACAGGTCGCATGTCCTTTATGCAGTTTGTCATGGCCATTGATCGTACTGGTGGGTCTGGATCCCAAGCTCGGTGGGGAAGCTTGACAGAAACACACAGATCATCACCATTCGCCAACAATCACCTCCAATCAGCTCTTGTTTCTTATGGGCTAAACATGGCTAAACCCACCAAGATGCTCCAACAAGAGCATCCCTTGTCAAAGCACCGAAGGGCCCAGGTTCGGTTTGGAGATGGTGAAACATGGTGAAACCATGACCCGCATGACCTGTGCCTGTCGCCAAGGTATTCCGGCAGTGTGAAGCAGCTCTGGGCGGAGTTCTCCAATGAAAAGGACGAAGTGACGTATCAGGACTGCCAGATACTACCAGCTTCTGCCAGGGGTTCAGCTTCTTGGGTTCCGAGGACTTCGGGGGGTTCATGTCCCATGTCTCAGCGACTCAGTCGTTGGAGGACTTGGATCCTGATGGCTTTGAGCTGCTGCAGGCGATAAAACATGATCAAACTCGAAGCTGCAGATTTCGGTGATGTTGGGACGGGATTCCTGCTGATGGTACTAATGTGACTGTAAGTGATGTAAAGTGTGAAAATTTGGAGATTCATTGGTCATCCACCCAAAGGCACCAGATTCCCGAGCCAGGCGTTTGGCGTTTGGATCATTGACAACTACGAGACATTCAAAGGTGCGGTGTGGGTGCTGGATAGCTTGCATGTCAAACAGGCAAGGCACAACTGCTTAGACAGATGTCATTAGGAGTTTGGACCCTGATATGAGAGGACACTCAAATGCCACGATCATCTTTGATCGGCTGTAAGATATTTCGACTGCTTGCGAAGCTTCCACGCGAAAAGCCAAAATCACCCGAGAATGCCTTTTTTGTATCTGAACATCAAGGCTTGACAAGACCTTCTCTAACTTTAAGGGGGGTTCAGACTTGTGAAAGCGACTACAGCATCTGCTGGCATGTTTGACACTTTGGGGAACATTATCCCTTGGGTCAACACATATCAGCAGATGTGCTTTGTGGAAGGCTTCTGGAAAAGCATTGAGAAGTACAAGGACGAGCAGCTTGAAGAGGCAAACATTGATTCCACGCCCCAAGAAGCATAGAGGTCCACAAAAACATACAAAAACAAACTATTGAATGCCTTTGCATAGGATTTTCCAAATGCTTGTTCGTGATCGTAAAAGGCCAACAGAAATGCCGCCATGCAGCATCTGCAGAAATCTGTCATCGCCCTCTGCCAGGGAGAATTCGTCGACAGATGCTTCGAGAATGGCTTGGAAGGCATCTCAAAGCGAGAGATGAAAAGGACGGCGTGGATTTTCAGTGGTGACGTGTGGCGAGATTGACTTCAAGAGATTGAGCCAAAACAGATGGGCTTTTTACATGACCAAATCTGTGGCTCCAAAACAGATTCTCATTTTAGACAGATGTTTCCACACAAAAAATCCGATTGATCTTATGGTCATTTCACGGTCATTTTATGGTAAAACTTCTGTTTCCATCTCAATGCCAAATACTCATAGGTCGATGGCCAGGATCTTCAAGATGCTCCTGCCGGAGCCCAGCACCGGTCGCACCAAGCTCATTCAACCAGACCTCAAGGCGGAAGCGATGTCATTTGCCGTTGCCAACCCGGGGGGCCCCGTGGGGTTGCCCTGTTTCCTTAGTGTTCCCACCACCAGGTATGCAATATAGAATTACATTTGTCTGCCATACATTTTGTGTTGCTTCTATCTTCTCCCCAAAGAGGGAAAGGAACGGTTGTTGCAACTAGAGAGACTGGATAGTTTTACTGGGACTTCTACGGATCTTCGTCATGTTGGTTGTGTTTGATTATAGCCCTTTGTTGCACCCAGTGACTCCATGCCCAGCCCTACAAGTGATGCTAAGTGTCTCGGAGTCTCGGCTCAGCTTCTCCTTCCATCTGCTTCGCAGGTTCTGTCGATTGCGCTTCCTTTAGACGTCAAACTGGCGATGAGGTCATGCTGTCACCGTTGGCCCCACGGGCTTTGTGGAGGGCACAGTGGAGGGTCTCTGTCACGCCAGGAAGACAAGCACTGAGAAGACGATGGCACCAGAGAGATCCAATGGTACAGAGAAGACTGAAAAGGAGGAGGACCGCGCAGGGACTTTGCAGGTAGAGTTTTCCATCATTTGGCACGGCAATACCTATAACTATAACTATACGTATATATATATATATATACATGTATATATATATATGTATGTATATCGTGTTGATAATTAATATAATATATATATATTAATATAATTATATATATACACATACATATATACACATGATGTAAGACCCCCCAGCATTGCAGCATGCAGACACATGGGTTTCCTTACACTTTTTGGCAAAAGTCTATCTATTGCAGGAACACATAACATGGTTTTTTTTTTTACCAGGATGGCAAAGTTGCAGGCTAAACTTCTGTGTTGGTTCGGTCGGGAAATTGCATTTCTTGCAACAAAGGAATAAACAATTAAAACAAATACGTTTGCAAGAATCGCGATTGAATCAGTCCCTGAGACACATACTACCTAAACATCGAGTAGTGATGAAGGGACTCTTTCCTGTATTTGCAAGGCTAAATCATTCACTTTTCTCATCGAAGCCTCCTTTCATCCGCACTCCCCACTTCCAGAACTACCCAGAACACTTCCATGCCCAAGGTTCAAGACAGTTTTCGTTTTTGAACGTATTGTCAATGTGAAACCAGTTCAACCAACATCTTAAAACTCCAAATTTCAGGTTTTTCTCCAATGGTTTCCAATGTTTTCCCCACCTTTCTTGGGCATTTTCGCCAGGCGCGGGAGTCACCCACCTCGGCCTCGCCCAAATCGCCCCTGCGGCCGCCCTCGCCGGCGTCGCCCGTGTCGCCCACCACGCCGCGCTCGCCGTCGCGGGTGAAGTGCTCGCCGGAGCTGCCCGTGATCTCGGTGGAGGCTTCGGATGGACAAAAAATCCCAGGATTTTCATGATGGGAGTTTATATATTTAATATAATATAATATAATATGATATGATATGATATAATATGACATGACATGATATGATATAATATGATATACTATAATAAATTTATAATATAATATAATATGATATAATATAATATGATATAATAAAATATAATATGATATGATATAATATAATACAATATAGTATAATATGACATAATATAATATAATATAATAAGTTTATAATATAATATAATATGACATGATATGATATAATATAATATGATATGATATAATATAATACAATATAATATAATATAGTATAATATAATAAATTTATAATATAATATAATATAATATGATGAAATATGATATAATATGATATAATATAGTATAATATAATAAATTTAAATTTATAATATAATATAATATAATATGACATGATATGCTATGATATGATATAATATAATATGATATAAGATAATAGAATACAATATAATATAATATAATATGATAAATCTATAATATAATATAATATAATATAATATGATATAATTTAATATGATATGATATGATATAATATGATATAATAAAATATAGTATGATATAATATAATCTGATATAATATAATATAATATGATATAATATAATATAATATGATATAATATCATATAATATAATAGATTTATATTATAATATAACATAATATAATATGATATAATATGATATAATACATTATAATGTAATATATCATAATAAATTTATATTATAATGTAATATAATATAATAAATTTATATTATAATATAATATAATATGATATAATATATTATAATATAATGTAATATAATATGATGTAATATGATATAATATAAGATAATATAGTATAATATAATATAATATAATATAATTATATATATATATTATAATGTAATAATATATAATAAATTTATATTATAATATAATATAATATAATATGATATAATATATTTTATAATATAATATAATATAATATGATATAATATGATATAATATAATATTAATATATATATATATTATAATGTAATATAATATAATAAATTTATATTTTAAATATAATATAATATAATATAATATCATATAATATCATATCATATAATATAATATGATATGATATAATATATATTAATATAGTATAATATAATATGATATAATATGATATATAATATAATATAATATAATACAATACAATAATATATATATATACATTAGTTAGAGGACCTTGAGTTGGTGGTGATTTCATGACATGATTATTCAGATCCAAGAATGGGATTTAAGATATCCTAGGATTTGATGAGGATTTAGTTTATAAAATGATTATACTTAATGGGGTTTAATGATCATCCAAGAATGTGGTCGTGGGTAAAACAAACCTAAAAAGAAATGATCACCCCCGTGTCAAGGACCATGGCTGGTTACCAGCTCTATAATTATCATAATGGGATGATAGCTATAAACAATCATAATCTCGCTGTTAATGACTGTTAATGGGTTTTCTTGATGGGATTTAATCACGATAATGATGGGATTGTTAATGGTTATACATCCCATCATAAAAAACTCCTATCATGGTCCTATAATCCCACTTGGAGGATGTCCCCACACATTGGTTGTTAATGGGATTTATATAAACTATGATATCATGGACATATGATGGTAATAAGATGGGATTTAACCACAACTAGTATTATTCCCTTCCCCTTAATACTAATATTGAACACCGTCCAGAAACCATGGTGGACGTAGGGGATAAACACACATATTTGGAACAATGGAATGGGTGTTTAATATTTAGGGGATTGGATTATCTCCTACCAGTAGTGATGTTTCGATTTGTGAGAACATGTATCTTATCTATTATCATTATGATGACGGGTAGTATCAACATTTATCCACTGTACTGCAAATTATTGCTTCGCATCATTTTTGTCCCAAAGTATCAGGAAACAAAGCATTATAGAGTGGAGAACACCTTAATTGTTAGGGAAATTTGCAATACAATATTGGGAAACGATCGGACTTACTGGATGCGATATGGGATTTTTAGGGAACATGTTTCATCATTTGAAGTCATCTTCCAATTACTTACAATTTTGTGATGGGACTACAATGACTGATGAATCTATGCACTATGATATAGTATGTATAAACATGTAGACATGATACTTGATCTATCCATTTCAACTTTTACATTCAACTTATATTGACACCAACCATGTCTATCCATATGATGTTCCCCTGTGGAGATGGAGATCGGAATATACCTGCAAACAGTTGGAGTTAGTGACTCGAGAGGGCGTTTGGGTTTCACAGGTCTCAAATTTTGCCACTAGGATGGGAACGATTTAATGAGGCAACGATTTTCAATTTAAATTGGTTGTTCTAAGGGTGGTAAGTTTGGAATGTAAGCAGTTGGACTCAGTTGAATATCCAGAATGGGGACAGATCCAGCTCGCTTATCCTTAAGTTTACCCCAACATACTGTATATAGGTCTGTTTCAAAATGGGTGATGCCCCAATATATGGCCATCAAGAATGGGGAAATAGTTTTCCAAGCCAGTATAAACCGTGGGATTGTAGGATATTTCAAGGTTATGTTTTTTATTTTCCAAACCCTCGGAGATTTTTTTTGGTCTAGGTTCTGATGATGCTCAAAGCCAATACAAACCATGGGACTTTCGGCTTCTCCAAACATCCCCCAACCTCTCCCGGCCCGTGTCAACAGGAGTTCCGCAGAACTCTGAAGCGACTTTATGGCAGCGTCCATGCAGGGTGGGTGAAGTATCTGGATGTCACTGAGGCGGGCGTTCCTGACAAAGTATCCCTCAGTTTCCAGCAGGTCGTGTGGAGAAATTATGGCAAAGAGAGGTTTTCAACCGTGAAATTTTGGGCTCGCCCAATTTTAGGCAAACTCAACTGGGGTCATGTGGCCATTGCTGGAGCAGGTTAGAAATTGACACACCAGGGTCAAGGGACAAACGGTCTGTTGTGGGGGATATTCACCGGAAGTAGTTCGTTCGGTGTTTTTAAAGGCCATTCCTGACGTATGACAATTAGTTAGAATATTCACAATACAAAGTGATTTCTCTGCAGAGCATTGAGGGCCGCAATTAGTGAGTTCCCATTTCAGCCTGGACAATTGGGATGCTCGGGGCAAACTTTTTGTACTGAACCATATTTGACCATATGAAACCATACCCTCTGGCAATTTGACAGTCTGTGAACTGGAAAATCAGAATTCTTGATGCCTATCATCGAGGAAAATGGACCATTTTCCGCCAACTGTGAAATTAGCAAAGGGTACCTCTGGTAAACTAACATAGCTATGGAAAATCACAATTTTTAATGGGTAAATCCACTATAAATGGTCCATTTTCAATAGCTTTTTGTAAACGTTTACCAGAGGGTAAACCATCTCACTTTGGAGCACCCAATGACTTGATCAACAAAAAACCTCCAAGCTTGCCAGGTGGGACGCGTGCCGAAAGGTGAGTTCGTGAACCGTGCACGATCCATTGGCGTAACAGGTCGCGCTTGGGAAATGCGTTGCGAGAAACGTTGGACATGCCATGAAATGCCTTGAAGTTGCGATGAGTTTCGACTGAAATCCACAACTGAGTTCCAGGCCAAGTTGCTGCGCTCTTTGCGGAGTTGGATGTGGATAAGAAAGGCTTCATCACGCTGCAGGACCGGTGACCAGCGGTGACCCACCGGTGAATCTTGGACCCTCGGATTCAGAGGGACCAGTGGCCAGGACTTGGATCCGGAGGTGTCAAAGATCACCAAGCAGTTCTTCAGTTGCGTCCAGGAGCGATCTTCGATATCGGAATGGGATGAAGATCAACATATTCAAAAACAAAAAAAATGGACACAGCAAGTCATTGCAAGATACAAGTAGCTCTTATACTGGGATTGCTGTACTTACTTCATCTTACTTCAAGTGCTTGGGAGAATAGCTTTTGGTCTTGGACCATCCAAGCAGGTCAGAGATGAATGGACAGCCTGAGGTGATACGTTCAAGATAAGGGGTGCCCAAAAATTGCGATTTCATGCGATTTCAATGAGTCAGTTCACAGGAGACCTATGGCACTATCGAAGAAGCCTGGCGAAAAGCGTTTGATGCCCACACTTGGCCTGTTTGAAGATGGGGGCGCCTTGGGAATTTTGACATTCTGGGAGACATTCTGGGACATTCTGGGACTCTGAAGCCGTGTTTTTTCGTTTCGCTGGAACCAGGGGTGAAGGAGAATTTGGGGTGGGATGCCGCTTCCGAGCTTTGCCAGGTGACCAAGCGAAAGGTCGTTGGAAAGAAAGAATTCGCCAAAGGCTGCGAAGCGATCGGCTTTGAAGGCGAGGGCAGCGGATGTGCTGGACATCTAACACTCCAGTATTGGTTGAGATCCTGATGTGTGATGCTTCAAATCCAAACAATCCAACATTAAATGTTCCTCATATTGAACACTCAATTCCTCAGTATTTTCCCATATGATCATGATTCTTTCAAGGTTGAATCCCGACAAATTCCTCAAAAATTGCATGATGCAATCGTAGTTCAAGGTCTAGTTCAACCCTGTAGTTTATATTCTTAGAGCCCTTGACTTTTCATGCTCCTGCAGGAAACTCCGAGAAGCTCTTCAGCCTGCTGAAACCCGAGGCAGGTCGGACGTGCGGCGCTGAGGGCATCCTGAAACCGTGCTGGAAAGCTGGAAATGGATGGAAATGGATGGAAATGGCGGAAACTGGTCAAGTATGGTGTCAACAAATCAACAAATCTACCGAGAATGTCCAATGAAAATCAATGAAAGATGTCTTAAGGCTGACTTGAAATGCCATGAATCTCCATGACTTGCTGAGGTTTTTGGAGCTCAGTGATCTGGGACGCCATGCAGCGGCCACGGTGAAAGCCCCTGAGCTGCCAACCATCACCCCAGAGGCATGCTGCACTGATCCTGATTTGCCAGCTTTTCTGGATGTTTTCTCGAAATGTGGGCAGGCAAGTTACATCAAGTTACATCAAGTTACATCAAGTTACATCAAGTTACAAAGTTTGGACTCACGTCGTAAAACCTGGCGACCACACACTCTGTTTGCATGTCCCATCCAGGAATCCAGCTGGTGGGCATTAGTTACATCAATTTTTCAATCCGCATTGCGGAAGCACGTGGGTATACAGTTGTACAAAATTATACTGCTATCTGCAGAAATGGAGTGTGTCTGAAAATGTATCCCACATCCATCGGTTCATCATCATTTTCCCTCATTTTTAATGGTAATTTTCAGAGTCATTTTGTTTGGCCCAAATTTCAGACAGCGATGTGCGAAACAGACAGGACTTCCGCAAGATGCTGAAGCGGCAGTGCGGAGAAGTCGAAGCGGCGTGGCGGCAGTCACTGGACCCCACGGAGGCAGGGAGGGTGGGAGCCGGATCTCCAATGATCTCTGGATCCGATCTCTAGATCCGACATTTCTGGTCAGATTTTCATCTTGTTTCCATGTCTTTTCACAAGATGAAACGGTCTATTTTGGTTTCGGAGATTCCGCAGATGATTGATACAGATGGTGACGTTGACAGGTGGGAAGAGTTCGAAGAGGTGAGTTCAATGATCGAACCCGCGCCATGGGTATCACAGGCGCAGACGCGAGTGTCATCAAGTGACATTGGTTGCCATGTTAGACAGGTGGCCAGATGACGGTAGATTAGCTGAGTGATTAGCCGTTACTGACCCTCACATTGGGAGGATTGAGTTCAAGAAATACTGTAATTTTGCTGGGTTTCCCATGGTTTCCCGGTAGAGATTTGTCCACTGGCAGCTCTCAACTGCTGCAGGTAACGTTGCGGCGCTCTTTACAGACTTAGACGTAGACCGAAAAGGTTTCATCACACTTCAGGACAGGAATTCGCCCGTTGAAAGGTCTCGTGAAGTCCTAAAACTCTGTGGGCTGCCAATGTTTGGCAGATGACCTTTGAAAAAAAGGTTGGACTTGACCCCTATCAATTAGCCAAGAGTGTTCAAACATTGTTCAAACACTCAGACTGAAGGCGATTTTTTCCAGCGGCCAAAGTTGTGAAATGAGTTGTGCACCCTTCTGCATGTGGATCACCCAGCCATGTGCAGCCATGTGCAGGACGTGGATCCGGAGGTCAAATGGATCACGAAGCAATTCTTTAAATGCATTCAGGACACGGCATATCAGGATGGCAACAAGCTGAAACTGCCTGTGACAGCAAACAAAACAAAGGTGAGTCCAGAAAATCACATGAACGGTGTTGATCCCCACCGTGAGGCTGTCAGCTAGGAACAAGCTGAGGCTCATGATCTCTGAATCTTTCATGGATCCCATCTGCAGGAGACACATGGCACCATCGAAGAAGCGTGGCCGAAGGCTTTTCAAGACTTCCCGGCATGTCTTTTTGGTTGTTCAGAAACCGGGCTTTATTTTCCGCGCACTGCTTGATAGTTTCTGCTTCACCTGGTGCTTCTAGAAGTTCTAAGACCCGGGCTTACCCGGGCTTTGAGACTGAGTTTCCATGGCTTTCAAGTATTTGTCGTTTGTGGATATGGCGAATGATTGACAGTTGTTTCTGAGATACGCTCATCATTTGTCTACCAGGTCACAAAGAAAACGCAGGTGGGCAAGCTGGAGTTTGCAGAAGGTTGCGAAGCCATTGGCTTTGAAGGCTGGGTTGGGTTGGTAGATGTTGGTAGCATCCAGCCGAATCTGGTAACCTGGCCATTCAAAATCCCACCTGGCTGATCCGGCTGGATCAAGTTGGCGTCATTGGATCACCCTGGATCACCCTCCCAATGGTAGATGCTTCACCATCCACCAATCACCAGGGGATGTGGAGAAAGTCTTTGAGCTCTTCAAGCTCGAAGCAGATCGAACGCAGGGCGCCCGAATGTCTTGAAGGAGTGTCATCCAGTGGCGATGTCGTTCATTTGCCAATTTTCCAAAGGTTTGACAAAAAGAGACAGACACAAAGGTTGAAAGTTGGCATATAGTCAGTTCTGATTTATTGTTGGGCTTCCCATAGATGATTTTTCAGCTGGTGAAGGAAGGACAGCCGCCCAGCCCCCGAACAGCTTCGCAGCGCTTCGTTCAGGTTTCTGGAGCTCAGCAACTTACGGCAGGCGGCGGTGTCGGTGAAAGCTCACGAAAAGGCGCAAGGGGGCTGACGGGGTCGGTTGATCGCCTGCAGCGCTGGGAAAGGGGTAGAGTTTCTGACCCATGTTGAAGCATGGGATGCCAGTCCTGATTTGAAGATGGTTGCTAACTGGCTCGACCGGTTGCTAACTACTAGAGTTTATATGAGTTTATCAGTTGAAGTTGCAGCCCAGGACTAGTCCAGATCCTGCGAAGCAGACCTTGAGACAAGGAGTTGGGGTAGTTGTTTCGAGCGTATCTTCCCTTGCCGAAGGCAAGCTAGGTTGTAATGTAAGGGTTTTTAGTGCAGATCCTGACATGAGCCAATTTGGACTTGAGTGTGGCTTGACGTGTTCCGGCTTCCGACATTGATCTTGATGGTGTTGAAGGAAGCACGGAAAAAAAACATGAACTACAGTATTACATACAACTTTGCAAATTTTTGCAAACGGCAATGGTTTCCAAATTGGCAGGGATGCACTTGTCAGGTTGGTGAGAGGTGAACATTGTGAAAATCAGCATGCTTCCTTTCTTACAACTCACCGGACCCTTTATAGTATAGTGCTTGTGCATGTTTGTGCTAGACAAGTTTTATTCTTTGACATTTTTTGAGCTCTCACCTCTTGAAGAGATCCCTGAAGTCATTCCGCGTTTCTGCCACTGCGCGGTGAGACGCATCGGCACGTGCCTGGGCCACTCTTCCCCGGCCGCCCGGGTCGCCCGGGTGAGTTGCGGAGACTGCAGACGGGCGCGAAAGACGCGAAAGACGCGACGCGTCACCGAGGCGTTTTTCCAACTTATGCAGCGGGTTCAGACTGGGGCTGGGCTAAAGGCTCGACAGTAGCTCCGCTTGACTCTAGGAAAAAGACTGCCAGATCTGCCTTGGTGGCGGATTGATGAAGTTGATCACACTTGCCAGATGATCGGAGGAGTGAATGTATGATTATCTCTACACTTTACATCATTTTACATCATTTTACATAGGTCGATACCTTTGAACATGTTTCAGATATACGCAAACAACCTTGGAACACATGATGAAGCTCTGAGCTTTTAACATGAGCCCCCTCAACCTGTCGCTCTTGTGGCTCCGCTGGTCTCAACTTCCATCAGCTGAAAAAACTATATGCCTGCCACTCCAACAATCTACAAACGCTGGCATGACAGCAGACTGCAGGCAGTGCCTTGACACAATCACCTCAGGCAAATGCCAAAAGTATTTCGATCTGGATGAGCACAGCTTTACTGTGACTTAGTTGATGGCTGGATCATCTGTGACTTAACTGACGCTGATGAAAACCATCAGAAAATGCTGTGCCATCGCTGGGCTATGAGATGGGGTGGCCTCACACGTGCCCCTCTGACTGGGTGGTGTGCTCAGCGTGTTTCCAGATCCCCATGAAGGAAAACGAGTTCATGTTCCACAAACGAGACTTTTGATGCGGTGCCTTCTGCTGTCGCCCTGAGGCGCTGGCCATTTGCCTCTGCTGCGCAGCTGTCTGCAGTTGAGCCGGCAGCTCAAATCCAAGTGGTGCTCCTTTCAGCTCACATCATAATGTCATAGTGTTGCTAATGAATATTGCATCAACTTAACATCCATCAGTCCATCACTTTAAAATACTTTAAATATCATCCAAATATCTCATTCTATCTCATGACGTCACAATGTCCCTGTAAAATGCCTGGTTTCCGGCACCGTTCCAAGGCTGCACGCCGTCCAAGCCTTTCGACGCCGCGCCGTGGTGGATCTCACCCGGGCCTTGGAGGCGTCCGGCACGGGCGTTCCGCAGCTCAGCTGGGGCCTTGGTTGTGGATGGGAAAATCGGGGCGCAATGGGCTAAAAATGATATGTGGGTTAGATATATCTATGTCATTTCTATGTCTATAGGTATCATGATGTATCTCTCTCTTCTCTCTCTATATAGTATATATATATTATATACATATATAATTCCCATTTCATGTATCAAAATCATCTAAAATCGATAAATATTTGGAAAAAACTTAGAACGCCTCGACTGATTATGACTGATGGTTTGCATACAGTTTCCTTTTAGACTTTGGACTGTGCTCCTTTGGTAGGCAAAGCCCCGCTTTGACTTTAGGTGAAAAGCTGCGAAACATCGCTAGCGAAGAGGTCTGCTGAAGGGATGCTGGTGGTATCCAGTCTACACACAACTTGCGGTATGAACAAATCGTGTGATTGATGCTTACTTGCGGGATTGGCTCAGAATTATTGAAGCCTCAAAGGCAATTCCTCAACAGCAAACACGAGTAATTTGAGGTGACCACTGCGTTGGGTGAGACCTCAGGCTCAAAGGCTGGATGCGGAAACAGATCTTATGAGCTGAGCTGGGTGGCACATTGACCTTGCTGCAAAGCAACCACCAAACAAATGGGTCTTTCGGTCTTTCTAAACATTGGACACCTCAACAACCTATCAACATGGAAGCTGGGGTACTCTATCTCAAGGAAAATACACTTTGACTTTTAATTCCTAACTTCCAAGACCTTTCTGTGGCTTGACCTCAGTTGTGCCTGGTGGAAGATTTTGGCTCCACTGCTGGGCACGTCTTGGGCGGTGCATCGCTCAGTAGCCGTCATGAGGCTGGGACCAAACGCAGGGGTAGAATCTGAGTAGACCAGTTGCCATTGGCCCGGTATTCAGTATTCCATAGGTGCCAAGAACTAGAGGCTCAACGTGCTTTGCTTTGGTGATGTTGGAGGTGTTGATTGAACCTCGCAAGAAACCATCGGCTGCGACCCCAGGCCCCCAGTCACAGCCCTGGCTGGCCTGGCTGCGCTGCTGCCATGCTTGGAGGCTCTTCCGAAGGCCGCCATGAACTGCTGGGGGTTGTCGAGTCAGGATGGAGTTCAGGTAGAGCACATTTCACTAGCAATGATAGCAATGTGGATCGGAAGCAGTGTTTTTTTCCTCCCGACTTTGGCATGGGAGGCAAATAGCGGCCTCACTACACTGGAGCAGGAAGAATTGGCTTTTATGAAGAGTCTCTTGGAGCCATTGGAGTCGGAAAAGAGGTTGGCTTCGGGTTTTGAACCTCCATCCCCATCTAAAGTGAAACATCTCTAAAATTTCTTGGCGAAGCAATGTGAACTCGGTCAGTTGTGACGAGAGGCATCCTTCGAAGTGGATATGTACGAAGAGATTTACCAAAAAGCGGGGTGCTTGCTGTTCTTGCAAAAGGGATCACAAAACCTTGATAGATCACAGACTCTGCATCCTCCGTTTCTCACTTCTGAGGTTCCTTGAAGCGTGAGATGGATGATGCCTCTCAGCAAGCACTGGGGTCCATTGAGATACACTGAGATATGCATAGTCAGCATTGGCAACATTGCTACATCATCACATCTCATCACGTTCACGTGCACTTTGGTGCATTGACATCGCTGTCACAAGTCATACGCAAAACATGAGGCCTCCGACCCTGTGCATGATAGCTTGCACGGGCAAGAGAAGGCCATCCGGAAAGCGTACAGCTACCTGGCATGAGCTGCAGCTTTCAACGGACTTGGAGTTTGATAAGAGAAAATCTGAGAAGCAGACTGTAGTCTGCTTTTTTGATTTCTTTTGTATGTTTTGTTGGTTTTGAATGGTTTTGACATCTGATGAAACTGCCAAACCCATGCTTGTTCTGGAACATGCTGGTTGACCCCCCTGGAGAGACCTCACTGCAAACGCCATGTGGCGATTTGCCAAGGAAATATTGCCCGTAGATTCAAGCGCAATATCTTTGATGATCAGGCGCTGGTGAAAAATGTTGGGCCAAGGGAGGAGTTTCACACTTTGGCTGTTGATTGTCTTTGATGGCAGCTTTTGTGTTTCAGTGTGGAATCAACACCATGCGTTGTCCTGTCATTGCATTGTTGAATTTTTGGCTAGTCCAGATAGATCTTGCATGATCTTCAGGTGAAGTTTGAGTTCCAGATGCGCGTCTTGAATCTAGCAAAGGACGGACATTTCATGGCGGCCGCGGAAGAAACACATTCTTGGCTCTTTTGCAAGAATTGTTCTGTGTTTCATAGGAAAGTCTTGAACTTCACGTCGATACTGGAACTTTTGGGAAACCAACATGCAGAACTGATTCTTGTCCGTCTGAGGAAGCCCTGATGAAGGGCGATGGTCTGGGTGCAGAAGGATGGGCTGATGAAGATGAAGACGAGGAGAGATATTTGACGCAGCTGTCCAATCCAAAATCAGCGTGTGGCCAACCTGGAGACTATTGGAGACTTCCAAACCCCTTGGATCGTGCCAGTTAGTTTATTGGGTTATATTGGGTTTTTGGGTTGCTCTTGATGCTGTTGGGAGACAAGTGGGAACGATTTTTCATGGATAGAGCTTGGTGCCACCATCCTCAGGATGAGAATGCCACTAAAGGTCCTGGCAGAGAACTGCTGCAATCTGAGACACAGATGTTTCAACCAGCCAGAATTGCCGAGTGTGCAGGTATGATCTCCAATGACTACATGGTGACTACATGGAAAACAGGAAGCAATTTGTGCCAATTCTCTTCTCCACAGTACCCGGCAGTGCCACCACCCCAGGCCCGGAGGGAGTCGATCTAGCGATGATATCTCGAGCCTTGGTGGCAGCTGGTGCTTGTCCCTTGACTCCTTCACTCACAACTGCCATGGACTCAGGAAGCAAATCCACGGCTGGCAGGACAGGGCTCTTCAGGGTCGCATTCACAGGCGGCAACGGATGAGGGCAGGACATGCCAAGCCACATCATTTAGTTGCTCCTAGTGAGACAACTCGTTGACCACTTCAACCTAAAGTCAAAAAACTCTGGTACTGCAGGAGTTTGCGCTGGAGGAAGGGATTAGGTTTGATGATCCGGACAAGGCCGCCGGTCTGTGAGAAGTTTTAACTGCCACATACGGTCATCTTGTGGGCATTCGTGGGACTCACGACCCCAAAGATGGCAAGTGAGAAGCTGACAGTTTGTTGATGTTTGATTACGGAGGAGTGCCTGAGTCTTGCATTTATGAGACCCTCTCAACCCCATGAAGTTGACCATCCTTTGATCTCCATTTCAACCTGTCGATACCTGTCGTATTTGCATAGTGCTTCAAAGTGGTTCTGATTCAACGGAATTCTCCTTCTGCGTTCAGGAAACAACTGCAGCAGGGTCAAATTCAGTACATATTGAACCCCCGCGATGATTGTTGTACCCATTGGCCCATTGGCTTGAAACAGTTCTAAACACATCAAAGTTGGGGGTTGGAGGCCCCTTCTAGGGATTCTCTGAGGGTGGAAAAGACATGGAAAGACAGACCAATTTGGGTATACATAAAATGGCTCAATGCTCAACACCCAGACAGTGACCCTTAGATTCTGGCCACATTCTCATTTTTCATAGAAAACATCCAATGTTTTTGGCACCGAGCGACAAGAGGCCTTCTTCATTGGTCACACGCAGCATGGCTATCGGGATGCCTTCGCGGGCAACTGGAGTCAATTTCTCCGGGAGGACGGGTGGTGTGGTGTGGGCGAAGGTAAGATGACTCTGCAGATGACTGCAGCTGTGATGACAGCTGTGGGTCTGTGAGTATCTGTGAGTTGTGGGTGTGGCAGATTTTGGGCAATCCCAATCCCTGTGTGGTGAAAACTGTGAAAACTTACTGAAGATTGAAAGATTTGAAAGTCGAAAGATCGCCAGCAACTTGTTGGAGTTTTACATAGTTTTACACTTTGAAAACTGAGACCAAGTGGCCGGCACCTGACGGATAAGAACACACCAGAGCCTTGAAGGGGATCAAAGACCAAAGACAAGATACTGCGGTTTAAACAGTTTAAATTAGTTTAAACCTATAGCAACTTGGTTGAGCTCAGTAGCTCAAGCCTCTCTGGCAGGAACTCTCGGACCTCTGGCCGGCGGCCTCCGGATTACGGTCCGGGAACTCGGTCATCGGTCGTTGGTAGATTGGCTGAGCATGGCTGAGCCATGTCCTTTTCCTACGGGTTGATCGAGGGGTTAGCTTCAGCAAAGTGATGATTCAATGGATTTAAATGGTACCCTCTGGTAATTTAACATGGCTATGGAAAATCACCATTTTTAATGGGAATATCCACTATAGATGGCCATTTTCAATAGCTATGTTAGTCATTACCAGAGGGTATCCTTCAGCCTGGACGGGTTAGACTGGTCAGCTTCAGCCTGGAGGTACCAAGTGGAGCTGGACGGCAGCGCCAGTAGTGAAGCCCGCGCCCACTCTCTGCGCAGCGGAGCTCAGATCTGACAGCTTGGTGAAGTGTTGAATCACGACATATGGCAAGTGGGCCAGATGTGTACCAACACTTTGGACATGTTAGCATCTTCCATTAGATGAGATAAGATAAGATGAGATTAGAATAGAATAGATAGATGATAGATACATTATGATACATTATACATTAGAGATAGATTATGATAGATAGATTATGATAATTTCATTATAGATTATGATACATCTATTATCATTATGATAGATAGATTATGAACATAATTATAATCAGATGATCATTATTATGATACATTAGATGATTGTATTAATCACCAGAGATAGATGATTACCATCCTCTGGTTTCATTTTGAAGAAACCCGCAGGCCTGGCAGAACAGGCCCGGCAGCTGGCGCGCGAGGCCCTGGCCGAGGTGGCGGGATTTCTACATCGCTGTGGCGCCTCGGTGCTCTCGGTGAAATCTGTGGGAAATCTGGTGGAATCTGGAAGAAATGTCCAGAAATTTCTGGTTTCTTTCGTTTCATGTTGAAAAAAAAGTCTATTCCAAGAAATTTCGAGCGGTTTTTTTTACTGAAGGAGACATCTATTTCATGAACTTTCATCGATTTTTGTTTTTTTTTGGGAAGGAGTTGCTGGAGTTGAGATTTCTGATGTAAAGGAATTGACACCTCAAAATTCTGCAGAGTGAATATTTGTATTTTCTCCATATATATTCTCTCTCTCTCTATATATAATTATATATATAATGAATAATTGAATGGAATTGAAGGTCTTGTGAGAGTTCCAAAGCTTGAATGCATGGCCATGCGCTTTTTGCGAGGTGGTCGGGATCCTCCCCTGGCCGGGCCTGTGCCGGAGAGTGGAAACACAGCAGCCTGGGTAGACGTGCACTTGAAGGCACGACTTTGCTGATTTCTGTGGCTCCAAGGGTGATATCATTGGCAAACATGGCCCACTTGTGATTCCAAAGTTCCAAATTAGGAAGCAAAAAAGACTACTCAACTACTCATAAGATGCATTCATAATTTATCCCCATTTATGTATAATTAACAAATGGTTTTCATTGACATGCCATTTCTTTGTATGTAGGGTTTGGCGTTGAGTCCAACGCCTCAGGTGTCTCGGAATCTCCGCACCTTATTCGCCGGGCATTCCACAGCGCTTGAGTCTTGTGCCATGGGGGCTGATAGAGAGGCCGATATCCGATACGAAGAGCCGCGGGATCCCAAGGCAAATCCAGCCGTAGGGCCGTAGCACATACTGTACTCTGGATCAATAGCTGAGCATAGGATATATGATACAAGTTAAACTCTAGGAAGCAGGAGTAACATAGAGTAACAACAGACAAAGACATATCCTCTGCACGGTTTAGATCCGATCAATTTCCAATTTCTTTCCTTGACGTGTACTAATACCCGTCAGAGCACGATGAGCAGCACTTGCTTCCCAAAGAAATGGGATTGCAAAGGTGCTCAGCAAATGTTGATTTCTCAAAGGTGTCCTCTCAAAGGTTCTCCATCATATCCATCCACAGCTAAAAAAATCCTGGGCGACAAAAAACTCTCCATCAACGCATTCCACCTGAAGGGTTTGCTCTTGGTTTCACCAGAAATGGGTACATCCCGAGACATGGGTACTTCTACCCTCCACCTGTGGACGGGATCGGGACCCATCGGGACCCTATCATTTGTGGCAACCTTCACCAGCATGATCGAACTGAAGCGTGGATTTACGGTCAGTAACTAGGATAATTATATTCCGTGCTGATCTCAAGATAGATCCAAACATATGTCCAGTTCCAGCAATCCCAATAACCATATAAATCTAACTATAATCTAAATACAATATTCCAAATATCCATACATCATCCTATTTAAATCATGTAAATCATTGCATATATATTTATATATAATTACATACACAGATTATTATAATACATACATTGACATCCGTACGTACGTACGTACGTACGTACGTACGTACGTATGTACATACATGCATAGATACACAGATACACAGATACACAGATACATAGATACATAGATACATAATCTAATCTAATCTAATCCAATCCAATCCAATCTAATCTAATCTATCTACCGTTCTATCGTTCTATCTATTTCTCTCTCTCTCTCTCTACACACACACAGCTTACACACACACAGCTTACACACACACTGCTTACACACACACACTGCTTACACACACACTGCTTACACACACACACTGCTTACACACACACTGCTTACACACACACTGCTTACACACACACTGCTTACACACACACACTGCTTACACACACACACTGCTTACACACACACACACTGCTTACACACACACACACTGCTTACACACACACTGCTTACACACACACTGCTTACACACACACTGCTTACACACACACTGCTTACACACACACACTGCTTACACACACACTGCTTACACACACACACTGCTTACACACACACTGCTTACACACACACACACACACAACACTGCTTACACACACATGCTTACACACACACACACACACTGCTTACACACACAACTGCTACACACACACACACACACACTGCTTACACACACACAGCTTACACACACACTGCTTACACACACACACACTGCTTACACACACACACACACTGCTTACACACACACACTGCTTACACACACACACTGCTTACACACACACAGCTTACACACACACACACCTTACACACACACTTACACACACTTACACACACACACACTTACATTACACACACACACAGCTTACACACACACACTTACACACACACACAGCTTACACACACACACACACACACACACACACACCTTACACACACACAGCTTACACACACACACACACACCTACACACACACACACCTTACACACACACACCTTACACACACACACATACATGCAATATATAATGCCGTAGACAGAATCTTTCCCCCAACCTCTCCCCATCTCCAGACCCGTGCTGCCCTACTGGAGCTGAACCTGGAATCCCTGGAGCGCCTCAGCAGTGGTGACGGCCTGGGCCGCGTGGACGTCCAGCAGGAGCTGCGGAACGCACACAGCGCGGCCATGGCGGCCAGGGCCATGGCCGTGCCGTTGCATTGCCAGGTGCTGGGGCTGGGGGGCTGGGGGGCTGGGGGGAAACCATGGGAAAGTTGGGAGGGAAAAAAAAACAGTTGAGGAAACTGCTGAGGAAGCTGTTGAATGGATGTAGAGTGGCTGGTTTGTATTTTTTCATCTTTAATTGTTGGATTCGATATTCTGAAGCATTTGTGACGATACACCATGCTGGTTGACCTATGCTGGGAGATGGCTGGAGCTGGGTCAGGAGTCTGCCAACTTGAAGCGAACAGCGCTGGAACGGCTCTGGGAGGAGTATCACTTTGGGCCCTTGGTGGAAGAGGCATACCCCTGCGATGCATGTGGCCTTCAAGGTCTGTCCATGTTTCTGGAATTCCACATCGGCCGAAATGGAGAGTTTCCGCGCATTCGCTTGGAACGCTTTCCTTGGATTTTGAAAGACCTTGGGGGAGCACTGGTGTGTTTTCTGAAAGCATCCGCTATCCCCTTTCAAAAGCCCTATAATAAAGCCCTCCCGGAATCATCCACGGGTTTTTGGTGACCACCAAACAGTGAGGTTGTTGGTCCGACGTGCTGAACCTGACAGAACTGTGCTGCGTGGGCTTCGAGGGCTCCTGAACCTTCAACATGTTCTTGCCAGACCAGCAGCTTGGCAACTGGACATCTGGACATTTGGCCTATTGGCAAAAAGCTCTTTCTATTGGCGAAAAGATCCTCCATTTGGAGCTGAACCCGATCAATTTGGTTTTCTCCTTATTCCACTCCTCAAATTCAGCGGATGAGAGTCTAAAATTTCTCACTTGTCCAAACTTCAAGCTTGATCCACCATCCCAGTCTCCTGTGACTCTCCTAAGACCAAGGCCTACATGTCCTCTGGAGCCAGCTCCAGTGACGATGAGGCCCCTCAGCACTCCAGCGCCAGTTGGCGCGAGGCGGTAAGCGACGTCGAAGAAGCAGCGCCTCATCATGGCGACGTCCATGGGGCCCATGGCATGGTCTGGGCAATATGGCTGTTTAGAAATGGGGTATACTGGTATACTATATCCTCTGAATAGCCATTTTGGTAGAGAAAATGATGATAATCATTGACAATCCAGACAATCCATTCAAATTGGGGATGCCCTATTTTCAGACAATATATGGGGACTATCAGCAGAATGCAGATAATTACGATGTAATATAACCAACACTGACATATCTGGATCTGGCCAGAAATGGAATACCCCACAAAATGGCAATTTCAACATGGAAGATTATGACAAACTATTGGATTCTGGGGCACCCCTATCTGAAAGCAGTGTGTGGGTTTCCACGTTTTGTAATTGCTTCATGTTTTTGCTCCGCCCAAACGGCAATCCCAAACGGCAACTTGTATAATATATGTATACGTATATGTAATATATATAATATAATATAATATAATATAATATAATATAATACAATATAATATAATACAATATAATATAATATAATACAATATAATATAATATAATATAATATTATATTATATTATATTATATTATACATAATAGTTTCACTGCCAACTTGTCAACAATAATGCACACATATCACAATCATACCAGAATCATTTAAATTCACCAAAATCAATGTTTCTTGGTTGAAATCATCCTGACCTCCTGGCTCTTGCCCCTGGGGTCGCGGCCGTCGTGGCCCTGAGGTTTGGAAAGGCATCGCCTTCCCTGAGCTTCACACGGCTGCGGGGCAGCTGATGGCGGAATTGGCCAAGAAGGGCTTCCAACCGGCGCCCTGATGCGCTGTGGGAGATGTGGGCAGTTTTGTTGAAAGAAATTGACACCCTAAATCAGTAAAAATCATCCAGCAGTGGCTTTAGAAGGTCATTAAAAAAAAACGATTTCTTGAACATCCCTTGATAGGGCATGTCCCATGTTGAGACAAACGGCTGAGTGAGTTTTTGGAACTCCCCAAAGGATTTGGGGAGGATTTCGCACCACTTACAGCTGGCTTCCCAATGCCATGACTGCGCCAAAAATTGGATCCCCAAATTGGTTCAAAGAGAGAATCTACAGAAATGGCTTAATCTTGGGCCAGAAAGCCGGGATTTCCATGGATTTCCCATCAATTTCCCATCAATTTTCCCGTCACCAAGCATTCACCAATCTGAGGAGATCATTGGGGCCATGATGGAGCATCCGCCCGTGGCGGGTGCGGCGGGGAGCACCTTGCCCCAGGGCCGTGAACCGTCGGATGTGCAAGCGCCAAGGGAGCCACGCTTCCAGGGCATGAGCATACCTGGATACAACATGAAGCTCGCCGCGGACGGAAAAACATCTTGGGGAAGATATGGGAAGATGAATCACCTCTGTTTTGCCATGTGGCCATGTGGCCATGTTTTCATTGAGCTGGTTCAACTGCCAAGCCCCACATTTCCACATGTTTTCATGCTGAACATGGTGGAGATGGCGGACTTAGCCACTGAGGAAACCAGTTCAGAGATACGAAGAGCGTGCGCTGCGAATGTGGGGTGATGAAGAAATCGAAGAGCACTGGGATCCAGTTCGACTGGGCCTCTCGCGGCTTGGATCCGGTCCATTCGCATTGAAAGCATCACCTTCGCTCTGACTTAGACCAGGATCTCAGCGTTTTTTTTTTTGGGATATATATATATATATTATATAATGATATATATATATATATAATGATATATCTGATATATATATATATAAAGATATGCTCTGCAAGATTGGCGCCCCCAGGTACATTGATCTCACCTCTGCGTGTGATCTGCCACTCCAAGTTGCCATGTCTTTCCTGAGCGCCGCCCTGTGGATGTGGAGAGCTCTGGAGTTGCTGGGCGACAACTGCGGTGGCGATGCTTGGCTGGACATGTACATCTTCGAAGATATTTGGGCAGCGCCACCAGCCTCCAAACGCCTGGCCATGCAGTATAGACTCTTGGCAGTTCTGGCGTGATCCGGACTTGGTTGACATGGGACTTGTGTACTTAGTGTACTTCATTTTGATTTCATGACCGCAATCTGACATGACATGAAAGCGTTGAAAGCGTTTGTAAGACTGCTGGAACAGCTGGGTGCTGCCAGTTAGCTAGAGCATGCTAGAGCCAGTCAGCTAGTCATTGTGAATGCTGGATGTCCTGAGTCCTTAGATTTCTCAAAGAGGCCTGCCGTCATTCGAAGGCCCAGCTGCCCAGCTGATCTGAGGCTTGAAACGAGCCATTTTCGAATTGGTGGACTATGCCGGGAACATGGCGCAACATCAACTCCTACCTGGAGCAAGGCACGGCCAGGGCACCTTTTGGGCACCTTTTGGGCACCTTTTGGGCACCTTTTGGGCACCTTTTCAGTGATCAACGGATATCAATGGCTCCAAAAAAGGTGGGATGCAACAACCTCTGGACTGCGACTGGGATAGTGAAGTCCTCTGAAATCTCGCGTACTCAATTCCTTCGTGACCCCTTAATATCGACTCTCTGTTGTGACGTTGGTACGGTATGCTGATGTTGGCAGCTGGTGAGGTTAGCAGTGCAGCGCATCAGCTATTTGTTGCTGCGCAAAGTCACGGATCGCTTCGGCACAGAGGAGGAACGAAGAAATGGGGGTTGGGCAAGATTGGGCACAGATGTTTTCCAGCTGCTTTTGGATGGGTCGGTTTAAGCTGCTTTCACCAACTCATCCCGCAGCTTAAGATGCTTAACGCAGCCGACCCAGCCGACCAGGACGGACAAAAAGTCAAGGCTCAGCTGAAGCGCTTCTTCGCTGCTGCGCGAGTGAATCCCCTGTGGTCTCCGCCTCTGTTGCCAGTGGCAGATGCGGTCTTCATCGATATTTTATCAGGCTTGATGGGGCCTGGTGGGATTTCACCAAGGATATCTGATATCCATTGATTTCACCAAGGATATTAGCTTCGGTCTGCAAAGATGATTCGAGTATATTCGAGTCATGTCTTAGCACTGGGTTGAGTTTGGGACCTTGAATCAATTTGAAAATATATCCGGTCTAGACCTTTTCGTTTGTCTGAACTTTTGAAGTTACAACTGAAAGAAACGACCGTGTGCTGCCTTTCTCATGTTCCATCCATTTTCCATCCATTTCCACCAGAAATCATCATTGCTCCACCTGCTTCATCCGAAACCTTGGCTGCGGCTTTTCAGGTCGGCTCCACTCAGCCTTCCTGGAAAAGCTTCACGAGTCCGAAACAAAACACGTCTTGCCATATGCGGTGCCGGAATACACGCTCTACGAAGCTGCGTTACTGGGAGGTAGTCACTTGGAGACACCCGACATCACAAGACCACAAGGTTGAAGGTGAGTTTTTGACAAAGATTTTGATAGGTTTCTGTATGTTTTGATGTTGTCAAACTTTAGTTGCTAAGCCGCGAAGCCATGATAGAAGGTGTTTGCCCACACCCAGATCCCCTCGAATGAGGTGATGTCAACGTCACCTTTGCTCGCTATGATGTCATGGGTGCACTCTTGCAGGATACACACAGATCCTGGGCAGATGTAGAAGCCGTTCTGCAGGCGAGTTGTGAAATGGTTCTGCAATTAGCAATCTCGAAAGATATGGCAGAGATGGGGATGGGGGGGTCGTGTTCACAAAAAGACACCTGGTTACATCCCCACATCATCAATTATGTGATACAATCAATCGATTATATATAATTATATATATATACAGTATATATATATTTATAATATCATCAACCTCTTGAGTGCCAGGCTGGTCACATCTTTCCCCAAGATGCTTTTGGTTTTGTCTTCGGCCGCAGAGCCGACCCCCTGCCCTTGATGGCGGACTTCGCGGCGGTGCGTGGTTTGCGAATCGACCTAGCCACGGGGCACGCCAGCCTACTGTTGGCGCGGCCATCGGCGATGGCGCCGCCGCTCTTTTCCTTGGAGGCTGGGCCAAGTGGGTCACACCAGAAGATGAGGTGGAAAATTGTTGAAACATTTGAAAAGGGGAAAGGGGTCTCAACCCCAGTAATCAGATAACAACAAAAATGGCTTCTGTCGTACAATCACTTTAGATCGCAACATTTCCAGTGTGACGCAGGATGTTGCTGCGGTGATGGCTCTGAAGGATACTGAACCGCTTGCATTGATGCTGGATCCTCCTGCACAGAAGCTGGTCAGATCAATACATCCTTCACCATGGCTGCAATCATATAGATCAGAATATGTCAGATACCAAGAGATCAATGGCCCAATGGCATCACAGAGCAAATTATCAAAACATTAGGCCCCAAACTGATATTCTTTGAGCCATAACTACAGACTTGGGGGCTTCTAAGGTTGCAGATTCCCATGTCTCACCATTGTCATTGGCAGTTTGCTGTGAGGAAGGGAGCCGGAATGCCGGAATACCCGCATCATCCTTTTCAACGTGCGAGCGTAAGTCCTACAGATGGAGGGCTTCGGGTTGAGGAGACATTGCTCCAAGCAGCCCTGGCTGTGCAGCAGTTGGCATCTGGCACAGAGGACTGGGTTGTTTTTGGGAAAAGCTTAAATCTTTCCTGATAGATCTCACATATCTCACTGTATAACATCAGGTTTACACCTTTACGTCCTTGGCACATCTTGGCACAAGATGGACTCAACAGCAATGTCTCCATCCTTTCAGAGGTTTCAACCGGTTTCAAGCAACAAAAGCCACCAATTGTGTACTCCTCAGCGGCTCCTTTCTGTGAAGGTATCCTTTCGACCTCCCTTTCCGACGCGGCCATGTGAAGATGGCCTATGTCGATCGCTGCCCAAAGCCATACGAGAAAAGCTGCAGCCCATTCGAAGCCTCCGCACTGAGGTACGGACAGGGAGATTGGGCGACCTTGAAAGCTGGGAAGTCGAAAAATTGGATGAAGATGGATGAAGTACAAATACTGTCGAGATTGTCGGGGTTTGGGGCTTCCCCATTTTGTGAAATCATCAACGATGCGGCCAGGCTTGGGACGTGCCCTCCAGGCGTGGGCTTGGCATCCGGAGCAAAGGTCATAACCTCCGGGTTCCCAAAGACCCAAAGAATCCGAAAGGATCTCTGCTCAGAGATGAGCCAAGAGTGGATCTCCGCCTTTCTCTTTCTCTGTCATACTATTGGTATATATATATATAAACAACTATGTATGTATGTTATCTAGCATTATGTTTCATCCCGGATGGAAAAACAAGCGTTTTGCAGACATGACAACAAGATTTAGTACAACGAAGTCCCGGGGACTGGCCAACTCTGGCTGGATTATTGGTTCTTGTCGGAACTGCCTCATGAGCTCCTGGAGGCTGGTTCTTGAATGTCCACGTATTCCGTTGGGGGCACCCTGTGGACAATGACACTAGAGATGGATTGGACAGGGATGGTGATGGGGTTGGGTGTTTGGGCCAAGCGGATTTCCAGGGATGATAAGCCCAGTTCAATAGCCGCAGTCAGCGGTGAACTGCCAAGGTATTGGCAGGAGCCATCAGGGAACGTGATGGATATACGGCTGCCTGGCTCAACCAGGGCCCTGTAAATGGAAGATTCACAGCTGGCCGGCAATGTTACAAAGTGATGATTGCATTAGTATTGTTGTCATCATTACCATCGCCAATACCATCATCATGAAATGGTATCCATAAATATCTATAGGATTGATGTCCATTTCATGGTCATTTGAGCAGTGTGCAAAACCCCTGTTGTACCCAATTTTTGTTGGGGATTTTCATAATCCGTGACCAGGGGATCCTGTTCTTAACCAGCAAGGTTCGGAGATCCACGACTGGAGGCCATGAAGAGACCTGGGATGGTGTCATGGGTGTCATGGTGTCATGGGTGTCAGACGGTGGGTCCAAACACGTGCAACACTTCATGTTGGAAGGTCCTAGTGACCTAGTCTATCTGACCTCATAGGAGTTTTCTGAGTGTATGGATTGTGGTTCTCGCAGTCTGTCGCCCCAAGCCAATGGGTTGCAGGTCCATGCGGGACAGCCACTGCGCGAACTGAATGAAGAGGACTTGCAATGAACACATCCCGCATGACTGGTGGTTTGCAGAAAAAGGTTTGGTGGATGGCTGAAGGACAACAATTGCATGCAACGTACCCTGTGGTAAACTAACATAACAATGGAAAATCACCATTTTCAATGGGAAAATCCACTATAAATGGTCACTTTCAATAGCTATGTTAGTCATTACCAGAGGGTATCCCAAACATTGGCAGCCATGGCGGCCATGCATGGCCATGGCTCGGATTTCCCGCAGGAGTTCAAGAAATGGCCCGTGGGTCGGCTGCAAGCAGCCTTGAATCAGGTGGAGAAGGAGCTGGGCAGCAACCGACAGGCGCAACAGATTTCCAAAAAAGGATCTTTGGGTAGGCGCAACCGCTATGGAAAACAGTCACTGTTCTGGTCCATTGATCGAGGATTTGCCGACCGAAAATGGTGATTTTTGCCATGTCAGCGATGGGAATTTTCGCATAGCAGGGGTGACTCATCCAGTGCATCTGATTAGAGGTGGGCACCTGGTCTTGGCAGGCGGAGTTGCCAGCGCTGGAAAAGCAGGACCATGGGATGGCATGGATGACGGATGATGACGGGATGCGGCACTGGGTCCGAATCTTCAAATATCATGGCATCACTACTATAAACTTTTATAAACATCCTGCATCCTCCCGAAACAAAGAGGTTCCCAAGAACATGTTGACATGTTGTGTACCATTCAGTGGTTGCTCACTCAACTTTCCAACTCACAATAGTTGAATGCTCTTACTCCAACTCTTATAATTCTCCGAAGACTCAACTGCGCAAACCTCAGCAGATTGAGTTCCCCCCTCGTGGTTCAGCAGCTGGTGCTGTAGAGTCTGTAGAGGAGCTGGTGGATCGCTTGCTGCGAGCTGCTGAGAGAGGCTTACTGATTGAAGATGATGAGGCGAATGGGTCTAAGGGGATGATTTGCTGATGTTTGCGGTGGTGTTTTTGATGAGTATTGGATAGTAATGATAGTATTGGTATGTATTGGTGCATATTTAAGTGCCTTGTGGTGATCAACTCATGCGTCGGGAACCATGACAGGAGATATGGTTGATATGGATCATGATTTCCCAATGCTTGGACTCGCCTTGGACAGGAAACAGGAGAGCCATTGGTGCGCTTCTCCCGTCGTTTGACTCATCACCTCCAGGATTTTTTTGGGGTTTTCTGTCAGCACGGATCCATTCTGCGGGAAGATTCTGAGAATAGCTAGGTATGGGTCAATACCTGGATACCATTTTTAGTGGGATGAAGATCCATTTACCAGCTATTTTGGGGTTCACTAGGTACCAGGGTTTTGACCCATCCCCAGCTCAACACCAAGTCCCAACAGCAGCATTGGATGGGAAATGACCAATAGCTGCAGGACATTGGAGCTGAATGGCCACATCTTGCACGTGCCGCCTGCTGCGGTTGCAAAGTCCCAGTGGTGGACTATTGTTCTTGTTCTTGATGAGTTTGCTATTGATAATGGATATCAGAATATCTTAGATAAGCTTTGATCCATTGCCATAGCATTGTATTGTATTGATTGATGATTTGATTGATTCATTGGTTGGTTGATTGATTGATCGTTTGGTTGGTTGGATGTGATTGAAGGGTATGAAACTGTTGAAGGCATGGTCCCATTCTGCGCCCTGAGAGCAGCTGGACTGATTCTGCGGATGCAACTGCAGCAGCTGCTCGGCCTCAAAAAGACTTTGTGTGTCATGCAGGAGAAGTTTGAAATATCAAGGTTGATCAAGGTTGACATGCTATGCTGGCTATGTGTGCATTTTCTATGAGAGGATTTGTTTTACTCAAGATGTTGCACTTCAGCATCTTCAGAATCTTTGGCATCTTCAGCATCTTCAGCTGCCCGTGCTGTCCAGGATGAACCAATCTGCAAGCGAGCAACAGGACCTGCTTTGCCACTTCGGTTTGTGTTTGGATGTACCCGTAGCAAGCATGGTGACTAGGTGTTGCCTATACCCTGTCTAGCTGTGTCGCACCAAGAAACGGCTACAAATCATGGCGCTAAAAGGTATCGATCATAGGTCCTACCATTGGTTAGTCTCATGAACGGAGAACTACGCTAGTCAAATTGCTCAGGCTAAGAACCACAGAAAATAGCTAGTTCAGTTTTGAAGCATGCATCTTCACCCATGACAATGAATGGCTTTTTCTTTGCCTTCCGTGAAGGAGGGATTAAAGCAAGCCTCCGAGCAGCATGCGAAAGGAATGCAGCCGCGTGGCCCAGGGGTTGGGGATGATTTGAGGGCGCAGATTGCCAGCACCTGGATAAAGTTTAATGCGAGCAGTCTCTATGGCCCCAAGACTTCAAGATTGGGAGTATAGTACAGAATAATACAGAACAGTGGAACATATGGAACCAGGAGACCAAGACTATCCAAGACCTATTCAGCAATTTCCGTTGAAGATGGCCTAAGATGGCCCTTTACTTTTTCCACAGAGTGGCTGCGTGGCTAAGGCAGCAGCAGGAGGAAGGATGGAGAGGTGTGCTGGCGGAGGTGCATGCAGGCGACCTGCACTGGGACTGGGGCAGAGTGCCTTAACAAAAACATCGACAAAATGGAACAAAACATGAACCATGATAAAACATGTTAAAACATGTTAAAACATGTAATTATTTTGGGAGATCAGATCAGATCATCAGATATCATCAGATCCACCACGTTTTTTCCCAACTCACCAACTTTGCCGGTGGAGATTCCATCGTTGCGAGGCGTCCTCCGTCAGCAGGGTTTCGTGAACTTGGACCCCATGAAGTGCTTCGAGGACGCGAGCGGCCGCAGCTTTGGGCGCTGCTGCAGCGTGGGGGACTACGCTGAGGAATGTTGGAATGGCAGAGGTGGATTTTGTGGAGATTGTGGAGATATGGAAAATAGACCACCTATAAAATCCACAATGGTTATATCTATAACAATAGAGATATGGAAATATAAAATCCTATAAATATCTATAAATATGATTTATATTTTATTTTAGAATATGTTCAATGGTTTTTGGAATGTTATAGACATTTTTAGGCCATGTTAGATGATTTCATATGACTCTGAGAATGACATGGTGGTGTCTCAGCACCGACGCCGTGGTTCGGTATGCGGCTCAAAGGGGTTGGAGTCTCCCCCCAGCTACATCAGCTACTTTTTTGGGTACTTTGGGTACAAAAACTTGGATTACAGTATTTGCAATGACTTTCATATATTTTGCATATATTTTTCATGGGGATTGCTCAGCTTCAGAGGTTTATCTCAGCCTTCGAAGGTGCCCAGCGAGAGAGATGTTGCCGTGGAGAAACCCGACAGAAGGCAGGAGGATACACCTGAAACTCAAATGGCTTCGTGTCGAAAATGGGGGTCCAGATTTCTCATCCGAAATAGGTATCATTTGTGTTGCACTGCCAGAAACTCATGATGACTCATGGTTGTTGTGACGCATCCACCACAAATCCAGTGGGTTTCGCAGTTTCCCGATTCCCTTAGTCTTGAGTATCACAATGTTTATCTGTTTCCATCCATGTTTATCGATTTATGTGATGTTTACCATGATTTCATCCGAATTTCCCAGAGTCTCCTCCGTCCATTTTCCCCGGATTTTTCCATCAACATCTCCCAGATCCCCATTTTTCCCAGATTTTCCATCATTTCCAGGTGGATCAGCATCTCTTGACCTCCGTGGCCGCCCAGTTGGGCAGTGTCTCCAGCCGTCGTCCTCCACCAGAGCTGCTGATCCCAGCGGTAGAGGCCTGGCTGCGGAACCCTGCCGGAGGCACGGGAGGTACCAACAGCATGGCGTTGATCTCGCTGTTGGTGGAGGAGGTGAACCCGGAGGAGTTGATGAAACAGCAAGGTGGGGCAGATTCGCAGATTCGCAGGGAACTTGAGGTGAAGATAGGTGAACTATGGTGAACTGTTTATTTTGATTTTTGATGGACAGGTTGTGGTTGATGAAGACTTAGAACTTTATCATGTGGCCTGTGGATGCCTGTGGTAGGATGCATGTTGAGTTGCAGAAGCTCAGCCAACGAGCCTTTCAGGTCATCATGTAAATGCCCCCGTTCAGAAGCTCTTTGCTGACCTGGATGCCTTGAGTCCAACAGCAGGAGTGGGGCTGGTTTGAGCTTCCCATGTCCAACTGTCCAACTATCGTGTAACTCTTCAGATCAGCGACACCAACAACTCTCAAAAAATCTGCAGCCAATACAGTTCCCATCTCTAAACCAATCTAAACCATCTAAACTTCAGCCTATCATCATATCATTATCCCATATTATCATATATTATCCCCATCTATGGCATCATCAGCATCCCCTGCCAGAGGCATCAAGGGCTTGGTCTCCAGCGGCCAAGCCGGGTCCGAGACCTGGCTGCCGGTGCCCGCCCTGTCGGCCTCGGGCGGCCGCCGGGCGCTCTACGGCACCGTGGCGCTGTCCCCGCAGCTGGTGCACCTGGAGCCGGACGAGGCGCAGGCAGCCAGGGAACATCTGCAGAAACACTACCCGGGCACCTGGGTCCATGTGCCCATGGAAGCTTGGTCTCAACATGTCTCAACATGTCTCAACATGTCTCAATATGTCTCAACATCTTGTTATCTGTCTTTTTTTTGTTAGGAAAAGAAGAGAAAGTATAACACATCATGACACATCATGACACAATTCATGCATCAAGTGGACATTGCCCAGCCGTGGTAGAGCAGAATGGTCCATTTGCTGTGAATTATTCCATATTGCCAAGTGTAACGGTATTCATTTTTGGTAAAGCGGGTAAAGCCGGTAAAGCGCATGGATCACAGGGTTTTGAGACATGCCTTGATCCGATTTTAGTTTGGTTCAACAAATGAGTTTCACTCCAACACAGCGCTGATCCCAGGAGAATTTATCCCACCAAGTACTTCAGAAGGATGCGGCAAAGAGAGCTGCCCTGCAAGCACAGCAATCTCCGAATCTGCGTGCCATTTATGAAGCCACGCAACTCATTAACCTTCTGGATGAACGGACAGAAGATTTAGAAGCTGGCAAGGTGGTGGCCATGATTTGCCCAGGGGGTGGAACTGGGTGTGGGTCAATACCCCAATTAGTATCGATTAGTGTTATCTGTTATCCCCACGTTGTTTCACATTCCGATGGTTCCAAGGTTGAACTCCCTCAGTTCGCTGGTGAATCACTGGATTTTCCCATGTTTGCCCCATATTCGTTAGATAGAATCCCTGGATTTTCCGCCACGAGGTGCCAACGGCAAGCAGAGCAGTTGCTCAGATCTCGGAATGCCTCACAGGTTGGCGTGAACTGAACGCGCAGGAGATCCAGCAGCTGAAGCGAGGCAGTCACCTGCAACTGCGGCGCAAGCAGTCGGAGGACCCGCTTGGGCTGCCAGTGTGCCAGTTTGGGGGTGAAACATGGTGAAACGACTTGGAATTCGCCAACATTGGCCAGAATCCAGCCACAGCTTGGGACTAGCGTATCTGAGATGTTGATTTTGGGGATGCTTCAGATGGCTGCATCGTATTTTTGGGGGAAATGATAAAATATGATAAAATTCTAAACGTGTCGGCGACCTGGAGATCCCTGTGAAGGAGCCCATTGAGGTGCGGATGGAAGTGAAGCTTCTGACCACTGGAGAGCCAAGCAGCTGGGTGCTACAGAGATTTTTGGCCCAAAAATATCATAGATTTGCATTAGATTTGCCAAGTTTTGGGATGAAACATGATGAAACAAATTAATTATTACTAAGTTTGTGCAAAATCTGTTTGACTTACTATATGTTCACAAAATGAACACCAAAAAAAAACAATCATCCGAAAATTTATGGTCTGTTCCCCCATTGTTGGATGCATGCAAATACTTGGATTGTCCACGCCCACTGGAGATGAGGATCCAATTCTGTGATTTTAACCATCCCAAGTTTAAAAGTTTCTTGTCATTTTTTTTTCAAGGGATTTGGTTCACCAGCAGGTAGTCAATACCTCATTTGGGAAGTTTCCACGGTTGGCACTTCCGAACTTCAGTATTTCGACCTCCTGCAGACCGATCTGGCAGTGAGCGCGCCATGCAACGTGTCGCGGCCACGGGAACCGAATCCCTCCAACGCGTCGGAGAGCGCGGCCAGTGCCGCATCCGATGGACCAGAGGCATCTGAAGGGTCTGAGGACTTTACAGAGGTGCCACGCAGTGAGACAACAGAATGGCCAGGATGTATTGAAGCGGGTATCTCCAGGCAAGCAGTGGACACAAAATTACATGATTTTACATGTTTGAAAGTGTTATTTCAAGATGCATCATCCACATGTATCCACACCTCACCAGAAGTAAAATCGGGAAAAGTGGGTGAAAGTTGACTCACAGCAGGTGCATCCTTGGCAGGTCATTGGAAGGCAGAGGTTTATTTGTGAATCTGGGAGCTTTGGGAATTGAGCGCGGCTGCTTCCAAGACGATTGCTCGCATTCAGATCACTTTGAAGCAGTAACTCCAGCGGAATGTGCCAAGATCTGCAAGAAGAGCCTCGGCTGATCGGACAAAACGTAGTGAAAAGCATTTGTCGCATCAGTCTGCTAAAGTCCCTTCAGCCACCTTGGTGGATTTTTTTTGTGGGGAAGTCGGATCGATTGCGCAGTACCATTTGTATTTGTGTTTTCAAGCGTTTGAAGGAAAGATTTTGTTGGTCCTCTCGATTCGATGTTTTCCCTGGATCAGATCCGTGTGAGACAGATTTGTTTGCAAGCATCGATTGCAACGCTCTCTCGTCCATTGCTTCGAACAGAAGGAAAGAAAAGGAAGGAAAGGACAGCAAAAGAAAGAGGACAAAGGGCAAAGAGAGCAGGCTGCTATACCGGGCTTTGGACCTCACCCAGACCTGGCCCAGAGCCTGAGCCAGAAGAAAAAGAAAGGAAAGAACGAGAAGAAGAAAAGAAAATAAAGAACAGAAGAACAAACATTAGAAGAAGGAGAAGAAGAAGAACAAGAAGAATAAGAAGAATAGAAAGCAACATGAAAGGAAAACATGCGGAAACTGGATCCAGGAGAACCTGATGTGACTACAGTTTCTGACTGTATCTTTATTCAAGGCAAATTTAACTCAACGGAGACAAACTAGATTGCCTGTCAAGTTAATGAGCGAAGCTACAAACACTATTCATCTATCAGATGTGTTTTATCTGATGTGAATAATATTGAAAAACATATAAATACAATTACCAACACATGTGGGTTTCCAAAAGAGAAATTTGACCATATAGGGGCCCCATTTTGGCACGTTTCTGAAAATGCAGTGTTTCTTGTATATCATATTTGATCATCCATGTTATAGATCTTGAATACGTTCCTTTGTATCATGTAAAGACTAACATGTAGAATCTTGTAATATATATATATATACACACACTGCAAACCATTTAAGCATAATGTTATATTTTCTTTGTTAAAATGTGTAGTGACAAAGGTCATTCATCTGTTCTTCTTTGTTCTTTTTCTCTTAAGGTGATTCCTTATATCTCCATAGATGCCCAGAGATCCCCGGAGATCTATGTAGACAGAGTCTCTCAATGTCTCTCATGGATCCCTGGACATCCCAAGAGATCCCCAGAGATCTCCAGAGATTAGATTCCCAGGATTTTCCAAGGATCCTCGGTGATTCCTGGAGATCAAATCTTCTTTTGATCCCTAAAGATCTAGAGAAAAAAAATAGAACCAATACAAAATGTAGTACATAGCCTGGGGGGTGGTCGAAAAAAAACATCGACCCCCCTCCCTCCATACATATATGGCTATGGATCAATACCTATACATACCATTTTTAGGGGGATGAACATCCATTTACCAGCTATTTTGATGTGAACTACAGGGGCATAGGGTTTTGACCCATCCCCATATACACATATATATATGTATCAATATGTTTTTTTTTGGCTCCTCCCTCCTCCAAAGCTCCAACTTCTCTCAGGGTGATTCCAAACATCTCCATAGATATGAGAGATCCCCGGGGATCCCTGTAGACCTTGGAGATCTCATTTGTTTCTGATGGATCCTTAGACATCCTTCTGGAGATACCTGGGGATGGTGATCCCTGGGGATTCCAAGAGATTCCCAGAAAGAAGCAAAAGAATACTAAAAGTAGCCCTACTATACTGTTCCATATATATATATATAGATACATACACACACACACACTTTACATAATCAAAATCTATATGGAGGACTTGGATCATAACTCTATCCCTACTACACTGTTCTATATGCAGTTTACAGAATCAAAATATGTATGGAGGATTGGGATCATAAGTCCACTGACTCCACCTCTACTATCCTGTTCTATATGCAGCAAATAGAAGAGCACTGTAGCAGAAACAAAGCAAACAAAAAGACATACAAAAGAAACATAAAAACGTGAGACTATTAACAGAAACAACATCAACTATCAACAAATGCCTATTTTACCGTGGAAATTTGGGGCCCCTATTTGGTCACACTCTCTTCCAAAGTGGTGGTACCCCAGCTGGATGATAACTATAGGGGTACCCCCATGATCTCGGCAATAGGATTTCTCTCCCAGGATTTCAGCGTGCCGGCAATGGATTTTTTGGGAAGGCAACCCCTCCACCTGTTGGCTGCGGCACAGCTTGTCCCGACGAGGAAGCGCAGGTGGAGCTCTGTCAGGTTCCTCTGCGTGCGTGCCACCGGATGCTTGGAACTGATGAAGGCCATCTACACTCAATTTTTTTGGTGGAGAAATCATGAGAAATCCATACTTGGAGGATCTTTGAGGTCGCATTTTAAGAAACATGATATAAGGTTACCTTTGATTCAATAATTGAACATACCATGATAAGAAACCTTTGATAAATATCTGCATTTCCTGCATTCCCCGTTGTCTTGCACCCCAGATACGTGTGCCAGTGCTTCCTTCAAGGATGAAGATGATGGCCCTGCCGAGCCAAACCTTTTCTCCTTGATCACCAGCAAGAGTGGTACCGTTCCTCCGGCCTTGTGGCACGAGAGAGACCTCATAGGAACCTTGGAGGATCGAGGTTTGATTCTATTTCTTTGAACATTTTGGAAGGGTGTTTTACAACTTATACACTTATACTTAAAGAACAAACATACCTGGATATGGCGCGGTTGTAGAGTGGCTGTGCTTGTAGAGTTGCCAGACATTAGAAAAAAACAGAAACCAGAAAAGAATCCCTGCAGGAGTTTGGTCACCTGACGCTGGCTGAGATCAAGCAGAAACCGTCCTCCATGCGTCAGCGCACCGCCTTGCGCGCTGCCGCGGAGGCCAGTGCGACCTACCGCAGCGGTGACGCATGGCTGTCCAGGTGACGGTGATCTTCACGAGGTGCTGACGTCGGTCTCAGAAAAACGTGGCTGCAACGAGGTGGGCAAAACGTCACGGCGATGTGATGATCACAGCGTGGTGGACCGGAGCTGGATGGGGCCCGGGGATGCTGATGGAACCTGCTGATGAAGAGCTGGTGAAGAGCTAAAAACCTGAGGGGCCAGGGAGTAGTTGAGATGCCACCAAGAGAAGGTTCAGATGGACCGGACATGCGGGGCAAAGTTCTCCACAGGGATGCTGCGAGTTTGCAGAAAGAGTAAGGTGGAGTTAATGGTAAAAATGTTAAAAATGACCCGGCAGAGACAGCTTGACAACTTGCGGATGCAATGGTGACTTCAATAGGGAGTTGAGATGAGTTGAGTAATGTTTGTAAGGAGCCCTTTTGGGCATAGCATTTTGCGAATTTTGCGACAGGCATCGGAGCATTGTGTGCCCACCTCAGACGACCAATCCACACCCAAGTGCTTCGAAGGCTTCGAAGCGACTGAGGAACAGGATGCCACCGAAGTGTTGGAGATGTTGGGTGCTCTCGAGGCCTGCATGCTGCATATGCTATGCTGCTATTGCATGCTGCATGCTCGTCAAAGATCTACAGCTCATGGTTTTTGTTTTTTTTAAACATCTTTTCCCCATCATTTTCCCCATTTTTCAGACATATCTTGGGATCCCATCCCATAAAATGAGACGAACCAGGAGCAGCGCAAGGAACGCCGCCAGCTGCAAGAACGACGGGCTGACTTGCTGGCCATGGGCTTTCAAAACTCCAACGAAGAGAACCAGGACGTCGCTGGTTGCACCGTTGCACCCATCAAGGGATGATGAAATCACCGGGGCTAGACGGTTAGACTGCTCTTTCACAATGGGTTGGCCTAAAAGGCCCATACTGATGGTGTGTATGAGATAGATGATGTGTTGACAGATAATACGAATTATTCATTGTAGACTCGAACGCCATGTGTGCCGCTTTTTTCGATCCATGGTAAATCGCTTACGTTTTTCTTCAATTCCATGTCTTCAGCGATCCAAAAGAATTTCGATGAACATGATCCATCAAAGATCCATCAATGACCCATCCATTTTTCGGGCGCCTTTCTGGTAATTCGGCTGACCCATGCAATGTTCTCACCATTGGTGCAATGGCAGGAGTTCACCTCGCTCATCGTTTGTGCCGTGGGTGGCCTCTTTGCTTCGGCCTCAGTTGGGATATTTCGGATTCATTACCCATTCATTACCCTGTATACCACCTCATTTAAGCTCATATTGGGGATGGTTGTATTATGGGCTTTGCCACATGATGTTTTGTTGGCTGAACATGATGGTCCAATGATACTGATGGGCTTTCTCGGGTTTCAAACAGGCGTACTGATGGAAGGATTTGGGTATGGCGGAGTGAAATCCTTACGAAGTAGTCAGTCAAAGCCATCATCCATGAGTTTTAGGAACTGCCACAACAACATTGCATCAAAAAGAACTAGGTCTGCAGGACCCACTTTTTTAGGAGACAGCTTTGAAGCACTTCAAACCATCCATCTCAAACCCGACCGTTACCTTCGAAGCGCAAATCCACCTGCAAAAGTGGGGTATTAGGGTGGTTTTTAGCCATGCCTTTTGTACCCAATTTCTGCAACTGGGCTTGAAAGATAGCAACTGACCTGCAGCTGTTGGTTTCTGGAGATACAGCTGAAACTACCCAATGTGGCGCCTCGATTTATCCCTTTTTTCCATGGACCAGCGCCACAAATAGGTGATGGGCATTAAACACTTCATTCATTTGTGTTCTTTCAAAACAGAAACCCACATGGACCATGAGCACTAATACAGTAGGTTGAAGCTCGCGATGCCCCTCAGGCTGTGTCGATCCACTATGCCTTCTTCGCATTGTGGCTTGTCGGCTACCTCGTGTACAGGCCCGCTGGGGTTCCAGCGTTGCAATCTGGATGAATTGCGATAACTTCAGGGCCACAACACTATAGATGATGGTTGGGAAGGGGAACCTCCGCAAAATCAACTTGTTTGATGTTGGTGAATGGAACTCAGCCAGATAAGCCACTCGCAATCACTCGCATAGATTTCTCATTGGAAATGAAATGACCGGCCCATACATGCCAATATTTGCTACTTTTCGGCGGTTTTTACTCAGAGTTTTCACCAAGTTTTTTTATGTTTGATGGGTTGGTGCCAGCCAGAGACCGTCTTCACCCATGGCTCGCGCCAGGCGGTCGACACGCTCGGTGCGCCGGCAACATGCAGCGGTCGAGAATTTGCAGGACATCACCGACCGACTCAAAGAGGTACCCTGGGCCAGCTAGGGAAGCGGAAGTTTGCTGCCTCTGGGGCAACCAATGAAGCTTACAGAAATAGAACAGAAGCGCAACAATAAATATAACAACAATAATAGGTCCAGATACTTGATATACTTGGGATAGTTACAGGCAGGAACGCGGTTTTGGTACTGACTAAATGGATCATCATTATAAAGCTTGTTCAGGAAAACACTTGAGATGCAAGGGGGATAAAAATCGAGCATAGCTCTGCACGTTTTTCCATCCTAACTCTCACAACATGATTCATACTTCAGACACATTTATACTACGTGATACATTTAAGTAAAGATATTGTACTAGATAATTCATACTCCATAGTATAAAGACCAAGATAATTCATACAATTCATAGATCTTCATAGAGATATTCTACGGTACTTTCATAGAATTGGATGATGGGAAAATTTACAGGAAAGCCCTATATTTGATGGTAAAAACCATGGTTTCCGGTTAAGATTTTCCCTTAAACCAATCCAGTGATACTTGATCTTTGCATTCCGCAGCTCGATGCCTTGGAGTCCAAGCGCGTGGCAGAGATGCGATCCAGATTGGAGGCGCGTTGCGGACCGGAGAGGTTACTTTGATGGGGACAACTATGGGAATTTACACTACAGTTGGGATAGAACCCCAATAACATCCTATAACTGTGTTTATAGTTATATATATATACAAGATTCACTCACAACTGGAAGATACTGGAAATGCACTTCCAAGTAGTTGCTTAAGGACCAAGCATGGAATGCTGGTAGATACTGATGTAGACATGCCTAAACAAGGGGGTGAAACGGTGAAATGAATGGTTCTTACGATTCGAAGTTCGCCTGGAGAATTGCACGGGCTCACCATGGCCAAGCTGGGCAGGCCTGGCGACAAGGTGTGGAATGATGGAAAAACGCTCAACGCTGTTGCTGGTGGCAGAATTGTGATCCCAGCAGCGTTCCTTTGGTTTTCATGGCGAAGGTCTGGGATGCAAAAGGTAGTTCCGGGCACTTAGCCCGTGTCAGTTTTGCGTGTATCCACCGCTGTTCAACATGTTCAATCAACAGCACAGAATACCAACAAAAATAACTAGCCAAGAGACTTGGACCTTTTCAACCCACCAAACCTCCAGACCTCACCACATCCAAGATGCAAGGTGTTTGGCAGAGACTGATTCACAAGCAAACGAGTCACTACAGATCCCTGGTATCAAACACTCTGCTTTTCCCGCACGAAAGCTTTGAGGTGCAAACCTGCCAGTAACAGTTCAACATATTTCAACATCATAAACTCCCAGAAACATCAAACTCGCAACAACGGCCACATCGCCATGTCGCGCGGATATGCTGCACAGGCGGTGCCACCTTTTCTTTACACAAATCTTCATGGCCGCTGTGGGGAAACCACGGAGTTTCGCGGTCCCTAATTTTGACATATTTTGACTTTGATCTTGTGAATTGTTTGGATGCTGTCTGCATATTTTTGGATCCAGGATGACTGCTAGTCAGTCCTTAATTGGGGGCCCAGAATCTGTTGACAGGGCCCCAGACTGCAGCCTTCAGTGCTTTGGGCACAACGAAAAGACTCAGTCTTCGTCACAGTGGATATCAAGGACGTGTCCGGTTGATGTGAAACTCATTTAAAATGGTTGCTTCTGACAGCCTCATCGTTTTTGGTCATTTCGATAATCATTGAGAGACCACCACATTCTAGTGGTAGTCAGAGCCACTTCGTCAAAAGGATTACCCTCTGGTAAACTAACATAACTATGGGAAATCACCATTTTTAATGGGAAAACTCACTATAAATGGCCATTTTCAATAGCTATGTTAGTTTACCAGAGGGTATATATATATATATATCAGTAACTCATAGCTGCTTATGGCTCATGGTACGGTTCAGATCACTCCGCGGTCATGCTCTTTATCCTGAGTAGCCTTGAGGCATCAAACATGGCAATGTTTTAAAGCCGGAAGGGACATAGGAAAATCATGGAAAACCACCAAGGAATGATTACAGGGGAGAAGATCCACTGTCATCGTGGGACGTCACCGGAGGATATTCACAATCACTCATGCTTATTGCTAAAACCTCCCAGCTCAGCAGTTTGCTGATTTTCAATTGTCAACTCCATGGACTCCATGGGTCCAGGATGCCAGCGACGTCCACTTTCAGCTGGAGGAGGCATGCCTAGACTTTGCTGCGAAAGGCGGTGAGGCTGGGGCAGACAATTGATGTGGCAAACTCAATGCTTACTGCTGCTTAGTAGGGAATGGAGGAATGATCAATGGTAAACTTGGTAAACCATCATTCCATTCCCACATTCCCTCACCAGTAAGAATAGGTAAACATCACACATCTACCATTTGGGGATGGTTTATAGAGATTTTTGGTGGTATTGGGGATGGTATGTAATTGGGTTTACCACATATACTTTCGACAAAGATGTGCAGCTGTTGAACTGTCCCACTTTTCAAGGGAAACCATCGAGAATGAACGTATTTTGTGGATCAACTTGAAGACTTTTGCAGGTCTAAGTGGCTGCACCACAAAAAACATATATAAGTTGGCAATCTTGATGGCTATCCTACCTGGTTCTCCTGTTGTACAGTAGCACTGTACCATGATGAACCATGATAAACCCATGAATGCAGCCCCATTTTGAATGTTCATGTTGTCAGAAAAAGTTGAGGTGTTGGACTCATAGCTTGGCACCAGGACGGTTCGGCCTATGCCTTCCACTTGGAGCTGTATGCGCCCATCCGGCGGGAGGTCGGGCGGTCTATTGATTGGACACATATTCAAGATGATCATAAGATGATCATAAGATGATCATAAGATGATCATAAGATGATCATAAGATGATCATAGGATGATCATAACATGATCATAAGATGATCATAAGATGATCATAAGATGATCATACGATGATCATACGATGATCATAAGATGATCATAAGATGATCATAAGGTGATCATAAGATGATCATAAGATGATCATAAGATGATCATAAAATGATCATAAGATGATCATAAGATGATCATAAGATGATCGTAAGATGATCATAACATGATCATAAGATGATCATATGTATCATCATCATCGTCGTCGTCGTCGTCGTCATCATCATCATCATCAGTATCAGTATCAGTAACGTTCTGCAGATTCTTGCCACCGGCTTTGGGCAGGGTGGATCAATATCAGCCTTTTTGTGTCACTTCTATCCAGGACTCAAAGTTCAGCACCAAGCGGTGCCCAATGTGCTCCCAGCCATGTCTTGGGGTTTTCGAGGATAGCTTCCGAACATCTCTGACAAGATCTGTGCAGGACAATCAGCTCTTGAATCTCGACACAACAAGATCTCCGACAGGTTCTTTCTCCGGAAGAGCTCTGCGGACAACTGGCCGCGCCTTCAAAAAGAAGGAAAGCTCCCCTGGGTTGGCAGCTCACCGGGGTATGAATATGTACCAGCACCTTCCAGCACCTTCCAGCACCTTCCAGCACCTTCCAGCACCTTCCAGCACCTTCCAGCACCTTCTAATGGGTGCCGTGAACAGTCGTGGTATGAATTCCAGGCTGAAATTGCAACCCATTGTGGCTCTGAGGTGAAGATTGATTGGAACCGATGGGTTTGGCTCTCAGCCTCCAAGTTTGCTGGTTTTTTCCTGCAGGGACTCCCGGCAGGGACCTGAGTCTTTTGTCCTTGGTGCAAGGCTGATTCTGACGAGAGGAGGACAAGGGCGCGTTTGACACGGGTGACCTTGAAGGCAGGAAAGCTGGTCGGAGCCGGGGCCAGGGATGGCAATGACCTCAATGCAGGCATGGACTTCGGCGGCCTGAGCAAGGAAGATGTGGAAGGGTCCCTGCCTCGGTGGAGCTGCTGCTGCCATGTGGAGCCAAGTGGAGCCAAGTGGAGCCAAGTGGAGCCTACAGGTCGGATGACCGGGATAGTATCTTGGCCGATTTGGACGAGGTGCCGGATTGAAGCAGCCATCAAACTCCAACTGTTTCATCCCAGTTGGAAAAAGATGTCCCAAACCCCGTGTGCCCACTGGACTGAAATTTTGACCCAGAGCCATGTGATCTTTTGGCGGGTAGACCGCTGTCTTGAATGTGTTGATAGGACATTGCAGTACTCACCGACGAAGAGGCTTGAAATGGGAAAGCGATGATCCATTGGCTCCGGTCAATCCGATTTGCGCATGTTTGTGCTAAATCTAAGGATGTTTGAGGTATGTGGATGTTGAAATCGGAAATTTTCCACCAGAATCAACAGGTCTTCATCAAGCAACTTGGTCTCGGTCAGCATGCCGAGGCGCAATAGTCGCCCTGCGCTGCCACAGAGCGCATCGGCCACACGGAAAAGTCACCTGAACATGACCCGACCCAGACCCCACGGCACCCATGGACCCCCCGATGAGATGGATGTGCTGAATGCACGGGCATGTCTTGATGATCACAGAAACATACAGAAACCATTCTGGTATGTTGGCATGTTGCGTTCTATCATGTTCTGTCAATTGCAACTGACGTATCGTGGCTCTGAACTACCACAGCTGGCGACAAGACGTTGACAGCACGCTGTAAAGCCTCTAGGGAGGCTCATAACGACGAAATGAATAAACAGGTCCAGAAACGAAATTACTTCACCGGACATGGCTGCGCAAACATACTAACAGTTGTTTGTTGCCCAGACATCAAGAGGTTGGAAGGTCGTGGAATCGCACTGCTTTGACAACATATTCGCTTCTGGATTGCAGTGGTCCAAAGAATTCCTGGGTGGTTTTGAATGTTTTGAATAGTTCTTAATCACTTTCCAATGTTTTCCAATCCTCTTTTGGGATGAGATCGGCATTTTTTTTTCAGCGGCTGAATCTCCAACATCTCCAACGAGTTCAAGAGCCACAGTAGTTCAGCTGCTGAAGAGCATGATGTCGAGTGACAGCGGAGAAGCTTATGGCGGCTGGCAGCATGGCGCGGCCCTCAACAAAATGGTGGAATCCCTGCATGGAATTTGGCTGTTTCGCTTGGATTCCATGGCTATGACTCTCGGATTCGTTTGTGGTTTCCCATGTTTTTGAGCATCCTGCAGACTGAAGATGGAAGCCCCACGCAAGGCGCAGTTGCTGGACCATTGGTGTTTTAGTCAGGAGGTACCCGAAACCCAAAAGAGCGAAAGAGTATGGCTTAACTTTCCTGAACATGGCCCTCTAAATTCGATGGTGTCATGGGAAATATCGGAATAACTAAAAAATGAAAAAACATGATCGGACATGTCTATTTTTGATTTAAGGTTTCATCTCACCAGCATCTTGAGACCCCCTTTCAGGGTTTCGAGCTGTGGCTGCTCGTGTCAGGCCAGACTGAGACAAGAAGTGATGAAGCTGGGCTGATTTGATGTGTGTTGAGTCTGTCGTTATGTGTCCAAATTTTCAGACCTCTCCAACATTTTGGCCACACCTGCAGAATCCCGCAGATTCCTCGCATTTGCCGAAGTGTTCAAAGACAGCAAGAAGCAATGGCTCGAGAATGCTTAATATTGGATGTAGGCAAATTGCGTTCTCTTGTGACTGACAAATGAAATCATTTGTGAGTGACGAAAACAAACCTGCGCCTGCCAGAAACAAGGGATTTATCGAACACTTTGATGGTCCCCTGAGGGGAGTCCCCTGTGACAGGCAATCCTGGGTAGACTTCGGGTAGAATTCTAGGTTCTTCAGTTTTTCAGAATTCACCACATCGAGGATTCCGGAAGCTTGTCTCCGTTTCCGGAGCAAATTGGTCGTCGTCTGGATCTCGGGGACACAGCCATCTCAGGGAACCTGTGAATTACATCCCTTGCAAACAGCTATGTTAAAAGACTTCAGATAGCGAGGGAGGAAATCGCTGGGGGTTGAACCTAAGATGGGCTCACAGATCTTTATGATGTGGGTATATGTATATAGTATATATATATAATTATAATTATAATCTATTATATATATATTTTCCTTATAATATATTATGTATATATATATATACACATAATATGAGTTTCCATCATGAAATGCCTATTTGGTCACTGGCAATCGTAGATTCGCCAAGGTCAGGTCACCATGGACGGGCAAGAGAGCATCACGTCCTCTCAGGTGACTTGGACGACTTGGACCGCCACAAGTCTTTTCCTGTTCAGAGCTTGTTTCTGACCAGATATACTTCGAATCATAGATTAGATATGACAATAATGATAGCTTAATATGTACTTATAAGTACATGTTTATTCATTTAAAATTTTTGTTTATCATCTAGAGTATGGCACCAAAGCCATATTTCCATGATGATTTCCCATCTAACCATGAGATCTTGAGCCTTTTCCAGGTCCTCGGTGACGGCACGCCCAAAACGCCATGGAATGCCAAGTCCAAAGGCGAGCTGAGCTGTTCGTTGGGGCCGTTGGAAGCTGGATTGGTCACTGGTTACCCTGGTTGGTCAGAGTCAGTTAGACCCCCAGCTTCTGTAGATTCCATAGGAATCTAACCTGCGATGGAAAAACAACATAAAACAACCATGGAACATACACTATTAGACTATTTGTAGATGATTCTTTGGCATACACATGGTGATTTTGCAGTGCCAGATTACCAGAAGGTAACTTGTGAGAATGATCCAATTTATATGTGGATTTTGGTATCCAAAACCAAACTACCAAGCCCAAGTCGACATGGGGTCGTGCAGAAAGCACCAGTCTTTCCAATGATCATCATTTTCATCAGAGGTACTGCTAAAAGTTTGGGTCAACATCTTCAGTTCTTGAGACAAAAACATGGAAAGACTTCTAAGAAACATCACGTTCAATGCTCACTATTCTTCCAGCGATCTTTCGACGCAGGTTTGAGGGACATCCTACTGAAGCCACCGGATTTGCGCACTGAAGTGGAAATTGAAGAGGCTCGGTTGCTGGAAACATCTGGAAACTGTTTCTGAAAGGAACAGAGGTGCCAGAAAGGAAATCAGGCAAGACCAGGCAAGAATTCTTGTGCGAAATGCTCTACATGATGTTTGTTCAGGATGAGACAACTGAAGATTACTGATGGCTCGTGGGATTCGGGCTCCGTGGGATTCTGGGAATTAATCGATTTGGATTGTCCCATGGTCCCATGGTCCCATGGTTCAATGGTCCCACGACCTTCACTCATTGGAGGTCTTTGCTGCGATTGAGAGGCTGCAAGATCCGCCCCTCGTCTGGGATCATCTGGATCATGGTCCGGTGAAAGGGCACGGCAACAAAACAACTCAAGATCAATTGGTCAAACGTTTGCTTGAGATACCGTATACGTAGGCATCGTCAGCATCTTTTTGGATGTCAAAGATCTCCCAGGCAAAAATGGTTACCCTCTGGTTATTTAACATAGCCATGGTATACATGGCCCATAGAAATAGATGGTTTACCTATTAATAGCATGGTGATTTTCCATGGCTATGTTAGTCATAACCAGAGGGTAAGTGAAACGAGGTTCCTCGCCAACTTGGATCAGCCCGTGAAACGCGCCATGTGCGACTCATCTGCAGTATTCAAAATGGGTTCCCCCAAGCATGGGGAACAAGGGGTAACCCTCTGGTAAACGTTTACATAACTATGGAAAGGTCCACCATTTTTTATGGGAAAACTCACTATAAATGGCCATTTTCAATAGCTATTTTGACATAACCAGAGGGTAACCCTGTTGTAAAAACCATGTAAAAACCATGTATCATTGATTCTGGTGAAGCCAGCCGAGGCCAGCGCCTCACTTGGGAGGCTGGAACCAGGGAAGCCCTCTGGGATGGCAAAGCTGTGATGGGGAATCTGAGTCGGCCAGGAATTTCAGGAGAACGAACAAATCTTTGACTTCGGTTCCGTAGGCGCGCGGCCTCCAGTCTATAGCTGTCAAGATGGGTCACTCTATTCAATGGTTTTTTTTGCGATTCCAGGTGGAATTGAAACTCCTTTCATGAAGAATCCTAGCCTTTGACTGGCTATGGCAGTTCTGAGTGCAGTTCTGACTTGGAAATGCTGACTGTGCTGACTGGATCTGAGGAGATAAACTTTACATCGTTTGGAGCGGGCGAGTGCAGCTGGAGGCTGGGCGTTTTTTGGTGCGGAGTGCCAATCCACCGGCTTTTTAACAGAGGGACACCAGTTTCTTTGTGAAGAGGGGTCCCCCAAAACATAGAAACGTCATTCCATAGTTTGATAGTGATTTGCCAGTGGATTTAAACCTATGATACCCGGATTTTTATGGATTTTTGGGAATGAAGCTCCACAAAATCATCATCAGCGGCCCAGGGATTTTGGGTTTGAGATGGTTTGAGCCATGGGCAGGTGCCAGATGAGAAGACCAGTACCGAGACAGAGTTGCACTTTGCCCGGAGCCTGATAGTGGAGGAACGATGCACTTTTCCACAGAAATCAGATCCAATATGATCCAATAAGATTCAAACATAATATGCACACGCACACTTGTTTTAGTAACTTTCCAGATTTCTTTCACTGCAGATTAGGGAGGATTGGCCTATTCGCTTTTTAGAGACTGCAAGCAGTGCCGAATGAAGGTGGCATCCACATTCATGTGCAGCTTTTGAAGCCACTCCAGTGAATCCCATCACAAGAAAAACATCTGTAGCAAAATAGCAGAGACCACTTTTCAGATGACAACACAAGAAAGGCAAATACAACACAGACTGAACACAAATTGATCACTCACTTCCAGCCATTATACTCAGATACCACCAGCACATTGACCAGCATTTCGCAACATCAATTTATCAATTTCAGCATATTATGTTCGAAGTACATCTAAATACCACTTCCACCAAGACAAAAACCAGTACCAGAACACTGTTCCAAGCGTTCCAAGCGTTCCAAGCACCCTTAAGGCTGCCCCCAGGGGCTGGGCCCAACGCCATGGCCGGGTACCCTTCGCTGGAGCAGCTGCAGCAGGAGGTCATCGAGGCAGCGAAGCGTTGCAGCTGCGAAGCCTCGCTGCGACAGGCCTTGGAGAGGCTGCAGGCACCGGCGATGCTTGGAGCGGAGGGTTCTGGGATGGGTAGAGGTTGGTTACCCTCTGGTTTGTGTCAAAATAGCTATTGAAAATGGCCATTTATAGTGGATTTTCCCATTAAAAATGGTGATTTTCCATAGCTATGTTAATTTACCAGAGGGTATGGTTGGTTCTGGTTGGGTATGGTTAAATTGGTTAAATTGGTTAAATTGGTTAAGGGTTGCGCTTATGTTGGATTCTGTGGGGTTTCTGCTTAGCTGCTACTAGCAGAGTTTTTTTGGATTTTGCTTTCTGCATGACGGACTTTCGGCTCCATGTCACTATAGCTCAGAACATTTTGATTTGAAATGATTTGAGTATTTGAGTGGAAGCGTATCCTGGAAGTCAAAGTGGCTCCCAAGGACTTCGATGAAGGAATCGCAGAGCGGCATTTTTGGTGGCCTGGGTGAAAGCCTGGAAGAGCTGGGCAACAAGGTGGGGTACCTGGAGATTGTTCTTGGTGCCCCGGTTGTGGGTCTGAAAGTTCGGGGTCTCAGTTTCATCAAAATAGATCCAACTGGTTAGAATGATTGGGGTGGAAATCTTGAGCTCCAATTTCAGCGATTTTTCCAAGCAAGACTACAGGGAAGCAGCGCCAACATCATGAACATCCGCATGTTTGTTGATCTTTTGCATCTTTTTGACGACTCCCCAAGTTTGGGGCCCTCACCATTCGTGCCATGTACGACCGTAACCAGCGACCAGGCGAAGGAAGCGTTGAATCGCTGGCACTTTTTGGATGGCTGGTCCTTCATTGGAGATCGCGCCCAGGACTACATGCCCGAGGATGTGACAGAAGCTCCTTGGAGTGAGCCAAACGGATCAGGTCACCTGTGGGGGAAACCGACCTATACCTCTGAAATCCTCTGAATGCTTTTGAAGAGTGAATCTGGGTGGCACCAGGTGCATATGGTGCATGTTGTAGACAAGCTCTCAGGTAGGTTTCTTACTTTTGTCGGAATCATAGAAAATCCAATAAAATCAGATAAAAACTAACCTAACCAGTTTTTTTGGTGTGAAATCTATGAGTACCCTGGGTTTCCAGTGGCTTCAGCGTGTTTCACCTCCAGCATTTCCAGGTCTTGCGGAGCTTGAGGGAAGGCTCCGGCGTCTTTGGCATGGACATTGGTGGCACCTTAGCCAAAGCTGCCCAGCTGCTGGCACCGGGCGAAAGTCACATCAGTCCCTCCACCTTTGGCAAGACGGGGACCTTCCACAAGGAGCTCTCCTTCCAGCTGAAGGTCACCTGGTCACCTGCAAATGCTGGAGGAACCACGATGGAACCATGATGGAACCATTGGTTTCTGAGATTTCTCGCTTGGGGCTTTATGTTTTTGGAAGTTGCAGCAAAATGTCTTGTGTAGATCTTCAGTTCTACTACGTAATTGTGACTGGCAATCTACACTTAACCGGAACAGCTAAAGGGCTAAAGGGTCATGGCAGGTCAAAGATGTCATGCACGATGTCCACTTCTTGTCTGGAGCTACTTACTACTTGGAAGCTCGGTCGAAGTTCTGCGGATATGTTGACCATCTATGACCATCCAAATCAGAAAGCGAGTGTGAATGATCTTAGACCTGAAGAGGTCCTTGAGAGGTCTACATTGGATTCTTTCGCTTTTTTTCGTCCCAATGAAAACGGAATAGAGATCTTGGGCAGCTCATCAAGCTATGTTCATCTATAGTTCCAGCTGTTTTCCATGCTATCCACAGTGAGGAGATGGTGTTGAAAAGCCTTCAGAAGGATCCCTCCCCAAAGCCCAGCATCCCCACCAGCCGCCGCATCGTCACTGCTGGGGGTGGCGCGCATCGACTGGCGCAACTCTTCATGGATTCGCTGACGGTGGAAGTTGTGCCCTTTAAAGAGATGGACTCTGGGTGAGTAAGTCATGGTAAGTCTGTTAGATCTTCGTCTCAGTTTGTTTTTGTTTTTTGAGATTTGGAACCTCAGAATCTCCCAGATATCGGTATATATTATATATCGTTCCCTTTTTTTGGATGCCTGCCTTTTTGTGCCTTTTGAATAGACATAATTTCTGTTGGTCTTTGTTGCTTGAGCTGTACTGACAGCATTGTGGCGAGGAGTCATTGGTCAGTGGACTCACCTTCTTGCACGAGCACAAGCCTGATAACGAAGTCTTCAAAATCCAACCCGATGGCACCCAAGAGTTTGTTGACTGGCCTGATCCTTTGTACCCATGCATCGTCGTGAACATTGGCTCAGGCGACTTGGCCTCAACTCTAGCAGAGTTGATGTGAGCTACAGCCAAAATTTAGGTTAATGGAGAGTAGTATTCGAGATCTCTATTTTTTGGAAAGTGAGCTGGGGCTTGGAAAACGATAATACACTCTTCAAAAAACGATAACATTTGCTTATCTTCGAAAACCTGAAAAACGACAATACACTCTTCAAAAATTGATGACTTGGAGCTATATACCAAATATTGTCCGTGGCCCATGTGAAGTTTATTTTGATTGCGCCTGGCTTACATAAATACAGTAGGAAGGTGCCATTGACACCGCATTTTTCTCCTAACTTTCGTCCATACACCCGTCATATCCCCTTGATATCTCCTATGGCCCAGGTGTGAGCGTCTTGAAGTTAGATGCCAGTGAAGATGGCAAAGAACCATACTTCACACGCCTGGGCGGCACCGCCACAGGGGGCGCTGCCTTCCTTGGTTTGGTGCGGATGATGACCAGAGCCAAGACCTATCCGGACTGCCTGGCCTTGGCGCAGAAGGGCGATGCCAGAAAGGTGAACAAGTTGGTCAGTGACATCTATGGCCAGGATGGGTGTTCCAATTTGGGGCTAGCACCTGGTCCCTGGGCGAAAGCTTATAGAAGCTGATAGATGCTGATAGTGGATAAGGGTTGGAAGAATGGGAGGCAGCTGTGAATGTGAGATAGTCGGGGCTTTGACTCTTTGTAGATGTGATATTTTCGGTTCGATGTTTGGGTGATGTATACAATGTCCTTTCGATGCAAATCACCTGTCCACCTGTCAGTGGCTGAGATTGAAACTTCAGTATGACCATGAACTTTCACCGTAAGCCAAGTCTGAGTTGCAGGTGCTGAGATGTGCTGGGTTCCCAACATCCCAACATGAAGTCAGAATTCCTACATGTTTGCGCCTTTTTGACATTTAAGGCTTGACGGCTGCTCACTTTGCCAAGATCACCATGAAGGATTTCAATCATCCTGACTATTCAGAGGAGGACATAGCTGCTGCAGTCTTGACCATGGTGGTTTCAGCCAGTACCGTCATTGCCAGAGCTTTTTCTCGGTCCGTGGCGAGTTCCACTGGTGCTAAGGATGAGAAGCTGGCGCAGGTTTTGGTGTTTTGAAATAGCCCCCACTGTGGTCCCAGGGTTTCCTCTGTGGGAAATGGCTTGGTCATTCTTGGTTTCTGCAGGCGATCTTCAACTGTAAACTTTTGAAACTAAGGCGTTTCTGCAGGCGTTTCTGTTTTTGACATCTGAAATTGCCAGGTTTTTTGACATCGAAGTAATTTGAACACCACAAAAAAGGCCCGGATGCGGAGCAGATCCAATACCTTGGACGACCTCAGTGGATCTGCTCCATTGGTTTCAAAGGCACAACTGATGGGTGCTGCGCCATACCCAGGTGGGGAAAATGGGGACAGATATGGACAGATGGGGTGCAGCTTGGTGCGGCTTGGTTCAGGTCCCATCAAATCTCTAGGCTTCAGGTGGAGAGTTGGAGTTTTGGGATGGCGGCAGATTCTTCAGGGCCGTTGCATTTAAGCGTCGCGTTGCACACGTCTTGCGCAGGCGAACGCAAGACGCCGGTCTTCTTCGTGGGAGGCTTCCTGGCCGAGAATCGGAGGGCTTGGGAGATCATCAGCCGATCCTTTCGGAACTTGGATTGTGGACCTGCGCTCTTCCTCCGCCATGCTGACTTCCTGGGGGCCCTGGGTTGCCTGGGGGCAACCATTGAAGGAAAGGGCGACCTCTGAAAAGGGCTGGATTTAGGTCTGGTGGAGCCAGATATGTTCCAAACAGTTGCTTTGTCCGCTCAAGGAGCTTGGTGAAACGGGACAAGAGCATTGTTTTTGACTCAATAAGTTGCAGAGAAGTCAAAAAGACATAAGGTCTCAGTGCACTGCAAGGAAGACAACCTCCGTGACGCAAGTCAGGGATGAACATGGATGAACCCATCACATTAGATCTGCTTGAGCTTCGAAGGGTTATTTGCTTTCGGATCATGACTTGTTTTTTTCACGTTTGTCCTACATGCATTGAACATCAGGGTGCTTCTGCTCTTCGCCTTTGTATGAGGTGAAAGGTGCGAAAATGGATAGTGGAAAGGCTCGGCGGCCAAGCAATGAAGCAGCTCAATGTGTGTGACGGGATCACCCAGCTTGAAAGAACCACATGTCAATCTACGTTCCTTCAAGAAGTGTGAGTACTCGGAAGTTTTTTTTCGAACTGAAGAGCTTCCAAAAGATGTTGGTCTACAGAAGGGTGGCAACTTCATGATATATATATTTTTTTTAATAGACATTTTTAAGCATTTTTTTTTCACATCTTTTCCGGGATGAGTTCGAGGTTGTAGCTGAATTAAGCCAAGCCAATCCCACATCCACGAATCTCAGCGGCGTAACCAGCCGAGGTCTTTGGAGAGATTGCCTTGATGAGCGAAGACTGCAAGAGGTGCACACTGAATTGTCTCAGCTTGTATCCCTATTGCCCTATTGGATTGCTGTTGAATGCTGTTGACAAGATCCTCTTAGTGACCAATCTCGCCAATCTCGCCATGTTGATTGGTTGGGTCTCAGGGTGATTCGGTGCTTTTTCAAGGGGTTCGAGAGTATTGCCGTGAAAACGAGTGAAAACTGTTCCATAATCAGGCTGCTTAGCGTGTGCATAATCTGACTCACGACATGGCTTGTTGCATGCTTGGTTTGCGACCCAGATTACCATAAGGAACACAGCACCGAAGTCTGATTTGACATTACCCATTTTTCGATTTTCTTCCCGCGTGTTTTGTGTACTTCGAAACGCAACCGCATCAAACGACGAAATCAATTGGAAGCCAACATCTTTTTGAATGCGACAACTCTGCAGGAAGGGTCGGTGTACTGCTTTGAAGCCAACACAGCTGCTGATTTTTTATCGGGACGATTACAAATGGCAACTCGCCGCAAGGGGCAACCTGTATCATTTGAACAGGGATGGACTGGGATTGAAGGGGGTTTTACAGGGGAGAAGAATCATGATCATCATGCCAGAGGGAACCACAGGCTGGGTCTGGGTCAATAAACCAGGCTGGGTCCATCATCTCTGACACTCTTAGGTGCGTGGGCGCTTCACAGGAAACCACTGTTAAAGAGCGCGTTGCCTTCCTGCGCATGGCGGAAGAAGGCCAGGCCTGCGGTGTTGTGCGAAGGTGCATCAATGTCTCCAGACGGTTCTGCTGATCTCACCTTATCATTTGTCCGAATGTTTTTGATTTGATATTTTCGATGTTTTTCTATGTTTGAGGACATAACTGATCATCATTAAGAATTCAGGACCGTCAAATCTGCCACAAACGATGCCACCGTTGTTTTATCCAGGCCTTCACCATCCTTCACCAACGTCCGTTGCGCCAGGTCTCCTGGCAGACATGAGATACGTGGACCTGCAAGCCCTGGCGGGCAGCTTGACGGAGGATTTCTACATCGGCGAGCACGAGATCATCCGCCAGGGTACCGAGGTTGAACGCATCATCTTCGTCAAGAGCGGCTTTTGCAAAATCGTGCGGGAACTGCATCCCAAGTCGCCTGGACGGCTATGTGGTTTGTTTGGGAGTTGGGTGAGTTATACATAGTATATATATCCATATGTGTTCATGCAATGTTATGAAGCTGTAAATCTGAGATGGAACCCAACAAAGAAGATATGTTATTGGGTAATACATGGGTCATATCTATGGTATGAAGATGTATACTGTATAACAATCATTCAACCCGCAGTTGGTGGTAAAATTTGGGGGTAACACCCTATGATGTGGGAGATGAACATCTATGAATGCCAGCTATTTTGATGTGAAGACCAGGGTCCAAGTTCATGCGGGTTTTTATCCATTCCCAACTCAAACGATGTGATATCTTCTGAGGCTATTGGAGTTTTTTTTTTGTGGGTGAAATTGGGGTTAAGGTTGCTTGTCGGGAAGTTAGAAGTGTTGCGGCGGTTGTGCCGGTTTTTACAGCGTACAAGTAGAATACATGATTCTTCCATCGAAAACCATAGCACACACACACACACATAAATATTTTAATATCCACTACACATCAGTTTAAACCACAACACAGCCGATCACACCTTTCGACACTATCCCCGTGGCAATTTCCACTCTAGAACTGGTGAACCTGTGCATAGTTTAAACAAAATTCTTAATGTATTGGAATTTTAAAATTGATGTCAGGCTAGTCATTTTATTGTTGGGTGGTTGGGCTGAGCATTTTATTGTAAAGGTAAATCCTGATGATTTTTAACATGTTAAAATTCCATTCTCATTTTATTGCAAAAACATGTTTGCTTGGAGCATTTTATTGCAGAATGGAACCAGTGTTTTTCCAGGATCTTTTTATATCGATTTTATTGGGCATGTCATTTTAGATCAGCGAATTTTAAGGAATTTGAAGGCATTCTAAGGAATTTTAAGGAATATTAAGGACTTTTAAAGGAATTATAAGGAATATCAAGGAATTTTTCGGAATTATAAGGAAATTTAAGGAATTTAGAGAGTTTTAAGGAATTTTAAGGCATCTTAGAGGAATTTTAAGGAATTTTACAGGAATTTGACAATTTGAAGGAATTTGGAGGATTTTTAAGGATCTTCAATGTTTTTAAATTTTAAAGGATATTTAAAGAATTTTAAGGAGTTTTTTGGAATTTTAAGGAATTTATAGGATTTTTAAGGAATTTTAAGGAATTGCCACGAAAGAATGCCACCGTATTTTGTTGCTATAAAATGCTATAAAAAAAGAAAAACACTTAATATTTGAGCACCTTCACTCTAAAATACCCCTATCTAAAAAGAATTTCCTGACCCCTTTTTAAAGAGGCGTTTCTGAGGGTCTTCAAAATTGGATGAAATTGGATGATGTTGGATGCACATTCAAGCATGAATTTGGTGGCAAGGCATTTTATTGCAGAGCCAGTTTTCATTGTTTTTGTGCATTTTAAAGCCTGAGGCCTATGCACAAAAGTTAGACCGCTCTAAAACTCCTGCACAGCTTCACATAATGAATTGGCACCCCGATTCGACACTCACTTCCTGATTAGGTACACCAAAGTCTTCTGCCGCTATGCAAATTATGCAGAGCCCATGCCAAACCCCTACGCAGAAGGAGAAGGAGGTCTTCGAGTGGGCGAGAAAGGCGTTTGGCCGCGCCCACAGCAGCCCAAACCGGCAGCCGCGGCTCGTGTAGCTGCGCAGAATGCCTCAACGCCCCGTGAGGGTGAAACTGAGAAGAGCACCTTGAAACTTGACAGATCTTGTCAAATTTCGATTTGTCGCTTGTGAATTTTGCTTTTATTGTTTTTAGATGAATTTAGCAGATCTGGTGCATCCAGGGGCCAATATTGAGTCAGGTTTGATTGCAATCACCAGTGGACAAGCTGTTGGCATTCAAGTACACAGGGGCTATATATGCAGACTTGCTGTACAGGAGTGTAGTTCATTTCTCGCAAAAGACCGTGTTTCTGATGAATCCTGGAATTTTTGCAGAATCATTGTCCCTCCTTTCTGCCAAGTCCAACGAAGGAAACTGGAGTCCCACCAGATGCTCAAGAAGATGTTGCGCCTAGTGCAAGGAGAGCATGAGGAGGGTCACGTGAGGGAGAGGAGAACCAGGACCGCAGTGAGTTCCCTCGACTTTCGACGACTTGGGTTTGATGTTTGATTATCACATTCCCACTTAAAATTGAAATGGCCATATGGATCATATGGGACATACCCTATTTTGAGATGTACCCACAATACGCTTTCAAGACTCTGTGCAGTTTTCCTTACATTGCAGGACAGATACCAACAGCCAGAGCCTCAAAGCATCATGCTGGTGCTGTATGAGTTGAAGAGTCGCGGAACTCACATGGCATTTCTGGTTGAGGTAGCTCTTCGGCAGAGGATGTTTGCTTGCGGGGTTGGGATGTTAGCGGTAAGAATAGTCAACGCACCTGAAAGGTTTCTCAGAAGTAAGATGCAGAAAAGGATAGATGTGTATGTTCGCTTTAGATATTAAACCTCTATATGTCTATGTGGTATACTTGTCTTTTTTCAGCTTCGCCATGTGTGAGAAGAGCATTAGTTTGACCTTGGAAAATCGTGTGCGGGAAAATGTGGTACACCCCTGTGAATCCAGGAGACTTCCCAAGAGAAGACTCGGAGCTTGAAGGTGGTGGTGGATATCATCTCCAAAGGCGCAGAGTTGGGTCGACTTGTTGCAGTAAGATTGCGAAACCACTCAAGTACAACTATGAATGTTGCAGAAGATGATAAAAAGATTGAGTGTGTAGCCACATCGTCAACTTGGAGATCTTAGAGATCAAAATTTTCGATTCTGATTCTGCAGCATTTTCTCAGATAATCTGGTGATCATCACAGGAAGTTCCGTGGGAGTGATGGAGCTCATGGAAGGCCTCACTTATCAATGCACCGTTGGGGAAGCCCAGGGAAGCCCAGGGGAATCCCAGGGATCTGGGAATCTGGGGCCAGATGAACCAGTGAACCAGCCCCAATTTTACGGCTTTTGGCGGTTTCAAGCATATGGGCCATATGTTTATCGTTGATCTTAATGGGATGATGATTTGAATTGACTAGCAATTCATCTTTTTATTGGGGATTGAGGCCACCAACCAGAACAAAGGCGGACCAAATTGAAGAAACACCAGGAACGCTTGAGAGGCACAGGGCAGAACTCCCTTAATTCGATGAAGTCAGGTGGTTTGTTCGCCGCTGGCGGAGATCTACTCAATCTCCAGATACGACTTCATCAGGAGACGGGTGGTCGCAGAGGGCATGAAGCATTGCCGAACAAGATGTAAAGAAACACATGCGAAGTATGCTAAGACATGCTAAGACTCAACATGTTTTATATGTCTCGCATGACTTGAAGAAATGTGTTAGATATTTCACCAGACTGGTGATTACTGGACTTAAATCGCAGCGCTTTTCCAGTGCGGCATTTACAGACCAGGGCATGCTGCCAGGAATGGTCCTCGACCAATCACACACCGTCTCTTTTGCAACTACAAGGCAGCCCGCAATCATGTCCTTGACAGCACCGACCGTGAGACCGTGAAACCAACCCACCTCACAAAAAACAAGCTGAGATTCAGAGGCATGGAAAATGGTATATATATATATATGGAAAGTTGATGTAAATCCGGGAGACATTCTGCTCCACTTATCTTGTCATTTGCTAGGGAAGCGCTTTAAAGATCAACACTTCTCGCGTAGAAAATTCTGCAGGCCCGACTCTCCGACAAGCAGTTGATCTGGCGCCTGGTGCAGAAGCACAGGCATCCACTGTTGATGTCTATGTCTATGTGGGATTATGTGGGATTTTTAGACCTCTGAAAATCATTTTGTAAGCCCAGTGGAACCGTTCATCATTGCAGCTTTCAGTATTTTGATGTATATATATTTTGTCAGTGCCTCTCTGTATTCAGACTCACCTCTTCAATATTTTCTGCGGAAGTTTCACTGTCCACACATGCTTGTTTGTGTGGTTTTCAGAGGGAAAATGGTCAGGGTATGTCAGGGTGATTGGCTCCTACTTAGCTCATCTAAGCGTGAATCTAAACTTTGTGTGGGTCTGGCTCAAGATTGCAGACCCAAACATTGGCCAACCAATTTGTGGTTTTTGGGGTCCATATTTTCGATCGTCACCAGGGATGATTCATGGCAGGTGGGATCACTACAAGCGTGGCTTGCTGGAAGAGATCCGTAGTTGGAACAGCCGCAGTCCAAGAAGTGTATGATGCAGGTAGGATTGGCCATTCTGCAAGGTTTGTGCTTTTCTACGGCTGGGAGACACTTGATCTTATTTGACATTTATCACTCTTGGGTAGACTTCTACGATCTGATCTTCTACACATTTTCAGGTGTTTTCCATTCTTTTTGCCAGCCATGATGGGAAAATCAAACAACCAGGTCACCGTGAGCCAGTTCTGATGGATTTATCTGAGGCTCAGCCAGTCGTGGAATCGTGGACAGGCCCTGCCACGACATGATTAAGTACCTTTTAAGTGGCTTATGGGTGTGTCTGAAAATAGAATACCACCTTTAAAATCCGATGCCTTGTCATGCTTCTTACCATTTCAGTGGAGGTTTGGAGGTATGCCACATTTTATCGGTCAGACCCAAGATCGAGCGCCGCGAGGGAAGATCCTGTCCCAATGATCGGTGGCAGCGCTTTGGAAGATCAGGCTCATCATTTGGAGAATTTTGGAGACATCGAGTCATTTGGAAAAAGTTGCTTTTCTGGTTTCATGTCGTGACATGTCGTGACCAAAAAGGACTATTTTTGTTGCTTCAAAAGGCACATGGATGGTGGATCATCTGGATCACGGCTTCGAAGATGTTTTCAACACACTTTCCATATTATCTTTCCATCATCATTTTGGAATCCTCACATCAATTTTTACACATTTTCATGGTTTTCCATCACTTTTCATCACTTTTCCATCGGTTTGGCGTTTTTCTAAGTTCTGACCCCACCGAAAGCGGAATTGGGATTCGCCAGACCTGCATCCGGATTGGCCGCGGCGAGAAGTTGTGGGACCAACGTGCTCAGTCAGAAAGCCCAGGGAGATGCCGATAGCAAGACATGGCGATGGCGACGGATTTCTGATTTCTGTTGATCAATACTTATCAATATATATAGTTTAATAACGTTTAATTAACCATGTTTAACGGTTTAATCACGTTTTGAAAGGGATGAACATCCATAAAACCATATAAAACCCAAACTATTTCGATGTTTCTCACAGGACCACAGGGTTTCACCCATCCTCCCCTCCGGCTAGCGACTGATCCTGGCGCCACAGGACTCCACCGAATCAGGCTTATGACCCGGACCAAGCAGTGCCGAACTGAGTCCTGTGATGCTTGCAGTGAGGTCTCATATGATCTCTCCAAAATTCTAAGATGATGTAAGTATTAACCATTATTAAATATTATTAACAATTATTAAGCATAATAAATTAACCACAGATTAACCACAGTATGAACGCATCCAAAATATCCAGATTCCAACGCCACGACCTGAGGTGAAGCAGATCTTCCATGTCCAGTGCTCTCGAGACGAACAGGGCAAGCCCTTGGTACAAGTGGAACGAGAGGCGCAGTGTGCAGGGAATTTCATGCTCGGATGCCAGGATGTGTTGTCATTTATTGTGAGTGATAATGATAATAAATAGACTATATTGTACTATTCAAAACATATCAACATTCATTTTGAATTCTATTATCATGATATTGAAAACACAGCCATTGTCTGCATCACAGACGATATTTCCATCGCTTCCCGCTCCGTGTTCAGCAACGGGATGCCTCCATGGACGAGTTCGAGCGGAAGCTGTTGGAAACCATGGCGAATGCCCGTTACCGCGACAAGCTGCGAAGGTTGGGCCGGGGTGAGGCTGAAGCCCAAATAGCTGGGAGATGACTCTTGGGAAAAACCATGAAAAACAAATGTGGGATTTATCATGATTTATCATGATTTATCATGATTTATCCCAAGCACTGTAGTAATGAGGGTATAATGTTCTATGAAAAGTAAGCCAAGTGAGTAACAAAAATAGCGATTTCATGGGATATTACTGTGGATATTGGATGTGATGGGTCAATTTCAGATACAGAAATCAGTTCTTGGTTGTGATCCAAGTGGACCAATTTTGCGACATTTTCTGCCTTTCCGTGAACTCAGCATAGTTCACTACAGAATTCATTGCGGGATGCGCCTCAAGTCTGTGGCCAGGGCCAAGCAAAAACATGCAGCTAGAGCAGCCCTCAGCTTTAGCTTTGCCCTTCCGACCTGGGCTTCAGCATTTGGGCGGCAATGAGAAGATTCCGGAGAGATCCACTAGATCTTGGACCGAGGTCATTCTGCTTTGGAGGACAAGGCCGAAGGGCCGAAGCAAAAAATAAGTCTGTGACTTGAAAGGTGTATCACACGGTGTATCAAGATCCCCACTATGCAAAACAGGGATGTCGCATCTGGATGTCTTCAGAGTTTGGAAGACTATGGAGTTGGTTCCGCAAGACGCAAGACCTCTGTGTTGGTCCGATATCCTGGGTGTTCCCTTCTCCAGGGTGCCAATGCGGTAGCCATAGCGCAGGTGTGGGGCCTCAGGTTTTTGAGCAATCCTTTTTGCCATTGAGATCCATTGACAAGGTAGCCATTACGATTCTCTAATCGTGAAAAACGAACTGCTTGGACATATTCCTTGTAGTCATTTGATGTTTTGATGTTTTTTTTTTTCCCTGTGTCTCATCCCTGTTCCACATCAAAAATCCGTTGGAACTCCGTTGGAACTCCGTTGGACCTCAGCCTGAGGCCTTAGAAGAAGAGGCAAAGAGGAGCTTAGAGGAGCAGAAGCAGAAGGAGAAGGAGCGCATCGAGGTGTGACCACCCACTTGGGTTGACCTATGGCCTACAGGGCCTACAGGGCCTACAGGGCCTACGGCCAGGCCATGATGGCCATGGCTATGTTCCAAAGAGGTTTTTTGGAGCTGAAACATTGTGGTCCCAAATCAGGCATCCAACAAAAAATGGATCAGATTCTGATGTGGGTGTGATGTTCTCAAATACAATGAAATAGGCCATATATAAATGATACTGGTTATCTCTTCGTTATATCAACAGGACTTCAAGTTCTCATCATATCCCCTTGATTTCGAGGGTTTTGAATGCTTTTGATTTTAATCTCAACATCAATTCATGATTTTATACTCTTCATAGCCACTGCTGGTTGTATCGAGACTTCCTCGTTTTTATATGTTTTTATTTTTTTCGCTGGACAGGTGATGCGGCAGGAAGTTCAAGCCAAGGTGCAGCGAAGGTGTTGGGTAGTCACCATGACTGCATCGTAGTCTACTACTGTTGTGGTTAAGCTCACCCATGAACCTGGTTATATCACAATGATTGGATGTGCAATGATGTGCATAGATGTATACTATATGACTATATGTATACTATATAATTTAATAATGATATGATCTAAAAGCTGTTATGTAGGGATTAGTTATTTCTCCAAATCCCAGCAATTATGTAATTCGCAAGCCACTGGATGGAAGTTGAAATACGACTGGCCTTTATGCCAAGTCGTTGGTGGCAATTTTGGAGTCCCCACAGTCACCAGAAAGGGCGCAAAAGGGTAGAACCAGCAGTTGCAGTAGACTACGCAGTTGGGGTTAACTTAGGGTACCTTCTGTATTTTTTGAATTTGAACCACATGATTTCATGTCTGGATTCTAGAATTGTTGATCAAACCTGTGAGGTGAAACTTGACCGTGACGCGTCCAGAGAAAAAAGCCTGTGACTTGGGAATAGGTGTGCAGCATTGCTTTCAGCATTCAGTAAAACAAGGCAGTTGAATGAGAAGTGCCTAGTGGCTGAAGATAAATGTATTCAAATGTTGCAGGCAACCGGAAGTAGAAGAATCCGCCTGGCACTGGGTTCACTTTGGTTTCCCAAGGAAACCGCAGAACTCTGACAGCTCGTCCTTCCATGCGGGTCTGAAGCTGAGTCGGCCTTAAGAGGTCAGGTGTCCTGTGCCTTGTGTTCCCTGTGCTTTGTGGTGAAATCTAAGGCTCCTCCAAGCGGTGCCCAAAGTGCAAATCCCAGGTTCAGTTTTGGAGCGCAGTTCCGGCGCCAGCCATTGGGGATCGTAAAAAACAGCTCCAGAGTGCGAAATGTCCAGCATGGTGAATGATTCTCAGGGATCGGGAGAATGTTGACCCGGGATTAAAGACACGTATCAGGTGTTTGTTTAACAATATGTGCAGATAATTGCAGATAGGTTCATAGGCCATCTGACCTTAGAGATATCGTTTCACTCGGGGTGATTCCACTTTGAAGGCAGATCACTTTGGGGTATCCGGTATCCCCCAAACTTCTCTGAGTTCATCAAGTTTCAAAGAAATGACCGACATCGGTAGGAGGCCTTGAAGTCTGGCCATGTCTCATAAGGTGCCCGTAGTCGCCAATCAACAAAGCAGGTGGGGAGCAAAGAGAGCCTGGGTCAATGGGTGCCACCCTCCAAGTGGAGTTTCAATCGTTTGTTTCTTGGTCCCAGACATTCTGATGGTGCTTCTCCATGAGGGATCTCGCAGGACGATGGTGATCAGTGATGCTCTAGCGCGGTCCGGTTCAGATCACCCAAATCCTGGAAAATCATCAATCGGCATTTCCACTAGCAAAATCCTGGAACATCCTGGAACAAGGATTTCCACATTTGGACATATTTTCATGCAAATTTTCATGCAAATTTTCATGCATTTTCATGCATTTTCCAGGTCCATCTGAAAATTTCAGTGAAAAAAACCTGGCAAAATGGCAAAATGGCTGGGTCTCCAGGTGGAGTTGCCCCCTCTGCCCGGCTCCAGGAAGTCGGAAACTCGGAGGATCAAGAGATCAGGTTTTGGGGTATCAACCAATAGGTGACCCACTGCCCTATGAAGTGACCCTTGGTTGTGAACATATCACCACTCTCCAGGGGAAAACATGGCAAAACCATGGCAAAACCATGGCAAAATCAGGAAACTTGGCAGCCAAACATCATGGAATTTCCAGTGGATATTCCAGCTAATGCCAGGTCAGTGTCGCCCAAGAATCGTCGCCAATCTTCTCGACAGTCTACCTTCGCACGAGGCGAACGATCGGGTGGGGTTCTGCTGGTTGGTTCCGTTGTTTCACTGATGGGCTGATTCACTCAAAAATCATGATACAGTTGTGGCTTTCAGATTTGAAACATCAACTTTTCCACTTCTACACTTTACCCACGCTTGGAAAAGGGATTGTCGTAGCAGATAAGGTTTCATGTGGCAGTTATTCTGTCTCCAGCACTGGGCCAAGGACCTACAGTTTGGGCATAGTTCCCCACAGCATGTTTCTTGCCATGCACTGTCATCCAAGATCACTGGTTTGCTTCCCATTCTTGGTGATCATGTCAGTATCAGATTTGGAAGTTACCGGATATGTATAATATTGTATAATTACATACATGTATGGCTGTCAAAGATTGTCGCGTCGACTGATTGGGGGATGGCATGACATGTTAACACCTTTTGTTGTTGTGTTATGTTGTGTTGAGCTAGTGTTATGTTGATGTTCCATGGTATGACATATGGATGGGACACCTGGACGAACAGGTTAGAACTTCATCCCGTCGCCCAAGGCTTGGCTGAGAAGGTTTGTGCTTTGACTTCTGGAGGATTTGCAGAGTGAACATCTTGAAAACTGGTTCAACTGGTTGGTCAACCACCCGTACACTCAACGTTTTTGATCATGCGAATTGAATTGGATTCATAATGATTCATAATAGACATGCGATTTCAGGGCCATTTAATGACAACAGAAGCAGCTCATGGTTTTTTTCTGCCATCCAATCTTCACCGCCGAAGTCTTGGACCGGTTCAAGGCGATCGATGTGGATGTGACAGCCCGAGCCTTGCGGTCATAGGGAAGATGACTTGAGGAAAACTGCACCAGACATCGAATACATCGACGCAACAGCAGAAACGATACCATTTTGTGAACCCATTAGCGAATCATGCGAATCATGCGAATCATGCGAATCATGCGAATCATGCGAATCATGACATTTACCCATTTTGTCTATTTTTATCTCCGATGGCAATGGTGTGGCAGAGTTTTGATGTGCCCAGCAACCAGGCAATCGGCAGACTGGCCTCATTGCAAAGCAGGTAGTCTGTGAGGTGTTAATGCGCTAGAAAAGGCTGGTTGCCATGAGCCATGAGTGCTTTTCTGCTGCCGAAGAAATTGGTCAATAGACTTTTTTCTGGCTTCAGATCTCATGCAGAGGGAAGACATGCAAAGCCTGTCAAGCCGCTAGATTTTCCTGCAGACCATTGGGTTGTTCCTTCGCAGATCTGAAATGTTTAAGCATCCCCGCCCAAGTTGAAGGATCCTGATGCTATGTGGCTGGGCTCAAGATGTGGGGTTGAAAGGAAGCCTCACGCCGCGGGAGTTGCACCCAGGACCCTGCCTCGTTGAAGGCACTTCCCGGTAGTGACAATTTGTTGACATTTCTCACCCATCATTGATGGTCCAAGGCAATGTTAATGCTTGCTGTCCTCTAGTTCACGCACCCTTGACTTAACAATCTTCTCCATGTCCGCGGCTTTGTTTGAGCAGATAGGAAGTTGCCAGGCATGGCGACTGGACTGGATGGCGATAGAGGCACGTGGGGCTGGAACCCGCACAGATTTTATGACTAGTTATGCCATGAATGTTTGTTGTTTACTCCCCAAATATGGTTGTGAGCTATGGCTGGGATAGATAGATTTGCATGGATAGAGTAAATTACATGAAACGTCAAGACGATCATTCCACTTGAATGACACATGTTGAGGTTTCAAGTTTTAATGATGTTTTAACGATGCCTTGCTACCCCGAGATTTGCACCAGCACCAGCTGCAGGTACCATCCCCAAACATCCGCCGGCGGCCAAGTGGCAAGTGCGAAATCATCTTCCACCAATGTGGATCTTCAATCCATTGACCGTGGTAAGCCTGCTAAGCTGGTAAGCACTGCATGGCTCACATCTGGACTCCCTTCCCACTGCTCCACCATCCTAGTGATGAAAATGGGACTGAGGCAGCAGCTCTTCTTTGACAATGTCAATCCTGCCACGCGCCTCTTGGAAAAGCGTCGGCAAATGTCCCTTCCTGAGACTCCAGCCTGGAACAGTCTGGCATGTAGATTTCACTGCCAGGACAAGATTCGGGTAGGTGTCACTCATCCAAGGTATGAAGTGCAGGACGCTTTAGAGAATCAGAAGGCCTGGTGACTTGGTACGCTTGGTACTTCATCTCGCCGATGCAAGTCTGTGGCAGGCGCGCTTTGCGAAGGAGGAAGAGCAGTTTCGGAAAAAAGAAGAACAGCTCCGGGTGAAGGACCATGACCTGCCCCTCTTGTTGGATTATCCCCTGCCGTCATACCTTGAGATTTCTCACTGCTCTGAATGATCTGCCTTTCTGCCTTTGATCTTTGGAGAGTTGCCACGCTGCAGGACCTGCACCTGCAGAATCAGTTGGTGAAGTTCAACAAGTTCTTGCAGGACAATGAGGTGAGGCCCCCGGTGTCAGATATCGGAAAAACATGGGGGAAACACCAGAGGATACTGTTGCAGATACCAGCTACACCTGCAAGTTACTGTATTTCAAGATATTTCAAGCAATTCTGAAACATTTCTTCTTTCATCATTTGTCTGGAAATTATCATCTCAATTGTCCGGTCGCATGCAAACTTCTGTGATTTGAGTGAAAGTAAGTGAGCCCATAGCTGACCCCCTGGTATCACCATAAAGGCAGCAGAATGGATACCCAGTCCAAAGCTCAGGCCAAACGTCGGCGCTCCGAGACCCGTGCTCACGAAGAAGCCGTTGGGGGCTAAGGGAGGCCGCCTCGGGATGCCGATCAATGGGCCATTCCGAAGAAAAGGTGTACATGGAGAGAGGAGAGTGGGAGACAACACTCTGGGAGTAAGATGGAGTAAGAACCCCAAACCTGTTTGGGATGTTTGGGGAAGGCAAAGAAGAAACCTTTAATCGCAAGGGAGGGACAAAAACCTGCAGAAGTGAAAGGCTCCGATTTGGAAAGGGTTGTTTTGACGCGTGCGTTCAGAATAGGGGACTACCAAAAGGCATCACTTAGGCATGACTTCTTGATGATGCGTTCACAAGCAGGGAAAGCAAAAGGAGTGAATTAGGCATGACTCATGACATTGGTCGAGTCCCTGTAGACAATATTAGACATAATTCGACTTGGAGTTGAGATTGGAAATCAAAGAGGAGATCTACGACTTGCAAAGGGTTGTTTTCCACGGTGTTCCAGTTGCAGGGGTATATATGCATTTAAGCATGTATAATATATGATCTTATTATACATACAAGCTATATTTTCTCCATGTAAAGTGTAGTCTACTATGGTTTGCCCCACTGTGGGGAGCCAAGCCCTGGATGTTTTCAGATGTGAAGTCCTGAGGCCCAAATTAAGCAGAAGGATGAGGAGATTCAGGATTTAGAGAAGCAGGCGCAGTTGCCGGAGCCATTTCTGCTGAGATTGGATCCGTTTCTGGGGAGCCTTGCGCCAGCTTCAAGACAGCAAAGCCACGTGTACAAAGTTGGAAGAGGAAAAGGACAGGAACATGAAGTACGAGGAGAGCAAGGGATGCGTCAGCGAAGCTTTGGGGGATATGAGACGAGGGAGTAACTGCCTTCGGGGACTGGGTTTCTCTACAGAAGCGTTCTGGGCTTCACAGATTGGCCACTCTCAGCTATTTCCCAAGCCCAGATTGTTTCTCAATCCCAGGATTACTGGAAAAAACATGCAGGAACCCCAATCAATTTGGGGATAAAAACCATGCTTCCATGCACATTTCTGCTGCTTGACGCAATCCATTGACTCAACCGGTTTCCTTCATGACTTTAGAGCAGCTAACTTCATTAATGATATTTCCCTCATTAGCTCCATGGAATTACCAGTCATCTCATTTTTTTCACGTTTTTTTTTTCCACACTTTGCCCTTGGGTAACCACCGCAGCTTCGGTTCTCGGATGTCTTCGGTTCGGGGCGCTCCGGATCCTTCACCTGCGTCCTCTGCGTCACAGCAGCTGGGCGAGTCGTTGGGGTGTCTTGGGCGAGGACAGAAGAGCAAAAAGAGTCCTTCAAAACTGAGCATGTATACATGCTATCACTATATACACATATATTTGAATTTACATGTATGCACTATTATATATATATACACATAATGTATGTATATGTGCCATTTGTATGTGATGTATTACTAAAAGATGGGATGTTCTGTGCAGATCTCAACGCATCCTTTGTTCAGATCCAGATTCCATCAGGCTTGGCTCATGTTTGATCTGCACATCAATTTCAGGCACCCAATCTTGATCCGTAGTCAGGATTGAACATGATCTCTACACACCTATACAACAAACAAAAATCATTTATACCATTGATATACCCTTGATATACCATTGATATACCATTGATATACCATTGATATACCATTGATATACCATTGATATACCATTGATATGCATGTCCTGTTGACTCTCATGATCGATTTTTCATGATCCAGTTCTTTCCTCCCGAGGATGCAGAAGATTCAGGTGGAGAGCAATGCGGAGCAACTCTTTCGCGATATGTCTGCAACTTTGCTATTAGAGATGCACAGTATCGTACCTCGGCGATACCGAGATTCAAACACTGAGGATCCCCAGCCGCACCATTTGAGAAGCTACGGCTTGGGAGGAAAGCCACCTCACCGGGTGTGGGTGGCTAGATATATGATGATATAAATATAATATATATGTGTGTATATGTCCGGAGGCTAGCTATCCTTGCCATGGACAAAAAGCACCTTTTTCATACATTTACAGTCATTTGTCCATGATACACCAATAACAGTTGAGGATTTTCTTCCATGCAAAATTACCAAAGGGTATTTGGCTCAGTTTGACGTCGACGCCGGTCAGCAGATGTCTCAAATGCTCCTAAGGCGCAGAAGCTGCAAGACAACTTCACTCAGGAACTTCGACCCCCAGCTGCAATTATCAACCTATATAGCTGCAAAGGAACAAGGCAACACACCACTTTGAAGTTTGGCAGATTAAGACTTATGTTTTTGTGTTTTTTCCTGTCAAAGCCACCAACCTTGAACAAAGTTAAGACTTTGGGTCGCTCACTGACATGGTATGACATGGTGACCGACTTCTTTTGGGTGCTGCTTTGCACGTCGCAGACCTGTTGGAACACCGAGGGAAAGAGTTGGATGAGCTCCGGTCGAACCTGGCCAAGGACAGATATCGCTGGTCATCGATCACCGGTTGGACCATCGACATCCTGCTGAGTTGATGATATCAGTCACAGATCATCACCATCACCATCACCATGAAAAATATTGCTTTATGATGATTTAGGATCACCAAAAAACCTATACAGGAAGGATGTTTATAGATATGCTGAATTGTTGAAAAATCTCATCTGCATTCATCTGCCATCAGGACCGCAAAGCGGCCCAATTTTTCCATGGCTCAGAGTCGATCTCAAAGGTGCAGATCTGCGATTTTCAAATCATGGTCACATGTGAAAACAGGAAGAAAACATCAGCAACTGAGAAGGTTTACATAGTTTACATATTGGAAACTGAAAGCTACTAGGACTTTGGTTGGGGAAAACCGGTAAACCTCAGTTCTTCGACAGATCCCGGAAGGTGACAACTGAGATCTCGCGACCAGTCCCGCGGTTGATGAAGGCAGAAAGCAGCCTTGTGCCTTTCAGTGTTTTGAACAACGGCGATGATTCGCATCATTTTGCACTACCGCAGCTTAGGATCCCGGTGACAAGTGGCACTGGGAGGAAAAAATCGTAGGCAAATCACTGGAATAACATTTAAATTTGATTTTAAAATATTTTAAAGGTACTTCATTTTTGCACAAACGCGATTTGGGACCTTGGTTTCAGGCAAGAAGCTTTCACTTCGCGCCGCATGTCTGGGCAACGCGTCACATCCGGCGTTATCGGCAAAGTGAGGATGAAGAGGATGAGGAGTTGGAAGAAGGCGAGATAATCAGATAATCCATCCCCAATGGGGGCTTCTTACTGGATATGAGCCATGGTCAATACTCGCTATATGGTTGATGGTCATCCCATCCATAATAAGGATCCAAAAATAATGGTTATTATAAATTCCTATGAACCATTGGATGACTAGCCCCGTTTTTAATGGTTATTAACCATGAGTATTGACCATAGCTCATATAATGCTAGTGATGCTATGGGATGATTTGCTAAGCCCCAAGTTGTTGCTTTCATGGGACTTGATGGGACCATTGGGACCTCTGGGATGCTTCAGTATTGGCTTCACCACAGCACTGCCCAGTGCGGTCGAGCTGCAAGGGCCCAAGGGGATCCAAGGGGATTCGTCCCTCTTATGGTGAGTCTTATACCCAGAATGTCTGTTAGAATATCCTCATAACAGACATTATATATCTCCAAGATTATAATATATGGATATATAATATATACCCAAAACTGATATATCCATATATATATAATTATGTATATATATATATATCTTTAATTATCGTCATAGAATCCCAGTATTTAATCCGTATATAATCCCGTGATCATTGTTAATTTTCATCATCATGGATACACCCCCATACTACCACAGTCTCATTCTCATTACTATTATATCATCATCATCATCATCATCATCATCATCATCATCATCAGTAACAGAAAAACTATTATAATATGAGGATATACGATAATAATAATAATAATCCACATGATGATAGTTATACGTATTAGGGTTATCATAACCATTATATATATATATATATGGTTTACATATGATGATATAATTTTCATCTACTAGTAATAACTCACGTATTGTCATAATATGTTATAACCGTTGTCCCCCGCATGATCCTGCCAAAGCATCCACGTTTTCCGCAGGTGAACGGCTCCGGGTGAAGTCCACCAAGTCGCGCGTGCCCTCGCGACCCTCCACCGCGGCCAGCCGGCCCAGGTGGAGCCGTCGAACTGGGAAGATAGGACCAATCAGAATGAGTTGGGACTATGAAGACAATCTGTATATGTGCAAATGGAATGTATATAATAGTTATATATGTATGTATATATATATATATTATAATTATACATATGTATTTTAGCTGTGTATATATATATATATATTTATTGTAGCTATATATATATATATATGTAAAATAATGTATAATAGCTATATATCTATATATAATAGCGGTATGTAATAGCAATATATATATATACACAATATACTACGCATAAAGCTAAATATATTCATGTCCATGGGATATTTTGCACTGACTATGAGATGATAATTGCACCCTAGTGAATGGGTTCCTAAGATTCGAAGCAGAAAAGGGTGGTATCATTTATGTAGCTGGTGTTGGGGTGGAACTGCTGTCGAAGATGACGTAAGACTGTATTGTAGGTCGATGAATCTAAAGTACAGTCGATAACATGGAGGAACATGGAGGAACCCAGAGGTTGTCATATCCCCTTGGTCGACTTTGAACACCTTGAGATGATGGGCACGAGTCCCCCAACTCAAGCCGTCAGGGTGTCTTTTGCCAGCCGCGGATGCAGCGAGCACTTCGACCATAGTCCACATCCCATGGTTCTGCTGGGCCAGGAGCGGCTCGAAACTTTCCGGTGCTCTGCATGTCATACAATATCACTCCAAGACGAATAAGGCCCTGGTTGATTTGTTTGACGTTACAAATATTCCGAGAAGTCCGAATCGTGAGCAATTTCTCACTCTTTTGGGGTTCGCCCGCTGAATTGGGTTTAATCCAGGACACACTCAAATGTTGAAACACCTCAATGACTCAATGATTCAATTACTGTGTGCCAACAGTCGCTGAACTTGGTCTGTCATGGGGTCTTCCATCCGATCCTTAGTTGGAGGAGCCTGACCTGAATGACATTAAGCAGCAAGAGGCACCAAGTGAGATCGGGGTTTGGCGACTCCTTCGTTGTTGACATGGAAACCAGGTTCATTGTTTCTGGCTAAACGTTGTTGAGTAGATTGCTAGCTTACTTTTTAACCATGCGTTGACATAAATGTATGGAGTAGAAATTGTATGAAGGGGTATAGACTACCAATACATTTTTGCAGTTAAGATTAGACATCGCTTTTTGGAGCATGAATCAAAAGCATACGCTGGAATTTGTAAACGGTGCAATAGTGCGGAAGCAGAACACCAGGTGTTCAAAAGCCTCACAAACCCTCTGCTGCCCTTTCTCAATAATTGCAACATCATCCCTTCAGTTGGCATTTCTGCATGATTCGCGGTTGTGTATCTACATTTATGCCCATGATTCTTGTTCATCAGTTTTCTGTCAATAAATCCAATTTATGTTCGTCGTTGATCTCTCATGTGCATTGAGCCAAATCTACTTGCCGAATCCCCATCGCTGTTGGTTCCTGTGGATGTACCAAATCCTATGACAATACAAACATTGCAGTTGGGCAGCCATGGTTCTCAAGAAATGCACAATTCTGATGATCTTCATTTACCCAAATCTGGCTGATAATATGACCAGCTTGCTAGATCTCCCATTTTTCAGCGCTTATTGATACCATTCCATATCAGCACCTTACCAAATTTCTGGTGTTTTTGGGTGGTATACCGTCATCTTTGTTCCTCGTTGTGGGTTTTCTCACATCCCAATTTTTTGATGAATGTCCTCTCCTCAAATGGCTTTGACCAAATATGGAGTCTGTGCCGATGGGGAAACTTTCTGAACCACTGGGATTTGATGGTTCCCATTTTTGCATTGCGAGCGTAGTGCGGCCCGCTATTTCGCAGCCAGCCGGCCAGCCAAGAATCAAGCCCAGAACCATCTGACCCCTTTCCTTATACCCGACAAAAAACCTGTGTTTTTCCTCGATGATCATAGGAAAATCCCTGAAAAAATAGATCTCAACTATATTCACATCTAAACCTGGGACTTCCCAAACTACGAGGCTCTCCAGACCAAAGTGGAAGAGCTACCGCGGCTGCCGGGCGTGATCCAAACGGAGGACCCGGACGCCTTGCGCCTTTGGCGATGGGTCTGGTGAGGGGGTTCCATAGTGGGGGTACCCCATAGTACCCCAACAGCTGGATGATTTGTATTGGAAAATGTGAAAATCACATGAGTTGAGGGAACTTCGATTTTTGGAAATCTTCAATATCTTCAATTGGGGGGATTACCATCCGTAGATCCCAGCTATTTGATGATGTTTTACCAATATACTGGGGAGCATTTCAGCCACAACCAAATGAAGAGCAAATCAAGATTTGCTTAGTTGATATCTGAAGGATCATTTTTTTGGTTTGATGAACCCAATGTTGGGGCGGACCCAAGTGTGACCCATACCCTACTGATATGGATGGTTTAGAGCCTTGGATGTGGAGGAAGGTGGGGGCACCCACTGATTTTTCATGATGTGGCTGCCCTAAACATCCTAAAACCAACTGTTGTTTGCGAGCCCCCAAGTCCACGAACATATTGTGGTTATCTTTCATGGTCTTATATACGTTCATAGGTTATATAATATACATATCATGGTGTAATAATTCCATATCAGTGCAGAATCAACCATGGTGATCATCCATAGCTTCCAAGTTCCATGCGTTGCATCGCCCAGGGGCTTGCCGGAAGTCTTGGAGTCCTTGGCGGTTCACAAGGACGAGCCTTGGCGCAATTTTTTGGGTTTCACGTTTTTCAAAATGAAGACGCCAGAAACCATGGTTTCCGCAAATAAACTTTGGCTTCCCCAATTAAAATTTCTGGTTTCCACTTGTCTTTTTGGAGAATATACAGAAGCACAATGGATGCTTCCGAGGCAAAACTCCCGAACCACTGTCAGCCTGGAAAGCACCGAGGACAGCCAACCAAGTGCTTCCGGTGATGGTAGTCAGTTGCTGTCCCCAACGCGAGCAGCCAAGAATCCCTCCAGGCCTAAAACCAAGGCTGCTCGACTGGGGTGTGGCACTGGTGGTTTGATTGGACCAACCCACGTAGCATCCTGATGTATCATGACTGGTTCAACTGGACGATTTTGGCAGAAGATATACATATCCCAGAAGATCAGGATTTCAAGCATCATCCAACACGAATCGAGTTTCATCTTGACTCATCAAACATCAACTTAATCTTAACTCATTCAAGTTCATTTTCTTGATCCACTAAATCAACCTAAATCATGCTTGTTGGTCGTTAACTCAATGGGTCAACGCCTGTTCTGTTCAACTGGTAGAGTAATACCCAGGCCGTCAGTGTCCGCCCTGCTGACCGTGCACGTGGCAATGGCTGTGAGAGCATTGATGCTTGGGCTGATGGTTGCACCATGTTGCACCCAAAATAGGTAGATGTTGGCTAAATATGGTTGTAAAACATGTTGGTAAAATAATTTTGGTACCCTCTGGTAATTTAACATAACTATGGAAAATGGCCCATTTATAGTCGATTTTCCCATGAAAAATGGTGATTTTCCATGGCTATGTTAAATAACCAGAGGGTAAATGTTGGGAACGGATCCCCACATTTTTTTCTCCATGGATTCCAATGGATTCCCCATGGATTAAGTGGCCATGGGAATGGCGCCCAGGAAGTGGCCATGGGATTGCGGGCGATGTTTTCGGCCGCTTGGAGAAGTTTGGCCGACCGAATCTGACCCTGAAGTAATCGCAGGAACCTGCCTGGAACATCAAGAAGAATAGATTCTCTATTGATGTTATATATTTTTATAAAAGTTCCTATGAGAGAGAGTGTTTCGTTTGTCAGATTAGATTACCAGGTATCTTGAGTCAGTCGTGAAGTTCTGTCTAGTTTTTTTCAGTGGCCGAGTGGTTGGAATTTGAGGATTCGCTTGTAAAAGAACGGATTTTCACTACAGGACTATGGCACTATGGGCTATCCCCAAGTATCCCCAGGATTCTGACCCCACGACTGGCTGCTGGCCTGATGAGAAGATCCAATCTGAAGAGGAAAATGTCCCTGTTGCCATGTTGTCACTTTTCTTTTAAAAAACTTTACCCGCCTGGCTGCCAACTTGTTTCGCCAGCAGTGTAATGTTGTGGGAATCCTATCCCATCCTATCCCTAGTCGACCATTATTAGCCAGTATGACTCGGTATGGCACTCGCGCTTTTCCAACAAACAACTTCATGGATGAATGGCATCAACAGGCCTTGATGCGACACAACATTTTTGTGTGACCGGAACAGAACTGTCGCGCATTCAAAGATATATAGTATAATTATGTATATATGAATTTGCATGTGTTTATGTACATTACATGTGCATTTGATACTTTATTGAGCTATAATACAATATATATGTAAATACATGCAAACCTCATACATCCAAGGATATCAGCTGATTGCTGAGACATCGCTGAGGAAAATCATCACAGACATCGCGATTTGGGCGCATGCCGCCGGTGGATCTCAAGGCCGGGTCGATCTTACAACGGTAATGCTGTGGGATTTACCCGCTTAGATTCAGAAATTCGGGTCCCAAGGGGATGCGGAACCATCCAAAGGTGTCACTGGAGTCACCGTCACCAGCATCGGGATTTTGCCGGCCAGCCACCCTTCGCATCCTTTCGCATCATGTGCGAAAATGGTCCCTTGCAATCAACTTGTCACTCCAATGGTTTGAATAGATTCAGTCACAGTTGTTTGAAGTTTGCGGACGAATGACCACGAAAGCCTGCACGATGTTGACACCACTCACTTTGTAAGATGAGAAAGATGCTGCTTGCCGCTGAGATTGTACCACCTCTATGCCACAGGTTCGTTCGGAGCCAAAAGTTCGAGTACTTAGTGGCATCTTGGTGGCAAAAGGCACGAATGAAGCATGATGATTCGTCGACGAGTTGGATTCCTTCACGTGTGTCTCGTGGCAGACGGACCGTCAAACCAAGCGGCTTTCCGATTGGCACTTGACGATGATTGGGCAATGCCAAGAAGCCGCCAGTTTTTTGAGACGCAAGACTTGGAGCGTTCCAGCGAAAGCTTTTGAGGTAGCCGTGATCGTCACCCACACAATCTTGGTTGGAAACTTGCTTGCAGATCTTGCAGTGGATCTCCCCAAAGCCCTTCAACTCACTGATGGAGGATAGTTTTCATGTCGCCATAGGGACGAGGACACCTTTGGGGCGATGTTCTGAAACTCAACACATAAAAACGCCAGTCCAAGCCTGTCCAGAAAGCAGTATATAACATGTGTCATATATTATATATACACACGCACGCATGTATACACATCATATTATGTAAATGCAAGGTCATACATGATACTATAGATATACTATATGATACTATATTTACATTATTATTTATATACAATACAGACATTGACAACGACAGAGAAACACAGAACCCCCAAAGTCCTTGCTGGTGAGCTCTGCCCACGCTTTGCTCAGGAGCGCAGATCAATGGCATGACGCTGACCGGTGCCGCGGATCCAGCGGCCGGCTTCAGTGGCATGGTGCGAAGTGATGAAGTGGTCATGGTTCAGGGGCAAGAAACTTTTGGATCGTTCAGCTTCTCATGAAGTGGTCATTTTTGTGGTGATTTTTATCTGACCATGTGGAGATGGCAATCCAGTTGGACGCCAAGAATATCCAGTTGAATACCTTGCAATGCGAGATGCCAGGGTCTGTGACAGCTGTGACAGTCACTGTGACATCTAAGGAGCAATGGATATCGTCATTTGCATCTTTTTCGCGTTGGAGGCCCCGGGATATCATTTTTGGACAAGCGCAGGCGACTGAGCATGCGATGAACACGCACCGTGTGAGTTTCCATGAGTGAAGTGGCGAAGACAGCAGGGCGGAAGACAGCATTTCGTTTAAAGGCGGGGGCCACCATGGAATTTAGGGATATCTCATGATATCTCCCATTCTCACGAACCGAAAACTTCAATAAGGTAGAATGATGATCAACCATGGAATTTAGGGATATCTCCCATTCTCCCACCGACGTGCTCGCAGCAACCTGCGCGGCAGGTTGGACTTCGACTGACAGCGCACGGCTTAAAGTTTTTCTACATGTGACTTGGTGGCCATGACTGGACCAAGGGTTGTCACCGAGCAATGCCCCAAATCTGGTTGCTGGTTGAGATTGTAATGTAGAACTATGTAAAACTGGTTGAATTACAGCGGATGATGAGAATTCAATGGAACCCCAATCAGGTTTGAAGGTGACAGCGCTTCGTTGATTCACCAAGGTTGGGTTGGGGTTGGAACGCTGGAAGCTCAGATTTTGGAAGGCTCAATTCATTGGGATCTTGATCTGGACCACAGCATGAAGCAGGATTGGTGTTGGATCATGAATTCGAATTGTTTGAATTCATAGAGTAAGTGAGTCCATGCAAACAAGGCTTGGTTACATACAGTTCCATGCAGTTCTGCAGAGTTTCTGCCATGGTCTGGCAGTGGATTTCAGCCACTGATGCTGACAGATTGAGGTCCTGGATTTCTTCCTGGTGCTTGCACAGATCCTTGAAGAGTTGCTTATTTTGGCCAGCAACGGGCACTTTGGAGGACCGGTTCGGAAAAAGCGGGTGTTTTTTCGCAGGGCCTTGATCCAAGGCACACTGGGTTGATGCCCAACATTTTGAGCCCCGTTTCGCAGCTTGTGGTTTAACAGGCAAGTGAATTTTGGGGCAAAAGGTATTTTGGCTGGATCAGGTTCAAGTCCATGTGCAGGGATTTGAAATCTTGGATTCTTTTCAAGTGCCATTGAGCCTCGATTGGAAGGTTTAGAATTTAGGCACTGTCTCGTTTCGCTTCCTTTGCCATCTAGTTTTTTACCCGACGGTTGAGAGCTATCAAGAAGCAGAGAGCATGAACGGTCAGCAAAGAACCCCTTCAGAGCGAAGATAGCAGCCGCTCCTCACTTCTCTTCCAATTGGAATCCAGGAATGGATTTTGGTGTCCTTCGAATTGTGAGGACGTGCCTTGCTTGAATGTTGTAAGTTGATTCCCTATACTCTTTGCAGTGTATTGTAGTGTATTTTTAACATAGGCACGAATCAAACGTCCCCACCATTTATGAGATATCCCCAAGGTTTGTTACTTCAATGCCCTGTTCTGTTGCTTACATTCGCTTCTTAGAATCAATATGGCTGTATCTAAGAAATGGGATGCATAACATTGGAAACACCTTGGATCGACATGTCGGCCATCATTCAATGGGATAACCAGGGATCATCATGATTCACCGATTAACGATAAAAAAGGCGCTTTTCCGCGGATTTTTCTGCGGGCGCCCGGCATTCACCGGCACTGCTGTCCCAGATTGTCCCAGGCTCCGGTGCGTTCGCCTCCTCCGGGTCCTCCGCATCACCCGATTCTTAAATGACTTAAGGAGCGCCGGCTGATGCGCGATGGGTGTCCAAAAAATTGACCGAAGGAACAGCGTTTCAACATGGTTTCAACAGAGATCCCAGAAATTCCCAGAACATCCATTCAATTTGAATCACAAAAGCTTCTGCTAGCTGAAGTCTGTCTTGCTTTAGCAAGGTATTGCAGTGAAATTTCACAGTTAAATTCCTCACCCCCCCACACCTATAGTTTGGAAGCAGTTTTGCGCTGGCTCAATCCCCAGGGACGTCGTCCCACTTCGTATCTCCCCGCAGCTCTCTTCCGTGGCGGAAAGGAGATTGGTCGCTTGCATTGTCTACTCGGCGAAGTCCTTCATTTGGTGGCTTAGTCCATGGAAAGTCATGGTGAAAGTCATGGTGAAACTTGAAGATTCCCTGTTACAACATGTTACAACATGTTCAACATGTTGCAAATACTGAAAGTTCCGGAAAACGCGGCCGTGCGGAAAACAACAGTTTTTGAGTTCTTTTTTTTTTTATCAGAACAGTTCCTTTCCTTTCCGACTTTCTCAGGGATTCACTGTGTCTCCCGGGGATTCAAGGTCAGTTGCCTTTGTTTTCCTGCTGGTCTACATCTATGGCCTCTACTTGACCCAATCGGTTCATCTGCACAGACTCGAGACAGGCGACCAAGCAGCTGCAGCTGCAGTGAAATTTACTATTAATGAAGGAAGAAAGACCATGATATCATATGATATCATACTATATTTCATTGTCCATCTGATAATCCAACATATTCACAGACATATTACATTACAATACAATACGTTACATTACATTACGTCACTTAAGTTGCGTTGCATTACATAAATTACATGGCATTTTCTTACATTACATTACAACACCTCACATTACATTACATAATGAATTTCTTATTATTTTGTCTCACTTAGAGTCTAGATTCGTACAATGATCATTTTGTTTATTATTTCCCATATGATCCATGTATGCTATATATGGTAACATGGTTCCCATCAATATACCCCCTTTGTGTTAGTATATATACCAGCACCATGGATCCGTCATGGGTTTATGTCATATCATTTTGTCACAGCTGGCAGGCCCCAATGCTGCCGGAGACGAGGTCCTGGCCGAATACTTTGGAACGGCCCTTTGGACGACCTGGGTTTGGCCCTGGTGAAAGGATGCGAAGATGGATGAAACTGTTGGTTGTTGGTTGTTGGTTGTTGGTTAATGATGGTTAATGTTGGTTAATGATGGTTAATGTTGGTTAATGATGGTTAATGTTGGTTAATGATGGTTAATGTTGGTTAATGATGGTTAATGTTGGTTAATGTTGGTTAATGATGGTTAATGTTGGTTAATGATGGTTAATGATAGTTAATGATGGTTAATGATGGTTAATGATGGTTAATGATGGTTATATAATGATGGTTAATGATGGTTAATGATGATGATGATGATGATGATGATGATGATGGTTAATGATGGTTAATGATGATGATGATGATGATGATGATGATGATGAAGATGAAGAAACTTCCTCCCTCATTTGGATTGAGAACTTCTGAATCCATAAAGTACAAACTAATTTAAGGATTGTGGATTATTGTGGGCTGAATATTGGGAATGTTTCTTGTCAAACTGATTCGATTCAGCCCTTTGAGCATCCCTTAAAACGCGTTTCTGAGGTTGGACGATCCATCCTTTCTTTGTTCCAGGCTCTCACGGGAGGCCTGGCCTGATGGCAGTCTGACCACATGGGGTATCAAACCTGCAGACTTTTATCCATCGGCCATCAACAGGGTACAATCATCTACAATGTACAATCAATCTATAGATATCTATAGATCACGATGGGGGATGATTAATTGGGGGGTACCAATTTACCAATTTCTAGCTATTTTAAGTTGCCAGCAACTCCATTTGTAAAGTTGGCAGAGGTTGCGACCCTAAGCGGCCGGATTTGAAGAGCCCAACAGGTATCGATTGGCGGGACTTGGTGGAGCCACTGAGTCAGTACATGAACTGGGGATGGGGACTGGCCACCGTCATTTGGATCGCATTTTTGATGCTTGGAGCAGCTTGGCGGCAGCCGAATGGAAATGGCGAAATGCGTGGTAAGATGTCATAAAATTGCAGCCTTCTAATTTCCTGTCAGCCAGACAAGCTTTCAGAGATCGTTCCGGAAACTTCTTAACGAGTCCTACTGGATTACAGTGTACCGTTCGGGTATTGAAGCGTCTCGAGGGCTTTCGTGTTTTGCCTGAAGAGTGGGATCACTATGCCGGGATGACAGAATATACAGAATGACCGGAGAGTTCAGGTACAGGGGTGCAAACTCGGAAGGGGTTTCACCTGGATTCACCTGGATTCACCAAATAGTGATGAAACAGGAACAGTTTTCTATAACATAGAATCCATGTATGCATATATATGGTAACATTTACCATCAATATACCCCCTTTATGTTAGTATATATACCAGCACCATGGATCCTATGGGTATAGTTTTCAATGTTCTTCAATATTTCTCTTTTTTTTGGGGCTCAACAGGTTCGGAGATGAACACTGGCAGTGAGGTCATGAACATCATCACAGGCAATTTTGTGTCTGCTGCGATGGAACGTTCCCAGTCCGTGAAGGCGCCGAATACATCTGGGATTGGAAAAAAGCGCTGGTGGTTGATGGTGATACTGTATTGGGTTGCACACGCTTAGACTAATTGATACTGAACAATACTGATATAATTGGAATTACTGAGATCCAATGTGAGAGAACCAATTTTCCAGGCGTGTAGTATAGGTATTCACTGCACAAGCCTTTTCCCACCTTGCTAGGATGTGGACAATGTCTTCCAAGCAAGACGGCTGTTCAAAAGCCTGGATATTGATGACAGTGGTGTCACTTAGCCTCAGCATGCAGGATGGATGTTTAATGGGTACAAAAAAAACAGTCAGTTTGACACATGGCTAAAGGCTTTTCGTTTCTTGGAAGGTTTTTTTTGTTTGAAGATGTTTTTTCAGAATCCCCCCAAATCAAGGTACCATTTTTTTCCGGTATACCCTCTGGTTATTTAACATAGCCATGGAAAATGGCCCATTTATAGATGGTTTACCTATTAAAAATTGTGATTTTCCATGGCTATGTTAAATTACCAGAGGGTACTTTCGTTGGGTTTCATCCTTTTAAGGCTTCCCCAAAAATGGAAACTTTCCATCGCCTTCATTCGCCTTGACGCCGAGGCCATTACGATCGATGAAATCCGACGGCATTTGGAGTCCAAGCCTGTGCAGCAGTTCTTCAGGCAGGCATGGCATTTGTTGGTCGGTAGAGCTCCGAAAAAAGATTGGAACACCTTAAATCATCCAAGAAACTGGGTGTATTTCAGGACTGGATTGGGGGCTTTTTTTTGGATTTGGATGATTGATTTTTTTTGTACCGCGAGGTTCAGGGAACAGTCACATTTCAAGAGTATCATCATCTGGTCGTGGCCCAGGACGATCGATGTTGATTCATCTGAAGCAGAAGTCCTGTTTGAGATTTTAGATTTGAGTGGAGACGGCAGCATAGACAAAGAGGACAGACCGGGAGGGCCGCAGACCGGGCTTTGGGCGAGGAACGACTCAGATAAGAAACCGCGCAGCGTGAGTCTGAAGTTGTTTGGCACTTGGCTAAAGAATCAACACTTATGGTGACACTTTGGCCAGAGAATTATTTTGAGACCATGGCTCATTTGAAACATTTGTCTTGAATTTTCTGTATATAGAATTATAGAGATGGATATGGCTCAAACTCCTCTACCCGTCCAGTTAGGAGGTATCCAAGTTGTATGGCTTGCCATTCTCTACCCTCAGCATCATTTAGCCATGCAACCATCATTTCCCCATCATTTCCCCATCATTTTCCCAGCTCACTTGCCAAATTTTTCTCAGCCACTGGGCCCCTGGGCCCTTCATGGCCCTTCGTTCCCGGAGGAGTTCATCAGCGGCTGTTTACGGCTGCAGGGTGCAGCCAGGGCCGTGGATCTCCTGCTGATGACCAAGGACACGCGCCGAGGTGCGCAGATACGACGTGTTCAGCTGCAGCATTGATGATATCCACTTGATGATATTTTAAAATTTGTAGTCCATCAGTTCAAACATGTTCAAACATATTTGAATGTACTACATATATCTACATATATAGAGTATACAGTACAGTAATTATACGTAATTATACGACATGTTGCAACAAAATGTATGTGGTAGAGTGCATGGACACATCATAAAAGATATGTCCAGGCTTCGAACAGATTCTTTGCTACCTCGAAGAGCTCACACAGCGTTTCGAAGCCACACAGGACCCATGGAGTGGTGTTTTGAAGCTTTCAAGCAGCCACAATGGCACAGCATTTATCATGTAAAAGGCAATCTATACACGTCTATACCCCTGTACTAGTAGATGAAACGTATACTTCAAGAATCTTCAAAATATATCAAAAGATATGATGATATTTGTTTCATCACGTTCGATTCTATATCCACCATCCGCATGGTCCGCTGAGCCTGTGTGGTTCCATCAAGCTCCGTGCCTCTTTAAGTGGAAATCACCTGTTCTCACTTGGAAGATCATCTACTCACGCAGGACAGCTTATCAAGATCCGAAAGTGGTTGGGAGCTCAACCCATAACGCTGCTGGTTCAAACATTTTATGGGACTTCACCAGCGTGTGGACTTCGGATCATATTTCTCAGGACAGACATGATATATTCAAATCTTAGTCGGGTTGCTAGTGCCCAGCTCAAAAACATGCGTTGTTGGGTCAATATTGAGCTGATCAGTCGATGATCCATGATGATCCATATAAATACATGTTTCCTCAGCCTTTGGGGACCGACAAACGTAAAAACAACTCGACAAATGAGGCAGGCGCAGCAATAGCGACAACGGCCTATCCTGAGTCGTGATGTCCTGTCAACCCCCTGCTTTGAGATCTGAGAACTGGATCTGATAGATTAACGTCTCAAAATCAGGGGGGGTCCAATGTTCCGATTTACTTTTATTCAAACAACATTTGAACCTCACGTCACCAGTTGGGACCACCCTGATTTTGAGACATGCCTTCATTGTCATGTTGCAAAATTTCAGGGCAAATATTCATCAAGAAAGAGAAGCAACGAAGACACTGATACACATATAAAATTATAAATATACATCATGCTAAATTTGAAGAGTTTAGTTTAGTTTACCCGCGAATGCACGAGCCGTCACGAGCCAATTCGCTCCCTGCGGGGTACTCCCAGTCCTGGCAAAGCCATGACGCGGGTGCCGCGCGACATCGCGCGACGTAACAGTTGCTGGTGCAGCACAGAGTGGCTACGCACCAGACTGGCGTCGACGGTCACAGTCGTTGCTCAAAAGTGTTTTTTTTTTCCATGGATATTCAACTTTTCCATGGATTATCCAACACTTTTCCATTTTCCATGGATTCAACAGGCTTTTTCCAATGGTTTTTTCGATTCCAACTGCTCGGGAAATTTCTTTCGGGATGATGCAGTGATGGAGGTGTCGCCAACACTACCCAATCACCCAATCGAGACTTGGGTACTATCATGTACTATCCAAGTCACTGATGCTATCACTACCCAATTGGTTCCAGTGATTGGGGGTATACTGTAGTACTCAATTTGTCTCATACCCGTGTAATCAGACATGCTCAACATCGACATCTATGGAGAAACAAGTCGCAACATCAGACCAAAAATAGATGTATACATATATGGATAGATATGGCATATGGCCAACCAAGAGGCCGGACACAAGTCATACCAAGCCATTGTAACACATGAAGAGATCATTCAGTGAAGAAACATTGGCAGTTGCAGCATCAAACATCATCAAACACAGTCACGATGAGAAGAGACGATGTCCAAGCAGTGCAACCAAGACTGCACTCCTAAACTTCGCTTAAACATAAGATGTCGTTGGAGTTGATCATAGCACGTTTTAGCACAATTATGGGAGCAGTGCCAACATGTTGTCTGATTTTTGGTGGCACTGCCTGGAAAACCAGCAAAGAGCGGATGACCTTTCAAATAATCTCTGCTTCTCCCCTAAAGAAATGACACCAGACCCGTTTGTCAGTGTTTATTTTTTTGTCCTCCCAATTTTGTCCTCATGATATCCCGATCTTTACCATGAAATATCTACCCATTCAAGCTGATATGGATATTAATTATGGACCATAATATCCCATCATTGAATCATGTCCCCATGATATCCGGATATATTATGGATGAATCTGCCAGTAAGATCCAGTAAGTCCCCATTTCAGCAGCCAGGAGTTCCTAGAGCTGGTGAAAGAGACCTGTGATGACTACGCAGAGATCAATGAGCGCAGCTCACAGCCCCGGGCTGGGAGGGGAATCGTAGGTTGGACCTCGATGAAGAATGGATGCCATGAATGGTTGCGGTGGATTTCTTGATGCCAATGATTCCATTAGTATCATCATGTATCATCTCTTTTCATCTATTTTTTGTTTATCTATTTTGATCTATTTTTCATGGTAACTCTGGGTGAAGTTCTTATGGATTCCTATGGTTCCACAGACCTGGCAACTCAGCAGGAGATCGTGGAGCGACACTCGACGCTGGAAACTGCCAACACTGACCTGGCAGAGATCCAAACGGAATCCGAGACCAAAATCGAGGAGACCGCAGTGACCGCACCGATTGATGTTGTGCTGCTTTTTTTGGGGTCTAGATTCGTTGTAGATTGAAGATTCGGGGCATCCCGGTCGCATAGGCAGCCTAGGTGTGAAACTACGCTTATATATTATATAATTAGTATTAATTGATTATAGTTACATTTTAAGAGCTTTGACAGGTAGTTGGCTCACGTTTCACAGGTCAATTTGGCCGTTATCCAGCCTTGGAGCAGTCGTAGTAAATCGTAGTGCGACACCAGTGCTTCGGATGAAGTAGCGAAAAACCATGAAAAACTGGAAACATCCGGAAGCATCCGGAAGCATGGATTTTCACATCATCGATAGTTCGGCATTGCCAGGCTGCCATCCAGTTTCCAATGGCAGGGACCCTGCATTCGCCAGGAGCTCCGTGGAGAGTTCCAGAGTTACAAGAGCCTCAGCTGCAGTATTCCTGTGACTGCAGAGATGTTGGATGCCTTCAACTTATGGCACTTTGATGTTTTTCTCTTGACATATCTGGATTATTCTGGATTGATATTACATCTTACATCATCTTACTGTAGGTGATTATGTGATTTTTGCAGTTCCAGAGTGTAATATCATGCAATTACATTGGTGACATTAGTCATTGGTCATATTAGTCATTAGTCTCGTGCTACGGACACCGAGCGGACCTAGCGCAGCAGAAGTCCTGGGAACCTTGGACGGAGCCATTGGAATCTGGACCATGACCCAGGAAAGAGCAGGAAATGGAAATGATGGAACTGCGGAACAAGGCAGGGGATGAGGGGATGATGATGGATGATGATGGATGATGATGGATGATGATGGATCTGAGGATCGGCTTGTCGAGGCATGTCGAGGCCATCTCCATTGAAACAGGTCGAATGGGGTAGTTTCCAGAAGATGGACATAGTTTTTCCGATGTTTTTCGATGTTTTTCTTCTGTGACTTGCTGGGTTCTGTAAGACATTCCTAGGGGCGCTTGTGTGGCCAAGGGCAGAATCCGTTCCCAGTCCAAGTCCAGGTGGCCACGCTGCAAATCGAACTGGATGAATGCCAGAAGGTGGGCCATATCATGGGACATCTGTGAGCTGAAAAGCTTGTCACTCCATCCAGACCTTCAATACCCTTCAATAATCTCAATATATCTCAATCGTATATTGAAACCATTCACCTTCAACATCATGCTTCAGCACCATCCTAGTTGCTTCTGTCGCCATGCCAGAAGCGACAGCAGTTGCAGCACGAGTTTGATGAAGCAACGCTGGAAGACTCCGAGTGCCTAAACTCAAATGGAGTCTGGCGTGTTGCTTGACATGTTGACATTCGAATCAAAGGCCCGAACTTAGATAGTTTACGAATTTGTAGGCCATTGGTACCAAACTTTTCTTTTTAAACATCATTCTTGGTATTGGAATCAAAAGCTGGACGTCCCAGTTGTCTTGTCACCAGCCGGTCCTTGTAGGTCCAATGAGACCAATATCTCATAAAAATTCATTGAATTATTTTCACTCTCTCCATCAAGAAGCCAAGTATCTTCATCAACTGCTGGGAGGGAATTGGTTGCTATATGATATACGTATATATATATATATATATATATTATATATATATATATCTATTGATTATATTGCTACAGTAAGCCTCGACAATTTGGCCACGGAAGTGTTTAGGCGCACTTCCAGTGCGACACAGTCAGTGCACAACCCACAAGATCAAACAGTCTCTGGACGAACAAAGGAACATTGACAGCATCCCGCTGTTTTCCGTACATTTCTCTTGAACCAAACCTTGAACCATGGTACCAACACCTGGTGAATCTCACGACTGGTTCTTTTTGTGAGGCATTCGCTGAAGTTCGGACAAATCCTCATGTCAGTGCGAAGCACAGCCCAGCCGTTGTGTTGTTCGCAAGCCGTTGTGTTGTTTCCAGTGATTCTTACTATAATTATTGGGTTCAGGAGGTGTTCTGGTCGATATCAGGAATTGGTATCAAGTAGTTTTGCGGCTGATGGTGGTGCAAATGGATTCGCTGCACATTGGCTAAGCGGCTAAGGTAGAAAACTTGTTTCTGCGATGCACGACCAAGAGGCCGCGAGCAGTTCCTATGCATAGTTCTGAGAGAAGAAGTTACTGAATGTGACAGTCCTACCACATCAGGTTGAAAGTGGAGGTAGGACATGTGTACCTGATTTTTTGTCGCAGTACAGTTTTGTGCATTCCATGGGACAGGAATCCCCAAAAGAGACCACCATAGAGTATATGAAGACAAACTACAGCAGAAATATTTCAGAGAAACATTATTTTTATTGATCTTTTAACGCATCTGGAAGTATCACAACCAAACCTTCTATGCCCAAAGTACTACATGGTCTGATGGCTGGGCTCCGACAAGATCTGCTTTCCGCAGGAAAAACATTCAGCATGCTCAGACCCCGGTTGATGACGAGGGGAAGCAAGAAGGCATGAGTGATTGGTTTTCAAAGCTGTTTCGAAACTCCTAGGTGGATATAGTTGCAGAATGTTCCGATGTTCTACTAAAAAACGTATTGTTTGGGGCTACACTTGGTGTTCTGATGCCACCGCAGAGAAAGGATCGACATTGGACGATCTTAGCAGGTGAAGAAGGTCAGGATGAAAGCGAGGATTCCTTCCGAAAGAAGAAGGAGCTCAAGTGACCGGTAGTGGATTTGTTTGGGGCAAGGAGGGAGAGTGAAATGAGAGAAGCTGGTTGGGCAGCCTGACCCGGGGCTTTCTGCGGCAAAGCACCCTCCAGAGCAATGAAAAGTATATACATCAAATCGTTCAAAAAGGGAACCTGCAGAGAATTATCAAACATGGCCTGCTGGAAAATCTTGAGGATCTTCGCTACACGGGTCCCCAACCACGATTTGATTTTGGTGACTTTCGTTTCGCATGAAAAGCTGCCCATTTTTAGGGGACTTCCATGGATTTTGGCGTCGAAACCTTCCAGGAGAACGCGATGAGGCAACTGAAAATCATCCTCGCTTACCTCAAGGACGCCACTGGGGGCTGTTGGGAAATCAGTTTAGAGTCTTTTGTTTCCCACTGAGTGTAAGTATGTGTAAGTGAGATTAGTATAGATTAGTGACATACTATAATGTATTAGTATTATACTAAAAAGATAGTCACGAAAGCCAGCCGCTAGGCTAGGCGAAGTTATTTTTGCGAACAAAGTGAGTTAAGGGGGTCTGGGGGCAGAGCGACCCGAGAGGGACAAAAATGAGGAAATTAGGTGGTAAAAAAGGTGGCCACAGGTAAACTTTTTTAGGGTTATGTACCAGGTGGCAATTGGGTGACGTTGGGGTATCGATTCCCCCCTGGTCCGCCCTCCGAGGTGGATCTGGGCAGATTGCAATGGAGGGGAAAATGATGAGAAAAACAATAGAAAAAATGAGGGAATATGACTCTGACATAAAACAATGGGAAAAAAATGGGAAAGGAGGGGAAAATGATGAGAAAAACAATGGAAAAAAGGAGGGACTTTGACATAAAACAATGGAAAAAAATGGGAAAGCAATGGAAAATTTGAGTAGAACGCTTGGAAAATTGTTTAAAACGCGAGGAGAAACGGTGGAAAGAATAGGGAGAGGGTAAAATGATGCCAAGTAAAATTGAGGCTCCGATGTGGGACCATTATCGCGTAAAGCATGCGTGAAACAATGGAAAAGCAATGGAAAAATTGCAGTTTCGATGTGTGACCACTATGGAGTAGAAGCACAGAAAAAAAAACATGGAAGAAATGAGCAAAACCGTTTATACGGTGCAACTGTAGGGATTGTGGGAGGTGCATTTGGGTAAGCGTTAGACACACTGGAGAAATCGAGTAACACCATGGCAAAACACTGTGAAAAGTGATGAAATGGAAAGATAAATTGATAGCATAAAATATGGGAAAAACAATGAACAAATGAATGGGAAAGCAATGGAAAATTGGAGTGGAACGTTTGGAAAATTGATTACAACGCGAGGAAAATTGGTGGAAACAATGAGGAGCGGGTAAAATGATGCCAGGTCACGTAAAGCACGCGTGAAACATTGGAAAAGCAATGGAAAAATGGCAGTTTTGATGTGTAACCACTATGGAGTAGACGCACGGAAAGAAAACCATGGAAGAAAGACGATTGAGTAAAACTGGAGGAAAAACTGTGAAAAAAACACTGGGGAGACTGGAATGAAGGGGAAAATGGTGTCGAGTAAAACTATGGAAAAGCAATGAAAAAAAACTATGGCGTCGACGTGGATCGATGGGAAAACAATGGAAAAATTGAGAGACTGGACTATGATGAAGAAGTGGAGAAAAACAATGGAAAAAAACATTGGAAAAAAACATTGGAAAAATTGCGGCTCTGATGTGGGACCAAAATGATGCCAAGTAAAATAAGAGCAAAATGACGGAAATTGATGGGATGGAAACACAATGGAAAAATTGAGGCTCAAATGTGGGACCATTATATGTGCAAGAAGAGTTTCTGGGTGAAGAGCCTCTAGGTGAAAAGTATATGGGTGAAAAGTTTGTGCAAGAAGAGTTTCTGGGTGAAGAGTTTCTGGGTGAAAAGTCTGTGCAAGAAGAGTTTCTGGGTGAAGAGTCTCTGGGTGAAAAGATGTGAAAAGTATATGGGTGAAACGTATGTGCAAGAAGAGTTTCTGGGTGAAGAGTCTCTGGGTGGAAAGTATATGGGTGAAAAGTCTGTGCAAGAAGAGTTTCTGGGTGAAGAGTCTCTGGGTGAAAAATATGTGCAAGAAAAGTTTCTAGGTGAAGAGTCTCTGGGTGAAAAGTATATTGGTGAAAAGTATGTGCAAGAAGAGTTTCTGGGTGAAGAGTCTCTGGGTGAAAAGTATATGGGTGAAAAATATGTGCAAGAAGAGTCTCTGGGTGAAAAGTATATGGGTGAAAAGTATGTGCAAGAAGAGTTTCTGGGTGAAGAGTCTCTGGGTGAAAAGTATATGGGTGAAATGTATGCGCAAAAAGAGTTTCTGGGTGAAGAGTCTCTGGGTGAAACGTATATGGGTGAAAAGTATGTGCAAGAAGAGTTTCTGGGTGAAGAGTCTCTGGGTAAAAAGTATATGGGCGAAAAGTATGTGCAAGAAGAGTTTCTGGGTGAAGAGTCTCTGGGTGAAAAGCATGTGCAAGGAGAGTTTCTGGGGAAGAGTCTCTGGGTGAAACGTATATGGGTGAAAAGTATGTGCAAGAAGAGTTTCTGGGTGAAGAGTCTCTGGGTGAAAAGTATATGGGTGAAAAGTATGTGCAAGAAAGTTTCTGGGTGAAGAGTCTCTGGGTGAAAAGTATGTGGGTGAAAAGTATGTGTAATAAGAGTTTTTGGGTGAAGAGTCTCTGGGTGAAAAGTAGATGGGTGAAAAGTATGTGCAAGAAAGTTTCTGGGTGAAGAGTCTCTGGGTGAAAAGTATATGGGTGAAAAGTATGTGCAAGAAGAGTTTCTGGGTGAAAAGTCTCTGGGTGAAAAGTATATGGGTGAAAAGCATGTGCAAGAAGAGTTTCTGGGTGAAAAGTATGTGCAAGAAGAGTTTCTGGGTGAAGAGTCTCTGGATGAAAAGTATATGGGTGAAAAGTATGTGCAAGAAGAGTTTCTGGGTGAAGAATCTCTGGGTGAAAAGTATATGGGTGAAAAGTATGTGCAAGAAGAGTTTCTGGGTAAAGAGTCTCTGGGTGAAAAATCTATGCAAGAAGAGTTTCTGGGTGAAGAGTCTCTGGGTGAAAAGTATATGGGTGAAAAGTATGTGCAAGAAGAGTTTCTTCTTCTGGTGAGATCTCTGGGTGAAAGTATTGCAAGGACGGTGTTCTGGGGGTTCAGAGTCTCTGGGTGAAAAGTACATGGGTGAAAAGTATATGGGTGAAAAGTATGTGAAAGAAGAGTTTCTGGGTGAAAAATATGTGCAAAAAGAGTTTCTGGGTGAAGAGTCTCTGGGTGAAAAGTATATGGGTGAAAAGTATGTGCAAGAAGAGTTTCTGGGTGAAGAGTCTCTGGGTGAACAATATCTGGGTGAAAAGTATGTGCAAGAAGAGTTTCTGGGTGAAGAGTCTCTGGGTGAAAAGTATATGGGTGAAAAGTATGTGCAACGAGGGTTTCTGGGTGCAGAGTCTCTGGGTGAAAAGTATATGGGTGAAATGTATGTGCAAGAAGAGTTTCTGGGTGAAGAGTCTCTGGGTGAAAAGTATATGGGTGAAAAGTATGTGCAAGAAAGAGTTTCTGGGTGAAGAGTCTCTGGGTGAAAAGTATATGGGTGAAAAGTATGTGCAAGAAGAGTTTCTGGGTGAAGAGTCTCTGGGTGACCACAAGTCTGTGCAAGAAGAGTTTCTGGGTGAAGAATCTCTGGGTGAAAAGTATATGGGTGACATGTATGTGCAAGAAGTGGCAAGAAGAGTTTCTGGGTGAAGAGTCTCTGGGTGAAAAATATCTGGGTGAAAAATATGTGCAAGAAGAGTTTCTGGGTGAAGAGTCTGTGCAAGGAGAGTTTCTGGGTGAAGAGTCTCTGGGTGAAAAGTATATGGGTGAAATGTATGCGCAAGAAGAGTTTCTGGGTGAAGAGTCTCTGGGTGAAAAGTATCTGGGTGAAAAGTCTGTGCAAGAAGAGTTTCTGGGTGAAGAATTTCTGGGTGAAAAGTATATGGGTGAAATGTATTGAAGAGTCTCTGGGTGAAAAGTATGATGGAAAATAGGGGTAGATGGGATGCTGGCTTTCGTTCCCCCCTTCTCAGGTATGTCCTGCTATATTTTTCTATTCTTTAATTGGGCGTTGGGTGCCCAGATTGGGATGCTGCATCCAAGATCACGGGTGTCTCATGCATCGCAATGAAACCTTGCGCCTTGGGGTTTTTAATGTGGCTAAACGGTCCAACATGGTCCAACCATCCAACCGAAATCCGTTGCGGAATCCGTTGCGGTCAGGATTTCCGGGAAATTTGCGAGATCCTCCGGAAAGAAAGAAGAGCAGATCCCACCCGCGCGAAGCAGGCGCCAGCACTGGAGCCTTGGAGCGATATCATGTGGCGCCAGTACCATTGGGATGGACATCCATTGAGGATGGCAAGGATGTTCGACCTGAAACACAGGCTACGAAGCCTACATCCCAATGGTGTGGCTGATGGACTATATAGGGTAATGTATGGGTAGCACAATGCAGATATGCAGTCTGTCTCCTGATTGATGAGGACGCTTGTCCGTTGGGCATTTTGTTGCTAAATCTCCGACTTGATCCATTTTGATGCATATTTTTGAGATCACCAGAACAGATTCTTCTTGAGGATGCTCCAAAAAATACAACGTTGGATTATGTTCAAAGGACATTTCACTAGTCCGACATCAAACGGGCCATCATCTTCTATGAATACATTGAATACATCCACAATTTCTATACAACTACAATGTACCAAACAGAACTAATATCTATATATGAGTAACCGACAATATTTTTTAAATACAAATTGAGTCTTGCGTCGCTTGGCCTCGCTGCGGTGCAGAAATCTTCACTACCAATAGGGGACGAGCCTAATTTGAACATGCCATGAAAACGAACTTAAGTAATATCAAGTAAAAAATTGTCCGCTATTCATCTATCTTTCTGTCATTCTATATAATAATGCACCAGTCTATCACTTATGATATATTATATATCAACATCTCCAGATCTGATCCCCAGCTTTTCGAAACCTGTTCCGGAACCAGGGAGCTTTAGAGGCGGTCACTGCACCGGAGCCCAACATTCGATTCGAGGTGCCGGCCGGCGCAGGTATTTCATGGGTTTGTTGTGGCTATGGATCAATACCATGATCTCTAGTATGGTTACCTAGAAATACATCTATTTTCATCTCCCAATAGATACAAATACAATCTTTTAAGGGGATGTACATCCATAACCCCCAGCTATTTTGATGTGAACTACAGGGGTACCATGCTTTTGACCCACCCCCAGGCAGAGGGCGAATCACGCCCCGGCATCCCGCGGGCAGGCGGAGATGCCTCGCGGCGGCGATCGAGGATCTCAAAACTCAGGTGATCAAACACTGGCGAACTGGGAAGCATCATTTGTTGCATCATTGGTTGTCACTGAAAAGTATACTTAAGTCAGATGATTCAGATGATTCAGATCTAGGTCTAGGTCCCTGATGTTATTTGATGTTGGAGGGGTCATGATAGTCCCTGACCAGGTTCACAGGGCAATACCAAGGAGCTCAGGCTGGGGGGATGAAGCAGATCTGCACAGCATTTTATTGTTGGTGATAGATGGTCATAGTATTTGATCATGTTCTATCGACTGTATATGACTGTATAATATTACCCACAGACGCCGTGTGTTGCCCAGACATTAACATTGAGAATGTCGTGCTGTCAAATATATGATAGGAGATTGCAGAAAACACTGCGTATACCCAGTGTTTTCCAGCTTAGGATTCAAAGTTTTCAGAGCCTAGGTTTTAGGGTTTAGGGTTTTACGGCCTGGCCGTAATATTATAATATATATTATAGATATATAATTATCCATTTATATAATGATTATATCTGTTATCTGTTTGGAATATGTTTCTCGGTATGCCACAGACATTCTCATTGGTTTAGCCTACTTTATTCCATTTTTAGCTCCATTTACTCCATTTGGCGAGGCCAAGTGCCAACGTGAGCAGCACCCAGGATTTCTGAGGCGTTTCACGGTTTCACCATATTCGTTTCACTGGAGTTCTGGCAGGCTGCTGAGGCGTCCACGTGTTGCGGATAGGTTTGTGGATGTTTTTGGCAGATTGACAAACTATGGTAAACCTTTTAGCATGGTTTTATAGACATTTGCTCGGTGAATGGCTGGATTTTACCAATTTGAAGTTTCTTTTGCTATCCCACAAAAGTTTTTGCGAAAATATCCAACATTTGCCATGGTTTCATCTTTGAACATGTTTTTGGCAGTACCACGGAACTCACAAAATTTGCATGACACCAGTACCTCTTGGTGTTTTGGAGGGACGCCAGGTGCTGGTGTTTCTCAAAAAGCGTTGAACAGGTCTGGGTTTTTAGTGGCTTTCATGCATGTGGCAGTGTCTTGAAATCGGGAGATGCTGATCACATTTGTTCAGCGTTTTTTCCTGGTACTCAAACTCCAACTGGGCCAACTGCTATCGTTTAAACAATACCTGGTCGATTTTAGTTTTTTTAATTTTATTTTATCTACCAAACTATATTGCAGTCATTTCCCTTGTCCTTGGTGCATGTTGCATCATGTTGCCATGGTTGTCATGGATTCACCAATTGGCGGCTGTGTCTCAAGCTGGAGGACTTAACTCCTCGGGCGATGTTGGCCTTTGTGAAGTGGATGGCTGCGAAGTGCTATGGGCACAAGATGGGAGGAAGCAAGATGTTGTTCAATTAATGTAATATGTTGAACGACCTATAAACAACAAATCAAAAAATGGAATGTACACTGTCTAATGCATCCAACGCATCATTCATGCATTGATGAGTACTTAACATTGTTAAAGCCTACATTGTCCACAAAATATGATCTCACATGGACTTCAGATGCCACAATTAGGAGCTCTCAAAACTAGACATTTCTTATCATTTCTTCAGTTTCTTCACATTTTTTTGGATGTTTGATGAGTTTGGTGCCAAAAATTTGGCGCCACTTTTCTGACAAACCAATCGCTCCAAGACATTGACGCCACGGCGCCACTCGGCTCCCATGGGCGACGACCTCGTCACAGCGACCTCTGTGGATCTGTTGAGCGGTGGAGCGACCCTTCCATGGAAGGCGGTCCGACGTGAAATGATGGCTACCATGGTAGAATCATGGTCATAACATGCCATAACTCTCCAAAAAAAGTTGGGATTTAGGATATTTATAGATATATTTAGGAAAAAGATTAAAAAACACATATACATGTTGTTTTCTCAATGTTCATATTTGTTTTTCAGGCATGGTCATAAGTTGAAATGACACCAACAGTTGGCAGTTGGGAATATAACCATAGATAAGCCCTGTCTTGTGGTGCAACAAAAGGGACTTACGATGTGGATCATGGAAGATGTGGCTCTTGGTCTTTTGCCAGGTCCATCCTGGCGTCGAGAGGATTTATGACAAAGCCCTCAGCTCAACATCGCACAATGCGGTCAAGCCTCACATGGCGTGGCTTGCAGAGTTGACACATGTTGGATTTGTGCTGCACACCTGAGTTGACAAGATGGATGACAGAGTCGAGGGACAGGAGAGCATTTCTTCGCCGAGGCTTTGAAGAGCTACGTTTATCAATTGCCAGCGAACGGCAGTCAGGCGTGTATGACAGAACCATACAGAACCGAATTGCCCACTTTGAGACTCATGGGCAATTCTTTGCCTTGTGAGATTCCCAGCGCCTGCAGAAGATCCAAGATCAATGTCAAAGTCATGGCCCAAAACCTGTCAAACTTCCGCCAAATTCTTCTGCAGCTCCTTCATTTGGACAAAAAGGGACACTTCTCTTTTTCAAAGCGATAGATGATAGATATCTCTGAAGCAACGCCGAGATATCGCAGGCAGTGATGCAATTGCCACACGATGGCAAAGACCTTGGGATCGTTCGAGTCTTAAAGCTATGGCAGCTATGGATATGGACAGCTCCTGCGCCAAACCACTCCCTGTTGGCTCGTGAATTCTATGGTTATTCTGTGGATATGGGTCGTAACTTGGTGGCCAACTGCAGTGAATCTTGATCCAGAGACGCATCTAATTTGCTGTGGAAGGAGAGTTGCTTTGAATGCTTAGCCGACTTCTCAGATTGAGGTTCAACCATTCTTGGTCTTCCAGCTTTTCCTTCCTCAGGTGGGCTTCCAGGGTTTGCCAACACAGCCACGTTCGAAATTTCACCAACAAATCACCCTTAAATTCATCCACGATCCAAAATCCACAGATTTCCAACATGGAAATCCACAGATTTGGTGCTAATTCCAACCGCCGACTTCCGCCAGAACTACCGAGCCTGTCTTCTGGAAGTAGCCATTACAGACACCACCTCGGCGTCCGCAACCTCGGGATCTGAAGACTGAGAAGGGGATGATAGGGATAGGCTGCAGAGCTTTAATCTGATGTCATTTGGCCAAGAAATTCAGTTCCAGAGTTTAACAGTGGTGTAGATGCATGTAGTATATGTACTGTATCTGTATATGTATATAAATATATTGTATATATATATATATACATAGTATATATATATATATATACACAGAAGTTTATACTATATATTATATATACACCTCATGATTCGTGGCTATTGGTACAGGGTTCCCCTTAGGCGGCGCTGGTTGCTCCTTGGCGCCTCCACGGAGGAGGTAGCAGGGTACCGGCAGCCAGCCATCGCCATCTTTTCGGTGCGAAAAATGGATTTCTTGGAACATCCCGGCGCAGTTGACTGGTCGCAGGCACATACCACGATGCGATTTGCGAGACTTCCCCTACTTGGCCTTCCCAGAGGGATGTGGTGGAAATCTCAGAGATGGGGTGGAGTCGGCTCGGCTACCAGAAACTCAGGGATTCTGAGGGGCTCCCAATTTCTTGGCATATTGGCTTATCTGAGGACATCCAAGGTTTCTGTTTGAGGCTTGCAATATTGACAGTCATCGGGTGATGAAGGTGCCGACAGTATGATGATGCTGCTGCTGATGATGACGATGATGAGAACGACAGTTGTTGAAATGCATTGTAACAAATTGTAACCACATGATATCAATGGCAGAGACTGAGCGTCGCATCGAGGTTCAACCTTTGTGTGGACCTGCAGTCATTAGTCGACGGAGCCTTCGGGCAGGAGGTCAAGTCAGTGGATGGCATTGTGATCCATCCGGAATGTAGGTGCCGCACCGGCGGAGGTGGTGCTTAATTAGACAAAACATTCAAAATTTGAATATGATTGAATAGCAATTCCACCAAGTAAGTAATCCAGAATTTTCCAAACACAAATCTTTTAAGATTGTGATTATTCCAGGTGCCATTTTGCCAGTGCATTTTCTTCAGCATTGTTGTTTGTTCCATGCACTCTGAGAGTCGCAACAAGGGCCAATGCCAAGACTGCCAAGACCCTGGCTGATCCCCAGAGAACATCTAGCAGCTATTTTGGTGATCATATTATATGATAGTGCCTATATAATCATATTATTATATGATAGTGACTAGTGGTAGTACCTATATAATCATATTAGTATATGATAATGATAGTACCTATATAATCATATTATATGATAGTGCCTATATAATCATATGATAGAACATATCTACCGCAGAGTTTGGTGTCAAGGTACCAATAGGATTTTGGGCGTCCCCAGGGGCTCCCCACAGGTCCCCCAGGGTGAATCACTGAGCTGCGAGGCTTCGGAAGATCTTCACACTTCGAAGTTTGCCCAACACAGCAGAGGCAGCTGTGAGTTCTCTTGGAATCATGGGGATTGGATCAAAAATCATCAAAGCCCATGAATTTCATCTTATTAACCATATTTAAGCCATATTTCAGGTGAATTTGACATAATTTAAGCATATTCAAATTATTTAAGCCATCCCCTGACCATGACTGTTGACCTCAACGTGGCACCATGCACTGCCGCAGGTCTTGGATGGCCATATGATCAAGGTGGATCTGTCAGGTACGACTTCTCGCCAGCTTCGGATGTCTGCTTCAATGACTGAAAAATTTGAAAGTCCCAATCTTACAGGACCCCCCCCCTAGATGTTTGGGTTTAACCACCATGGTTTTCTCTCAAAGATTCATCCATTGATGTTGCTGTAGGACTTCCTTCCGCCAAAGATCGTCTCGATCAGAGCGAGGAACGGAGAGTGGATCTCTCAGCATGGGAACTTTCCTAATTTGCAAATCTTCATGAACTTCTACGGTAGTGATATCCAAGTTGTGTTGCAAGTTATATCCAAGTTGGATAAATGGATATAAAAAATGGATCAATGTCGAGAAAATCAAGGAAAAAGAAGGTGGCATTCGGTTGAGGTTGTAGACATTCCCATTCGGTTTGTTAACATCATCCCTGAATTCACGATGGTCAGCTACTCTGGGCAGCTAGCTGCCCACGGTTTTGGGAACTCCAAATGATGTGCAGCAAGTACGGCCGCTGGAAGCAAATGTGCACGCAAGATATATATATATATATATATCCAGATAGATGCATGTTTATCATGTTTTGATCATGTCACTTACGGTGTCATTGCATGCATACCCGCTTTCACTCAGAGAACCTGCCATATATCCTCACCAGAGCCGATTTTTCAGAGTGCTGAGGTTAGCTTGCCGCATCTTCCAGACTATGCAGGACAAACCCGGTCAAGATTTTGACGGTGGTGAAAAGAAATGAATTTTAATCTGATTGACAAGTGTCAACCGACGTCACACGGCTTGGGTTTGTCAAGATTTGTGGTCCAAAATGGTCCAAATGGAACCATGGACTTCATTCATTTCAGGGGCCACTCATTTTGACCCAGGAGGGAATCTCTGGAGCCTTGGGTATATATTGGATTATTGGGTAATTATGGGTGGGATGTGGCCAACTTGGACCGAACTTCAGGAATTGATACAATGTTCGTTATGAATGCAGACCGGGTTCGGACCTCAGACTGACCAATCGATGCTGCAGTGGCCAGCTCCAGCACCATGAAGGTGCCCAACCTTGAGAAAGCGGAGGACGGAGCTGCGATGCTTCGCCATGCAACCTGGGGAGCTGTTGCATCATGGTCTCAAAATATACATATCTCATGTTATTTTGATTTTAATCTTCGAAGATCCTTTGAAGAGTCGGAAGATGAAGATGGATCCTGACATTGCCTCATTTCCTGACACCATCTGCGCCAGCAAAGAGGCAACAAAAAATATGGTAGACAGAACAGCATTTTGCGTTTCTCTTCACAAGCCGCAAGATATTGGGATTGCAGCTGATAGTGGCGATTCACCTTGTTTCTCCAGGCTCCAGCTGCCCCTCGCGCTCATCCTTTGCAACGGCGACCTGCATTGCAACCCTTGCAGCCTGCGGAGTCTCTATCACCACCTCGGTCACCAGTGCAGCTCAACTGGAATGAGAAATAAGATCAAACCATGTCAAGCCGCTGGGGGTCTACTTCCATACCCAACCTGCTCAACATGTTGTTTTTTCTTTTCGAGACTTGGGCAGCAGCGCCAAGTACACCAAATCCATTGTCCGTGTCGGGAAACGATGGGAAACGGAGATGAACCAAGGTTTTTCGGGGTTTTGGGTATCTGCAGATATTTGCAGGAATTCTCCAATTGCTTGGCCATGCCATGCCCAGGAAGAACGACACGCGCAATGAGGAGATGCCCAAGCGACATGATGATCTTCCTGGCATCGCCGAGCGAAAGTGGGAGCCTCGCTATCGTACAAGACAAAATGTGTTGGATTTTTCAGAGACGAGGACGTGTCATGGTTTATTTTTGTTTATTTATTTACACATTTTTCATCATTTTTCGTTTTTTCATTATCCAAAAAAATCCAATTGTTGCATCATGTTGCATCATTGTAGACACATCTTTCACAGCTGAAACTAAGCGCGAAGACCATCATGGGCACCATGGACTGAGGTCATCCAAGTTGACAAGCAGTACAAAGACATCAAAGACTCAGAAGGCCAGGCCTGGTGTGACCTGAGATGAGCCTTCAGGTGCGAGAGAAAGCGAACTCAAGAATTTACATACAGTACTATGCACTAAGGAATATAATGTGAAATACCATAGATGCCATCAATATCCATAGATCCAATACATCTTGAGACATTTGAAGTCAGCGCAGAACCACTGTTTGGCTAAGGTTCCTGCCATCACAGTGGCAGGATCTGCAGGTGCTTGGCGGGGAAAAGTGTTTCAAGGTTTGGAGCGACAAACAGATCTTCCAAGTCCAGTTTTTGCACCTGAAACTGAACCATCTTTTACCATTTTTTTTGGGAACCACAATTTTTTCGGAGACCGAAGAGCTGTGGAAGAGATGTTTGAGGAACCCCCTGAAGAGTTTTTTCGTGGCACAAGATACCCGCAGAAACGCGTTTTTCAAAATGATTCCGGGTGAAAGATGTGACAATTCTTCCGTTTCTTGGATGCTGGCCCTGGCCCACTAAGTACCAACATGTACCAGCAATATCCAACAATTGCACTGGGACCCAGTGATTCCTGTGCCAATTCGCTGGGCCAATGATTTCGGCTCCGGGAACTGCTCTGGAGGTGCCTGTTATGGCCACCGACCCCTTTCCAAGCAGAAGTTTGGAAGTGGATACAACCAGCTCCCAGACCGTACCGTGAAGGTGCCAAAGTTAGTGCAGAATTGGGGGTCCGCAGGACAGATTGGGGGTCATGACCTGCTGGAAAACTGTGGAAATCTTGGCTGAGTGGTGTGGTTTATGGTGGTTTCATGGGGTTTCCAAGGGTTGATATGTTGAGATTCCGGGAAGATGATGCAACTGATCCAACTGATGCACCCTTTGGGGTGCCATATGGTGCCATACTCCACCCGTTCGGTGGCAAGGTGAAAGAGCCCAAGGGCCTGCGCACTGTGATTGGCCTAGAGATGGGGATGGCTGGTGCAGTGGGCGCAAGTCAAGGTAGGTCATGTTGTGTAAAGCGTAAAGCCCTCGGAGTGTAGGTTTTTAGAGATTTTGAGAGCTATTGTGAAGACTTCGGGAATAGCATGGAATGTAATATGGAATGATAACTATGGAATGGCTAATAATTGCAGCAGGATGCAGCAAGTTGGAAGTTGGAATGGTGTCGTTTTTCAACCATCCTATTTCTCTGGAATGGGTTCCAGGTTCCCATTGTTTCTAAATCGGCACGAGCACGGGATGTAGCCCAAAAAATGTCCAAAAAATGTCCGAACATAGTATGGCAAGAGTGTTTTGCTCCCCTGAAATTTGACAGACAGCCAGAACCCAACAATATGAGGTCATCAAAGATGATTTCTGGAAATGTGCAATTTAGGTTTTAACAACTGTCAGACCCAGGTTGTATCCTTTTGCTTTCCCATTCGTATTGTTACGAGTCTTGTCGGATTGGTTTTTACCGTTTGGCACACCAACACATTGCAATTGAAAGTTCATGAGAATCCCAACAGACATATTCAGGGTAAAGCATCCACAGAACGGGGCATTCTTTGCACTATGTTTCATGACCTTCATGGGTAGCCCATGATTTCAATGTGAGGCGCGAGGCAACAAGGAGCGCTTGCCCCAGACCAGGTGCTTCCAAGCTCCGGGCGAGAGTTGAGCATTTTGGATATGGGCAATAGATGGCAATAGTTTATAAAACCCTGGGATCTGCAGATGAACTGGTCACTGGTCATTCTCAGTACAGAACCATTCCATTTCAGGGCACTTAGCTTTTACCATTTTCTGGGGAATTCCTCCCATGGTGGGCCCCGTTGCGGGGCCACGGGTGTCCGTGTCATCCAGGAAGTTGCGTCCCTTGCCACTGGAGATGAAGGAAGACGGAACTTGCCAAGGCATCCAAGGCCCAGGGGATCCCAGGGGATGGTCATGGATGGTCAGATGATCTGATCAGACTATGCTGAGCGTATCTGACATTTTTTTTTCATCACCATGAACTTCCCCATCTTTCACAACAGGAGGCTGTGACCAAACATGTCCAGACAGCACTCTAAAACTGTTGCGGCCGTAGGCCAATTTGTTTTGCAAGCCAAAATCTATCAGCAGTGTAAGAGGGGAAGATCTAAATTTCCGTACATATTTAATGGTTTAACATGTTTAACTAGGGCAACACATTGGATGTGTCCAGCGGTTCCACATTATCCAAGGTGCATCACAGCCCTCCAGTTCCGGTAGTGAGACCTTGGGGTCCAGCAGGCGGGGCAGCCACAGAGTGTCGAGCCGTGTTTCTCGCTGTGTCGAGCAAAAATTAGGCGGGAAAGGAAGACATCAAAAGGAAGAGCCACTGAAGAGGCGATCCGAACTGCGGCTGCCTTTGAAGGGATTTCGCATAGGACCTATGAAGGGAATACACTGAATACACCAAACCCCACAAAGAGGCGGGTCTCAATATTTAGCTCAAAGCTAGAGATTAAACCAATTGCCCTTTTTTTTCAAAGACCTGGAATATTTCTCTCCATGTGAACCAAGAGCACCATTCGCAGCATGGATCCCAGGAGCATGGCGACTCAGTGACCCCCTCGCCGACAGCAGCCAAGCGGCGAGCACAGAGGACGCAACAAGGGGATGCTAATCAACACGAAATGGGGAGAAACAACAGAAACAGAGACTTAGATGTGACCCAACAAGAGATTGGAACAATTGAAGGTTATTCGGACTAGCCAATCAACATGGACATGTCGAGCAACACGATTTGGAACAGTCTGAAACTATTGCAAAGTGTTCCCCACGGATACTTCAACATGACATATACCGTACCTGAAGAAAATGAAGCGACGGTGATTGGAGACAATCCCTGTAGATGGGAAATTTCACCACCGCTGTCCGTTGTGGGCGGTGGATTTTCAATCATGTTTAGGGCTTTACACTTGGGGTAGCCCAAGTGTGGTCTGACCTATGAAGCCAATGACATCCAATGACGAAATATGACAGAAACAATGGTGCTTTGATCAGCAACCAATTTTCAGGTGACATATGGCGCCATGTGTCGATTCAGGATCTCCAGAATCTCCCTGCGCCAGGAAGCTGCACAAGACAGCAGAGATCTATGGCGCACCTGACGCTGTGGGGCACACCTTAAGGCGCGGCCATACCAGTCATGTCCAAACGAGGACGTGGGTAAACTATACAAAAACTATCAACAACTTAGGTTTTTCACTACTGGGAATCACTTTGGGTACCCCATGAGCTACACCTGGGTGCCATGTCAACTGCTTTCAAGGATCCAGCCACACTTTTTTTCCCGCCTCACACGCAACGATGTTGTCACCGTCAGGTTGCCACATGCATTGCCTCGTTTCGAGCGAGCGGAGGCGCGATGGTTTGTTTGGGTATGGCTCAAAATGGGACACTGCCATTGAGGTGGAGAAAGCTAGAGGATTCAATGCTCCTTCATCAGACGATGCGATCAATCCTTGGGGTCAGTCTTCAACCTTCCACAGCAGTGTGTACAGTAGCTCATTGCACTAGCTTGCAATGGACCTATCTCACTGGTTCCCAATGCATCCCAATGCTAATTTCTTTGGCAAATGCTTAGGTGAATGCTGGACGTTCCGACACGCAAGTGCCACTGCCACCAGCTAAGAGCCGTGATGCCTTGAAATTGTCAATCTTTCCGCTTTGGACCCATTGGAATCATTGGAGCTATGGATTAAGGCCGACCCCCAGTTCTCTGGATCCGTTGGTAAAGACCGCTGCATTGGCACGAGCCTCAAAGGTGGGAAATCAGCCTGTCTTTGAAATCCTTGAACTTGATCAATTTATATCAATTTGATCAACCAAGGCCGACATTCAGCTCAAGCCGCTTAATGTTATCTCAAAGGCCAGTGACAGATCTCTTCATGAAACCCTCTGATGAAAGGCTTTGCTCTTCTGACATTCCATGAGTCTCCCAAGCATCGCTTCTGAGCTGTGTGCTGTCATGGCAGGTGAATGCTGTACGTTGCGACACACAGGCTTCACCGTCCCTTGGATCTTGGAATTGCGCTGCCTTGGGAATTTTGGGACCTCCAAAGATCCTGAAAGCACACGACTGAGGCCGAAGAAAGAGAATTCCCTGGATCCTTTGGTTAAGACTGCTGCATTGGCCAGAGTCTCAGTTCAATGCACTTCGCACGGCAAATGCAGTAATTAGCCCAGATTTCCTGGTGCTAGATTGAGTGACACTATAGTAACATATATATATATATATACATTTTTTTAAATGGTGATTGTTATGGTCCACTTGCAACGATTTCTTGTACTGATATTTTTTTAAAAAATGTTTATCAGTTTATCCTCTTCAACCAAGGCTGATATTCAGCTCAAGCCTCTTAATGATATCTCAAAGGCAAGCTGGGAGTGATTGCGACATATTGCGACACTCTTCAAATCGAGCAAGCACGTTCTGGTGCCGCGCAGGTGAATGCTTGTCGTTCAGACAACCAGGCTTCACTGTGACAGGCTGAGATCCCTCGACTTTGCTGTGCCTGTTCGGTAAATATCCGGAGACTCCGAGAGACATTTATTTTGATATGATTGAAAAAAAACAGGGAATGCCCTTCTCCAGCCTATTCTATAGGAATGATTATGTGTTCCGGGTAGATAGAAGGGGAAACTATTTATTGAACAAGAAAATTGCATTTAGCCAACAAAACAGCATTTAAAAGGCCGAACAACTTTTTCACGTCTCTACTTTTAGCTTAACTGGAGACTGCAGCAGATGTTCTAAAGACAGTTCCGATTTGGATACATTGTTTCATGTTGGTTTGTCCAAAAATACCGGCAAAAATGTGTAGATTATTGTAGTTTTCTCATTAGATGGCCGATGGCCGTCATTTTGGTAGTATAGCCTATTTCTATCTATTTCTGGATTACCCCGAAATCTGGATAATATGGGGGATGTCAGGAACCTCTGCGACGTAAGGCCAAATGCTTCAAATTCCTTCGATCCTTTGGTCAAGCCTACCTTGGCCGGGTGGCCTCGAGACACAATCGACATCAGTCGATGCAGATTTTCAACCTGGGCCCAGGTTGAGAATCGATCCAGTATCAACATATATATATATATATTATATCAACATCAACAAAAACATCAGATTCGGATGGAAAAATCATGAGGATCATCCAGTATCGTCAGTATCCATTTTGCCCATCATTTTGGATGATCTGTAATTCTCTGAGGCCGACGTCCCGCCTAAGCCAACCTTTGATTGGTCAAAGGCTTCTGCCAAGCCTGGTCGGGAAGTAGCTTGATCTCATCCTTCAAAGAATGGGGTCATTATATGAACTGCAATATATTGAAATGATACGATCTATGATATATCCATACATATATATATACATTATACATATACATAGATATATTATCCATTGTATATATATATATATAACATAATATATATATATTATATTGAATACACGGTATATATTGTTGATGATCCCCTAAGTTTTTTACTGGTCACTCGAAGCTCCCCGTTACTTCACTGGCCATCAGGCATTAGCTTGTTGTTGCCACTGAACCCAGCCTTAGTGTTTGAGCCTGTTTCAGAGACTCCCTAAAGAGAAAGATGACAAGGTTCCACTTTTCCATACTTTTCCCAGTTGTTTGTTTGGGCATCATTGGTGATTAACAGGTGATTAACAGGCTATCTTTCCGGATGATTCATCCCCGGTGATCCCATATTGGGGCCACAAACTCGACGATTCCCATATGGGATTCCCTTCAGAATATGTCCATACGATTCCCAACAGAATCCCAAGAATACAATCGACCAGAATATACTATTCCCTTCAGACTAATTTTTTAATATATGATCTCAGTTAGTATTCCCATCACTTTCCCATAACCTTCGCGATATCATTGACCATGTAGGCCGCTGCCGGCGCTACTGCTGTTGACGCTTGGAGCGCCCTCAGCCGGAGTGCACAGTTTTTTGGGGAGGGGATGGCTGTGGAAATACATTTTTTGTTGGACTTGGGGCAACATCCCGAGATTTTTTTGGGGTGTTTGGGATGGAACATCTTTGTGGGTATATGCACACACACACATATATATATATTATATATTATATATATATATGTACACACAATCTTCAACTGGACAGGATCTGACATTGGTAAAATGGTTTGACTTTTTCCTCAAAACATTGGATGGTTGAGGTTGAATACACAAAATAGTCTTAAGTTTGTGGGCCACCTGGTACGCCCATTTCTAGCTATAACCATACAACCTATCAAGAACATGGTTGTCACACCATGTCCCACGATATGGGATGGACATCCCAATCATTGCGATGTCCATCCAAGATGATCCCAGATGTGTTATGTCTTCATGTGATTGGTGACACGAACTGTGAAAAACATCCTGTCAATTTTCTTCGCAGTGTGAAAACCAGGGTTAGACTCAGCTTCTGAGCTGAGTCTTTCTATTTTCTGGATTTTGCAGGATCTCTTGCATGAGTTTGGTAATTGTCATTGTATAGTTTGATTGGTTTGACTTTGATACGCAATATGCAGTCGTGCATCCATGATTTATCCATACTTCCATAGCGCTGCTGGTGAAATGAATTGCAGTTTCCGAGGTGCTTCAGTTCGCCATGGTGACGGCCCCTCATTTGCTTCCCTCTTTCGTGCAGGCCAAGTCGCAACTATCAGAAGGTCTATTCAAAGGTTTATGACTTATATATACTTATATAAATTGTGATTTGAACATTTTTGAACGGAGGATTTGACCTTTCTACACATTTTTGGTGTGTGGATCCGCTTAACATGCTTTTACACATGCTTTTACACATGCTTTTACACATGCTTTTACACATGCTTTTACACATGTTTTCCCTGCGGTGATGCCAGTGGTGATGGTGGTGATCTGGCAATTGCGAATGTAAATGCTTAAGCCGAGAATGGTCTCCACAGGACTTTCTGGATGTTCTAGATGATCTTTATCTAAAATTTCATACAGGAACAATTTTGAGGATTCAGAATCATCAGCAACATAAATATCATCAATGTAACGAATCATTTTATGATCATCCGGAAATATCCAGACATATCCAGACATTATGATCCAGGAACCAATTATTTGTTTACAACAGAACATATCATACAAACATATCATACAAACATATCATACAAACATCTCATACACACATATACAATCATATGATAGACACTTGTAGACACTGTGTTTAAAGTTTATCATGTTTAAGACCCAGGAAGAAATTAAACCCCTGGCAGGTCGGCAGCTTCCTGGTGGCCGGGCTTGCCCAGTTTGTTTTGGTGGTTTCTAGTGACCCATACCCTTACGTGTGATACGGTTCAATGGACACCTTGAATTTGGGGCCTCAAACCACTGGCAACAACATGGTCGATCGATACACGTATGCTTTTTGGCTTTTATACAGCCGTCACTTGGCACATGGTCGATCGATACATCTGACAAAGAAGGAAGTTTCAGGCAAATGGTCAAGAGTACACAGTCTTTTGCCTTAGGAATTGTAAGGACCATGGATTCTATCATCTTGGGGTCTCCTGCGAACTGACCTACAAGAAGATACAAGTGTCCCAAATCCCACGTACCACGCATGGTTGGCATTTTATTTTCTGACTCAACCACATCACAACACAACGAGTCACGACATCTTTGGAGCTTCAGGGTCCATGCCTTGCAACGTGCCATGGATCCCGCCTCATCTGGCGCAGCGCCAAAGCGCAGTTCTAAGCGAAAGTTGAAGGTTAAGGGACAAAAGTTGCAGGAGCTGGGTGTCGTTTGTTGGGAATGCCTAGAGTATCCAGCATGCCATGAAACATCCAGTTTAGGCATCTTGTGAACTTGCACGAATTTACAAATGGGTATGGCTCAACATTTTTAAGCTAATGACATCCAATGACTCATTTTCTTCCATTGAAACCAATGACCCAAGGCATTGTGTGAATTTGAATCGAAATGGCCACCTTCGTAGATGATCAACTCATGAACCATCAATTTTTTTTGGGGCCAATTGCAGGTCGTTCTGCCTCGCTCCGAGGACGGGGTGCCTCCAGCGGAGCCCCCTTACCCAAAGAAGCGGAAGGCGACAAAGTCGACGAAGGCGACGAAGTCAGACGCGAAGTCTGTGGAGGTCTCCGCCAAGGCCGGGATGACCATCCTTTTTTGGAAACCTCTGGAGACGATTCTTTGGTAACTTTGGATAACTTTGGTACTATATATGGAATGTTCAAGAAGATTCTTTTCAGATTAACATCTATAAACATCCAAGCCCGGATGATGTTTGATATGTATTGATATGTTAGATATGTATACTTGGAATAGTCTCGATTATAATTCAACTCGGCTAGAGAATCTTGCACTATGCCAAGGCCTATAGGGCCAAGCATGCCATCGTGGTGCAGAAGAGCTGCCTGGCTCCCCTGGCCACATTCCAGCAAGCGAGAAGCAGCCTGGGTGATGATTTGGTGAAAGCCATGGAAGAACAAGGATATACAGCTCCAACTCCCATCCAGGCGCTTGTTGATAACGAGTGACAGTGGCATTTGGTGCAGGGGGAACTCTTTCTTTTGCCAACAGACCCATGATGGATCACCAAGGCGCAAGCATGGCCCATAGCACTGCGTGGCCATGATTTGGTGGCCGTGGCCAAGACTGGCAGTGGAAAGACGAATGGTGTCTGGGCCGTCTGCTTTCTTCAAGCCAAACAATGTTTTGCATCTTGGGTCACCAGTTTTGAGACGGGTCAAAAAACCCATTAAAGGCCCAGAGACCGCATAAATATCCACCTTCAAATTTCAGCTACGAAATGGGGAGGACTTGGGCTACAGTACAGATTGCCAGCCAGCATTTTTTTGTACAAACAGGAGGGGTTGTGCCCCCCATTTTGTATTTGGAATCATTTTGTAGTTGATTCCTTTCAAATCATGCATTTTCATTTTGTAGTTGTATATGTTGAGTTAGTTGAAGCATCCAACATAAAATTTCATTAGCATTTTGTAGTTGTACAAGTTGAATAGTTGAAGCATCCAACATAAAATCTCATTTGCATGTTGTAGCTGTCCAGGTTGAATAGTTGAAGCATCCAACATAAAATCTCATTTGCATTCATGCTAAACATTCATTTGCATTTTGTAGTTGTATGTATGCTGAGGTGCAGGGATAACACAGATAAGGAATGCTAAGCATCCAACTAAATTCAATCATTGACAACTACAAAATGTTCTCCGAATTTATGTTGGTCGGAACTTTGGATGGCAAAGACCCAACTACAAAATGTCATTGGGAAAAATCATGTTAGAAATTCCGACGTTCAGCTATTTTTTTGACTTCAGATGCATTGGATTTTGTAGTACTGGTTTTGAATTATTTTCCGAGCCAGAAAGAGTTATGTTCTTCATTTTGTAGCTGAAAAAAAAGTACATGCACTTGCATTTTGTAGCTGTGCACCCTATGCATTCCGCTCTGTATCTACCAAAACCATCTGCACAACTCCTCCCCCCTTATCTGAACCCCGATGCATAAATATCCATCCAATTTTGCCACAGTATTGCCCCAGAATTGATCATCCAATTTTGGGGACACCCAACTCGACGAGCTGAAATGGAAACGGTACAGTACTGCGCCAGTACTGGTTTTCGGCTGACCAGTGTCAACTAAGCCACGACCAAACGCTTGGGCTGTCGTCAGAGGCTATTTGCTTCCTGCTATGGCTCTCATTGCCAAGAGGGGCCCCTGCAAGAGCCATGGGAAACACAAAACTGGACTTGATGCTGGGTGCAACAGTGCAGGCTTCGTCAAACACTTGGGTATACGGTATACCCATACCCTAATTTGTGGCATTGGGTTTAGGGGTCCCCTATTTTGAGACAAACTATTTTGAAGGTTTGTTTGTGACAATAGGAAAAGAACTTCCTTTCCTTGCTATCAACCATTTTGAGACACTTTAAACTAGGTATTGTGCAATGATGATTTGCAATGTTTTTTCTGAAATAGATTGCCGATCGCACATGTGTTCAATTCCAGAGGACATCCAAAGTGTTTGAAACAAATGGATAAAACCAGAGGCTACCTGGCGGCTACCTGTCCATTTTCCAGCATCATGTCACCGGTGGTGGTGAGGATGAACGACCCCCCGCACAGCCCAGCAGCTTGGTTATGGCGCCCACCCGCGAGCTGGTTCAGCAGATTGCCGTCGAAGCCAAGAAATTGGCGCCCGTGGTCTCTGCGCGAGTGCTGGGCATCTTTGGAGGTGTGGGAAAAGGTGCCCGGGTGGTTTGGGCCGATGTTTGGTACATGTTAAAGGGGGTCAGGATGGGATTTGAGGATTGCGAAGATCAGTTGCAATTGTTTGGAAGATGACAATTTTTCCCGAATGCGTAGCAAGGGTTCCCGTTTCACTCTGGGGGTCTGGGGGTTGAGGGTGTGTTCGCTCCACGTTGCGTTCACGGTCGCAACCGTCCGCAACCGTCCGCAACCGTTCGCAACCGTCCGCGCGAGGACCATATGGCCGTGCCTATGGGAAGTTCTGCAGAGGTGGTCATTTTTGGAGGTTTCAGACGTGGCGTTGCTTCGTTTCGCGTGGCAGGCGTGGCACTTCGTGACATTCAGACGTGTTCTGGAACGTGTCGAAAGTCGTTTTGCGTGGCAGGCGCAATACTTTTGTGACGTTGTCCGAAGATGTGTTGCAGTTTTCGTGGCAGGCGCCGCACTTTGGACGTGTCCATCGTCATTTTTCGTGGCAGGCGCAGCACTTTAGACGTGTCCTGTTGCGTGTTTTTGTGCAGATCGCATTGGCAGGGCTGCATCAAGTGGTGACAAGGTGCAAATTCCGTGGCAGGCGTGGCATTTTGTGTGATGTGCTGAAAATTGACGGAAGCCTCGCACGAAACATCGATTTTGAGGTTGCAAATTTTCAGGTTCTAAGGAAAACTCGTAGGAAAACGTCTATTTTGCAGCTACAAAGTGTGAAAATTGGAGGAAGTCTCGCACGAAATACTCGTTTTGGTGCTCCCACCTGTCTCGTCTCGCGTCTCTGGTTTTCCCGTGGCCTCGCCGTGTCTATGGGGGAAGCTGCAAAACTTGTCCTTTTGTCATGTTGCCAACTGTGAAAATCGCCGGAAGTCTCGTACGAAATGATCGTTTTGGTGCTCCCATGCACGTGTCTCGTCTCGAGTCTCCGGTTTCCTGGTGGCGTCGCCGTGTCTATGGGGGAAGCCGCAAAACCTCTCCTTTTTGAAGGTTTCCAAGGAAGTTGTCATGTCGTTTTGCGTGGCAGGCGTGGCACTTTGTGACATTCCAACCTGTTTGCTAGCGTGCCGAAAGTGTCTCTGGTTACACTCCACACTCCACACTTTACACACTCTACACTCCCCACTCCACATGTTACACTCCTCACACCACACTTTACACTCCACTCTCAACACTCTACTCTCCACACTCCACGCTCTACACTTTACACTCTACACTTTACACTCCACACTTTACACTTTACACTCCTCACTCCTTTACACTCCACACAAACCACACTCCTCACTCCACACTCTACACTTTACACTCCACACTCCACACTTTACACTCCACACGCCGTACTTTACACTCCGCACTCCACACTCCACACTCTACACTTTCCACACTGGACACTCCACTCTTTACACTCCACACTCCTTACTTTACGCTCCACACTCCACACTCCACACTCCACACTTTCCACTTTCCACTTCACACTCCACACTCTACACTTTATACTCCACCCTCCACACTCTACACTTTACACTCTACACTCCGCACTCCACACTCTACACTTTCCACTCCACACTCCACACCCCACACTCTACACTTCACACTCCACACTCCACACTTTACACTTTACCTTTTTCACTCCTCTACACTCTGCACACACCACGCTCCTCACTCCACACTCCACACTCATCACTCCACACTTTACACTCCACACTCCTTACTCTACACTCCTCACTCCACACTCCACGCTCTACACTTTCCACTTCACACTCCACACTCTACACTTTACACTCCACACTCCACACTCTACACTTTACACTCTACACTTTACAGTCTACACTCCACACTCTACACAATACACTTTACACACTGGACACTCCACACTTTACACTCCACACTCCTTACTTTACGCTCCACACTCCACACTCTACACTTTCCACTCCACACTCCACACTCTACACTTTACACTCCACACTCCGCACTCTACACTTTACACTTTAGATTTTTCACTCCACACTCCACACTTTACATTTTACACTCCTCACTCCACACTTTGCACTCCACACTCCACAGTCCACACTTTACACTCTACACTCCACACTCCACACTTTACACTCCACACTTTACACTCCACACTCCACACTCTACACTTTACACTCTACACTTTACACTCTACACTCCCCACTCCACACTTTACACTCCACATTTTACAATCCACACTCCTTTCTTTACACTCCACACTCCACATCCTACACTTTCCACTCCACACTCCACACTCTACACTTTCCACTCCACACTGCAGACTGGTAACAGGGAAAATATGTACAAGACCGTTCAAATAAACTATTGCAGAAAAGTGTTCTGCGTGACTGCATATCCATGTTTCGACATCTGTACCATTAACATACGTGTGAGCATTCGGGTTCGTGGGCTGCATCTTGTTTTTGAAGGAATTGACACGAAAGGAGTCCAGTTGGCGCCTCGAATCCTAGAAAAAAAACATCTTCAGCGCCTTCAGATTGCTGTCGCTGGGTAGTTCAGGGCTTCACCCCGAGCCTCACAGGACCGCAGGTGTCAGCTTTGAAGGCCGGAGTGGATTTGCTGTGTGCTACCCCCGGGCGCCTTCGTGATTTTATGACTGGAGACAAGACGAAGGCGCCCTGGGACCCTCAAACCCTGGGACCCTGGGACGGCCATGTCAGTGCTCCAGAATTTGACGGGCTATAGTGCGGCTATAGCGGCTATTGAATAACTGTTACATATCGACAGGAGTTGATATATCTGATACTACCAACCCCTCTGGGGATATTCAGTGCCGACAATGCTGATCATCCTGAGGCACCTGTGTGCCTTGTCGACTCCGTGAGCTACTTGGTCATGGATGAGGCCGATCGCATGTTGGACATGGGCTTTGAACCCGAGATTCGCCAAATCATCGCCAACTGCCCAGCATCAGGTGCTGCTCAGGAGGTCTTGTCTGGTGAGGCACGACAGACCCTGTTCTTCACGGCCACATGGCCACCAGAAGTGCAGCGAAGTGCGCTACACTTCACACATCAGGCAGTGAAGATTCAGGTAGGAGGAGCTTCCAAAGAGACCTCTGCTGGGCTGGCCACTAACAGCAACATCAAGCAGATGGTGCGAGTGGTGAAGCACGACGACAAGATCATTGCTTTGAAGAAAGTCATTGTTTCTGACCTGAAACCTGGAGAAACGGCCATCGTCTTCGCAGGTGGGCTGTAGATCAGCGGGGTATTCCATATAGAAATATTATGAACTAGTCTTACTTTCCTTGGGCACTACTGTCATTGGCTACATTCCCAAACAAGGTCACTTCGGAAGATTCCAAGGGGCTGTTGCTCAGAAGGTTTGGAAGCTCAACATCATCAAAGCCAAAAGGTTTCCATCAGTCATCACGTTTCCATTCCATCAATTCTTTGAGCTTTGTGGCCAAGCCAGGTATTTCTCCCATTTAGTGGTGGCTTTAATCATCACTTCTTGATACAAAACTGGGTTGTTCAGTCATGGTTCAGCTGGAACCAAGCGGTTAACCCCTTCCAATTCTCTGCGAAAAACCGGAGGCCGAAAGCAGACGTGTGACGCCTTGGAGAAGGAGCTCACCTGGGATCCCATGAAGGCTGAAGCACCCATTTGCGCCTGGTGTCGAGCCCTGCATGGCGACAAGGACCAGCTGCTGCTCAATTGGATGATACGATGGGAAGTCATCTAGAACGACCTAGGCAGGCTGGTGGAGGAGGTTTTTCATTCCGACATTTGCCAACAGTGAATCCATATCCATTTTTAAATACGTTGCAACAAGACGATGAAAAGACGGGACGGATCCTTGAAGACAAGGGACCTGTTTTGATTTTGAACTCTCTCGTAGATTCTTGAAATAGTGTCCGTCATTCCATTTCAAGCTCAAAATCTGCTTAGTATCAGCTCATTTGTTCGTTGCCATGGCCTTTCGACACGTTTCCCTGTTGCTTGCACTTCTTGCCGCATGCTGCTGGTTGCCCGCCTTCATTGGCTCATCGAAACTTGGAGCCCCGCGTCCACAGTTGCGGAGTCAAGCAGCCAGTGGTAGCAGTGGTAGCAGTGGTAGCAGTGGTAGCACGGAAGCAGGGACATTGAAGAACCCGGACTTCTTCTGGGGAAATGGCTTTGAAGAGGAAGATTTGGAGGAAGCAGCTCGAAAGCTCTCAGAGAACACTGGTTCAGAGCTTTGGGATCGAGCCACCTTTCCTCCGGAAGATAGGCACAGGATGGTTCTCATATGTCAAGATGTTCAGGAACTGATGGAGGTCATGTATGTTTTGATCATCACTTACTTGTTGGTGGTTTATGGTGGTTTCAAACATTTTTTTCTCCATGTTGTGCACAATATATGGGATAATCCTTCCAATTGACTTTCATATTTTTCAGAGGGGTGGCTCAACCACCAACCAGCTTAGTTATTTGATCAGCTGTTTGATGTTGGCCTTTGTCATCCTTTGTCCTGCCCGGTAGGCCGTCCTACATGAGCAAAGATGCCGAATGGACTCCACTTCCCAAGGAGCGGCGATGGATGGGACTCAAGGAGTTCATGGAAGCTTCGGCTTTGGCCAACTCCAATGTCTCAACTGCCTTGTTTTTGGTGCTCTCCCAGGGATCTGGCTATTTAGAAAAGGCCAAAGTCGATGCTGCTTTGGAATCTTGGAGATCGGATTCCGGCGGCCTGAATCAGGCTGGATGGAGTGTATCCATGTTTTGGGCCAAGGCGCAGATTGCATTTGGCTATGCCTGGCTGTATGGCATGTCCAGTTTCTGCGGATATTTCTTCTTCTTTCGTCCTCCGCTGGTGATCTATTTGGGAATCGACCTGCTGCCAGGTATTCCGCCATGGTGGACCGTCTAATAGAGGGCAACGGGAAGCCGAACACTTTTTAAGGCGCCAATGCCAAAAGCAGCAGAAGCGCCCAAAGCACGAACTATTTAAACCGATAGCATCCGTAGCAGTGGAAATCCCACTGGGTGCTGGTAGCACTACCTGCATCGCGGACCTCGTGCCACAGAGCCATGGTCTTTGCGTGAAAAAGAGGAGACCCCCTTGAGGAGAACAGCACCTTCGCTTCCTTTGGAGTTTTCAGTCGCTGGATGCTTGTACTTGTACTAAGCGTATTTGGATGTATTTGGACGGATGTGCAAATGGCTGTGCTCGTGTGATACTGTGCCAATGCAGGAGCAGCAGGATCGTCAGAAAGCCCTAGCAGCTTTTCGTTTGTGGCTCAGCTCTTGTGTTCTGGCAATGTAACAAAGCCGTCCCTGTGCTTGATAGGTAAATCTTCAAATGATGTATGTTCCAACCCCAAAGCGTAGGCCACACTGCCCGTGATGTCACGTGATAGTTAACCAAGGTGCGATCACCGAAAACCCAAGAAAAGGACAGAAAGGCACAAGATGAGAGAGAAGTTAGCGACATGACGCAACACGCATGTGGAGCTTGGGAGTTTAGGTATCTCTTGAAGTCTTCGGGTAGAGTCTTTTGTTTCGGGCAAGTCATTGACGGGTGATGCGGATGGTGTGCAAAGATTCCGCCAGAATTTCTTCGATGGAATGCTGCAGGTGTGTTGATTGCCACGGATGTTGCCTCCCGTGGACTTGATATTCCTGGAGTTGCGCTGGTGGTCCATTTGGCATGTACTGGGTCCAACTGTTGGGAGTCTGATCAGTTGTTTAATGATGTTTATATAACCATAATTAACAACCATAATTATATACCATGGTGCAATACAATAGTTAATTAGATTTAATTAGTAACCATTATAGTTGAACTATATATAATTACTGGCAAGTGAAAGTTTTTAACGAAATGCACCTGACCTGGGTCAAAGTGAGCTAAGAGTTATAGCCATTGATAGCCTCTCTCAGTCCAGTTTTCTTGTGACATGTGAAGGTTATCTTTGACTATGCGGAATCTTCGACGGCCAAGGACTGTATCAAGCAGTTGTGGCCGCCAACATTTCACAGATTTTCCCAGCTGGCAGTTTAATAACAATGATTATGATTACATTTTACAATATATTGTTTTATATATATATGTTTAAACTAATAACCCAAGTGTACATGGGATAAGGGGATAACATGATAAAACCCAGTTAAATATGATAAACATTGATTAACCACCTATATAAGATGGGTGTTTCCAGAAATAGAGGTACCCCAAACCATTGATCTCCCTACTGTAAATCCGATCATATCCTATGAACATGATAACTGTTATATAATAATGACTATCCTATCAAAATATCTATTATCCATCCTATAATTTTAAAATTCTTATCCTATTAATCAGTTAACATGTATCCTACTATATTGTTATCCTATTATATTAATCTTATAATCATTTATAATCTGTATACTGCTAAATCAGTTAACATGGTTTAACCTGACCTATAGCTGACTTGACGGCCAGGAAGCGGCCGAGAGCTACGTGCACCGCATCGGGCGGACAGGCCGTGCTGGCAAGGTGCCGAGGGCCCAAAAAAGGGGATGTGTTGATTGGGTCATGGTGGAATTTCATGGATTTTAGATGAATTTCATAAAGTGGGTTTGGATGGTTTTGGAAATTTTTGGAATATGTCTTAGAGTCTAGGGGTGTCTATATAGAATCACTCGAATTTCCGCGGATGATTTATGATGATGATATGATCCATTATGATGACTTCAGATTTGATGAATCATAATGATCACAATGACCCATTTTGATCCATTATGATCATCCAGATGCACCAAGGATTTTATGATTCCCTTCAGGAGGGGCGAGCTATCACCTTCTTCTGCCCAGAGAAGGAGCGGTTCTTCGCTTTGAAGACCGGTGTGGATGTGGAGATGACCATGTCATAGACAAGAGATGACAGAAATACATCTTGGCGACAGGGATTTAGCATCACAATATATTATATTCCCCCAATTGTATAAATGATGATGTGATTTAGCCAACAACAAAGGTGATACATGGTGATATGACGGGTTATTTATTTAATTCTGGCACATTTCTGTGATGTATTTATTTCTTTTCTGTCATAATCTACAGAAATCTAGCATGATTTTGCCCTATATGTCGAAGATACAATCCGATACTTGCAGAGGGGTGTCACTGGTTTCAACTCTCCTGTTGATTCGTTTCTCCCCAAGACAACTATTTTCTCAGCTCAGCCTTCAGGACGTGGGTGCGGAACGCCTGTGCCAACTTCTACGAGCTGCCGGTCAGGATGAGATACCATCGAAACGAGCTATGCGTTGCAGCAAATTGGTTCTCAGTATAGATTCCAGATGCTGAAAGTGCGGGACTCCGTTCAAAGTCCTTTTCTGCAACAGTTGGTGCAACAGTTTTCAGGATTTTTCAGCCACACAACCCTCCATCAAAATCCGTCTCCCAAGAAACCCGTGTCAACGTCACCCTTTGAATTGAGGAGGTGCCTCAGAAATTGGAGGAACTCGTGTCGGAAGCGTCTCGTGTGCAGGCCTCAGGAGAGATCAAGAGGAGTTGAAGAAAACAGCGATGGAGTTTTCGCTGAAATTTCTATGTTTTTTTCCCCCAGTTTTAAAAACTCAACCAAAACATGTGCCACATTCATTCGGGTTTCAAACAAGATCCATGTTCTATCCTTTCCTTGGTCCCAGCAGGATTATCAATTTTTGGATATTTTGGTACTTGAGATCCAAGATGCATTTTCTGGTTTTCGCATGTTGTGTGCTAGATGCATAAAATTTATGTCAGAAGCCTTGAGGTTGAGGATGCCAGAAGATCCAAAGAGATCAAAGGCAAAGGCAAAGGGAAAGAAGCAAAAGGCAGCCGGGCTTCGGGTTTGTTGGATCCTGGAGCTTGGAAGATTTTGGAAGGTGACTGACTTAAACTGCTCATGCTGATCTTGAAGGCATCTGAACCTGTTCTGGGGTCTGTTGGGTAAAATGACGTACCCTTTGGTGGTAAACAAATATGGCAATTGAAAATCTCCCATAGACAATAGTCCCATTTAAATGCACATTTATGGGGAATTTCCCATTGCCATGTTAGCTTCAAGGCTCAGGTTCCTTTGGCAGTGATTGCCAGGCCGTGGCAAGGCGAAGCTCAAGGGCAAAGGCAAAGGCTGGGAGTCAACGGGGGGACCCGAAGGACCCGAAGGACTCGAAGGACCCGAAGGACCCGAAGGACCCGAAGGACCCGAAAATGGATTGACATTAACGGACTGTTTTGTGTATGTTTGTGTTCAGAATGTTCAAACATCGCCAGGTTAGAAGGTGACTTGCTCCAGTTCTTCCGTTTGCATCAATGAACGAGGATGAAGTAGGATGACGTTCTTGTGACATGAACAACTCTCCTGCCAGGTTCAAAGCCCGAGAAGAGCCGTCGCGGAAAGAAACCAAAAAGATGCATCCGAAATCCATCCTGGCTAGTTACACACTGAAAAGACCCCAGAAATGCATAGCCATGGATAGCCATGGTGAAGCACCGTCGCATTGCGACATGAAGTTCTGTTCTTGAGAGTACCCATGGATACCCATGGTGTGATCCGGGATACATCAAGGAGCAGGGGGCTGCAATTGACACAGCCAAATCTGCAGGACATGAGTAGAAAACAGCTAAACACGAGGTCGGTGGAAACATATTCCTTTTGGACTTTTAGGATCTCTTAGGTATACCTTTTTGGATACTAAAATAGTAAGGTATACCGTGTAGCATGGTGTAGATACAAGGATTCCATTGTCGGATCCTATAGATTCCCTACTTCTATAGGTTTTGATAGTGAAACCTATTGATTCCCTATGGATATCCCATGGATTTCTATCGTTTTTTTTAGTGAAACGTGGGATATTTCAAGCCCAGGTTCTCCTGCGGAGACGGGCACCACGGAAGGATGCAGGGCACGAAGGAGGGGCGGCTCGGGACCTGGGAGTCATGGGGGGATCTCAATTTTCTCGCTACCCTCTGGTAAACATACTAGTAGCTATTGAAAATGGCCATTGAAATAGTGAGTTTCCCATCAAAAATGGTGATTTTCCATAGCTACGTTAAATTACCAGAGGGTATCTTTAATGATGACAAATGTCCTGTTTTGGGGATTTGAAGATCACTTGAAAAAGTATCTGTTGGAGATATTTGGAGATAATCGAAGGAAGTTTAGAAGTCAAACTTCCGACAATATGGACAGATGAAAAGCAGAGACGGGAAGAGTCAGAGAGAAGAGAAGAGTAGAAGAGAGAAGATGAGAGAAGAGAAAGAGTCAGAAGAAAGAAGCTCAGATGCGCGAAAAGGTAGGAAAGTCGCGAAACACTGTGTTTTTCCAATGATTTGTGGCTCCGGAGGGTCGAAAAGTAGGCTTGCTAAAGCGGCGGGTGCGGAGCCATCTGGCCAGATGAGAGATGAAAAAGTGCACGCCGTTGTGGCGCGAAGCACATAAGTGAAAAAGCTAAAAATACCTCACGTTCGGAGAGCTTTTGGAAGTTGAGATGTCGAAAAAGTGAACGCCGTTGTGGCGCGAAGCACATTTCGAAGTCAAAATGTACACAACACACCATTCTCGGACCACTTTTGGAAGTTGAGATGTCGAAAAAGTGCACGCCGTTGTGGCGCGAAGCACATTTCGAAGTCAAAATGTACAAAGCACACCATGCTCGGACCACTTTTGGGAGTTGAAAAAAGTGCACGCTGTTGTGGCGCAAAGCACATTTCGAAGTCAAAATGTTAAAACACCAGGGGGTCGGACCACTTTTGGACGTTCAGATGTCGTTTCGCGTGGCAGGCGCAAGGGATTGTGCACCTTGTCAAAAGTCAGCAAAACGTGAGGGTCGTGGAGCATTTTCAAAGACCATGGCAGGCGTGGGACATTTGCAGACGATCTGCAAAGATGCCTTTTCCGTGGCAGGCGCAGTACAAGAGACATTTTCATCAGAGCTGTTAGGAGGTCCGGGCGCTCAAAGCACATTGGTACGAGGCCGTCAGCTCTGCACTCAACTTTCCATTTTTGAAGGAAGTCTCGCAGAATCGCTTCGTTTTTGATGTTGTCAACGTCGAAATTCGTTTCTGACGTTGTCAAGTTCAAAAATTGAGGATGTCTCGCAGAATTGCTTCGTTTTTGACGTTGTCAACTTCAAACATTGAGGACGTCTCGCAGAATTGCTGCGTTTTTGATGTTGTCAAGTTCAAAACCTGAGGACGTCTCGCAGGATAGCTTCGTTTTCAAGCTTGCAGATAGACAGGTAGATAGATAGACAGACAGACAGACAGAGAGAGAGAGAGATAGATAGATAGATAGATAGACAGATACATAGTTAGATAGACAGATGAGATAGATAGGTAGATAGATAGATAGATAGATAGATAGATAGATGGATTGGATTGGATAGGATAGGATAGGATTGGATTAGATTAGATTAGATAGAATGATCGAATAGATGGATAGATGGATAGATAGGCAGATAGATAGACAGATGGATAGATAGATAGATAGCTAGCTGGATGGATGGATGGATAGATAGATTGGGTTAGATTTGGTTAGATTAGGTTAGATTAGATTAGATAGAATGATAGAATAGATGGATAGATGGATAGATAGGTAGATAGATAGACAGATGGATAGACAGATAGATAGATAGATAGATGGATAGATAGATAGATAGATAGATAGATAGATAGGTAGATAGATAGATAGATCGGTAGGTAGGTAGGTAGATAATCAGAGAAAGAGGAGAAAAAGAGAGAAGGAGAGAGAAAGAGAGGAGGCCTCAACCACCTTTCGGTCCATCAGTGGATTCGCTCTGCCATCCGTGATTCACAACAACCAACCTCTCCTATAGGTTTCCTATTTTTGAAACTTCCCCACCGCCTTGTGCGACCCTACTGGTATCTTTAATATAGTTGGGTGATGTTCAACTAGGAAGTTTACCAACCCCTGATTAAGTGGGAATGTCTTTACATTACTCTTTAATGGGATGATGCCTTTTAATGGGGAAATGGGGAAAACTTTTGGGGAAATTGTCGTGATAGGCGATAATGTTATACCACAATTTTGAGAGACACCCATTTTGATAAAGAGAAATGACAGAATGCTGTTGACAAAAACCTAGCAGGATGAGTTTGTTGCCGTGCAACTTCGACTACCTTGCTTCGTCACCAGAAAGTTAGCGGGGAGTCCTCCTGTATTCTCTTTGGCAGGAACCATCACTTTTGACAAGTAGGCATTTTTTTTCATGGCCCCTACCAATTTCAAACAGGACTACTGTACTGCCCCCAACATCCCCCAACGAGGATTCCATGCATTTATACCATAGATAACTGGCCTGGCACATGAATCATCATGAATCCATGCCCCAGGAGACTTTCTGACAAGAGAGGTGAACTGGATCCACTAAGTGGATTTGGTGATCAGCCACGGGCATCGCAACTGAGTACCATCGTACCGATTCAGTAGGCGACCAGGGCGACTCTGGGAGACCACCGATGTCTCCACAGAAACCCTGATGTTTTTTTTTGCAGCTGAGAACTCTGGGATCACCTCGAAACGGAAACAGATTCTCCTTGTGTCATGTGAGTGCAAAGTCATTAAGAAAACGATGCAATTTTGCAATTTGGTTTTGATTGATACTGATGATACTGATCCATTCCAGGGATGCGGACTCGCACACATCCTGGATGTGAAATGCCACTCAGCTGCTGTTGAAACTCCCTTTGATTGATCCAGTGCGTACTGTCGCTTTCAAGTCTCACAACGTTCGCCACTGCATGCGACCCGACGTTGGGCACACCCGGCGATGCTGTTGGTGTCTTTTGGCTTGGGATCTTCAGAATTCACCCAGGCATAGCAAGCCTGGGGCCGATCATGACATGACAAGTCTGACAAGTCGCGGATTTCCCCACTGATGGGCCATCAAATCTTTTCGACATCTGACCTTGTCTTGACGCATTCTGGGGTCAATCTGACGCATTATTTGCACAAATAGTACACAAATGGGTACAAAGCAAAACCTTATAGTCCAGCCAAGCGAGACGGCGACCAGACAGCTATGGGTTGCGCTACTAAAGCCCAGAACATGTTGAACCGACTTATATTCCTTTCTTGTAAATCGAACGATCATGTGGTAAACCCAACAATAAACCTCTATTGGGATGGTTTATGGATGTTTATGGCATTGGGTTTACCGCATTCCATATTTGTTCATTAAAGACCATGATTGCACTGTCGAAGCAGTACAAAGCTGTTGAAGTATCAGGAAGTCCCAGTCCCACCGTCATTCGACCGAGTTGCTTATCGCCCAAGTTCTCCCCGTGAGCAGCTATCAGCTTGGGAGGGCAAGGGCCAAGAATCCAGCGCCCAGCTGAAGTTACCGAAATGGATTTGGGGATGTCTGAAAGTGGGGGAACCCAACTTTGAAATTTAATGCACACAACTGTCATAAATTCCTGCAACTTTCCGAAAGTGTCCAAGCTTTTGGCAGGAATACTGGTGGGGATCGACCATTTTGAGACATCCATTTGTACATTTTCTCCCCGAATTCAATGTGAGCAGCGACGCAAAAAAGCTCTATGCTGCCATCTTTGGAAATTTAGGAATGCAGAGGATAGATCTTTACAGATCTTTATAGAATCTTGTACATTGGGAACTGCCACCCACTTCTGGTGGCTCAACAGCCTCGGGAGAATCATGCTTTTGCTCCCTAACCGAGGCGGGGAGTGATCGATGAGCAAAGATGAATGATTGAGCTTTCGGTGGACTTCTTTTAGTCCAATGTTTTTTGCGAATTTTGCGGGAGACAGTCTGGGGGAAAGCTATTTTTGCGAGATACTGAGTCTTGTTCCAGCAATAAGCACACGCTGATCATCGCTGATCGGGGTTGACCTGGATGTTCGTTGTAGATTCTGAAACCAAACCATGTCAATTCACCTGCGGATTTGGATCTCCACTTTCGTTGGTAAAAACGAGCGATTTGGTAAACACAGCAGGGTTTGTACAACCCACTGCATTTTGATCTCTTTCAGATGTTCATTTCTTTGGGCCCTTCCATCATTCTGGTGGGCCAGCCTGTTCCTCAGTCCAGGATATGTACCGATACCGTACTCAACGTGATGGTGCAGACTCCACACCATCTATGGCCTTTTGTGCTCGTGGTGTGGCACTTGGCGCAAGGCCGATCTATCCGGAATTTCAGACTCAGGGGGGTGGGCCACTTTACTGTAGAAACCATCCAATTTGTTGACCCGCAATCGCAATGATCCTAGCAACTCTTCAACCCAATAAGGCCAATAAAATCCACTAAGGAGCTTGTTGATGGGTCATTGCTGGTCATAGTCACTGAGCCTCACTGAGCCTGAGGTGAGTCTGCAACTATGCCACGGCTTGCTTCTCCCAGCCTTAGGGGAGGCCAAGTGCTCAGACCACCAGATGTCAACTGCGCAGATGAATTGGTTGCCAGCCTTGCCAGCGGCTGCAAGGTCCGTGGTTAAAACATGTTAAAACCTGAGGTCACAAAGTCCTGCTCAAATCTGTTGGTCCAGTTGGAGTGCCTTGTCGAAAAAAGGAATCGCCGTGGAATGTTGAGCACCATTGGGCACCGTTGGGCACCGTTGGCAGCTGCGCTGAGGAGATACTCTGACCAGGAGCTCCTAGAGTCCTGCGAGGCGAGGGATCCCGACTTTGAAACCACATGACCTATTGGTGGTATATTGATGGTAAATGTTACCATATCATATATAGCATACATGGATCCTATGGGTGATTTTGGTGGAGTTTTGGTGTCTCCAAGCCCCAAGTGTTTGCAGCCCGCTTGGCTACGCCGTGCCGCCGTGTTTCGTATTACAATGGTGAGAACGGTGCAGGGGAAAAGCCCATATCATCCCATAGCCCATGGGCCATCATGGGCCTATATTTTCTTGATCGTTCACTGGTGTTTACAGAGGGGCTAGGCAGCTGGTTGATTTCTTCTTTGCGACTAACAAAGTGCTGACCATGCAGCTCAGTGAGTTTAGAAGCTAAAACATGCTAAAACTGCTAGACTCAATGAATCTTCTGCAGAAGACTTTTGCGAGAGTTTTCAGCCTTCGCCATTTTGGGCTCAAACCTTGTTTTGGTTTTCACTACTAAATGCTTTGACCTAGGTCCCGGACATCCAACAAAACAAATACAGTGACATGTCAGAAAACCATTTCGTAGAGAATCATGATGTATCAATGAAAGGTCAAGTAAACATCACTAGACCCGTGATCAACATCTAGTAGAGAGGTAAAAAACATATGTTAATCATATTATGTCAAGTGGTCATTTTTTGCAGAAACCACTTAGTAGAGATTTCAAAAAATGCCAGAAACCAATTAGTAGAGGTGATTTTAGAGGTTGCAAAGTAGGGTTTATGAACCGGTCAAAATCAATGAGAAAAAATGAACAACCATTTAGTAGAGATTGCATTCCGTTGCCCCCGATGGCCATGTGGCCAATCAATGTCCATCCAGATGAGCTAGATCAATCCGGATAATAGATGCAAAAAAAATACAGATTGGACCCAGTGTATTTCTCTACTAAATGAATGGTTTTGGGGTTTTGGTCGAGTCATGTTGGTCCCCGAACTTGTGGTCAATTGAGGAGCTCTACTACATGGAACAGGGTGTTTGGTCAAGTCATGTTGGTCTCAATTTTGCACTTAAGCTGAACCAGATGCCACCATCTAGTAGTGAAATTCGACCATGCATGCACAACCATTTAGTAGAGCTTGAGGCTATGCAAACCGTTTATTCACTACTAAATGGTTACACAGCCCCATCCTGAAATTCACACGGGGATTCACAAGTGAATTATACTTCCTTTGGCTTCGCTGAAAGGCGGCGCGTGGTAGGGATGGTGCCATGGTGTTTCGCTTCTGGCTCTGCCTGTTTCTGCAGTTGTGTGGACCTTGGAAGCTTCACTATGCTGTCACCTCGCTAGAACCAGCGATGCAAGGCCCACGTCCCTTTTGGGCGGTGCAGCGTTGGTGCCAAGAGAGAGGCGGGGAAGCTTCCGGTCTTTGACACGCGTAGAACTTGCCACAGATGAGGAGGGTGCAATTAGAATGACTAGATGGCAGATGATGGCAGTGTTGCTAGTGTTGCGAGAGCGCGGATTGCAAATTGCAATTGGCAAATGTTCAAGTTGAGTCGTTTTTTTCCCCATTTTCAATTCCTAATCATTTGTCAGCGTTGCAACATATCCCAAGTTCAGATGAATTCCTACCAGGTTTCCTCTGAGGGTGGAAGGGTGCTGCACTGAGACGGGACATGACGGGACTGGAGTGTCAAATGCTGGTTGTGCCTCAAAATTTGGGCGCCGCAAAGTGATTTCTATACTCTGAAAATCTCTGAGATGAGACAAATTAGACAACTACTTTGGGATGATATCCATTGATATCCTTCGAATTATAGAACTTGTGCTAAGTACCGTAATTATGCATCTTTGAAGCATTGACCTGATCATGTCGAGTGGAAGGCTTCAAATTGCCAAGGCGTTTCATTGTGGATCGTCTTGGAGAGCGTGTGAAGTGGGCGTGGGGGTCTTGGCCGCGGTCAAAGCTGTGAAGGAGCGGAGATGGAGAGATCATCGTTGGCAGAATGCCGAAACTGTCCATGCCTTTATTGTAACCTTGTGACTTCAAAGGCTTCTAGCCGTGCATAGAGCGTGCTTCAAAATTCAAAATGCTTCAAAATGCTTCAAAGTTCTTTGTGATTCCCCAATTGTCTTTGCATTGAATGGAACTTCTGAATTGGTGGGTTGACCCGCCATCTGAATTCACTTGTGATTTGAAGAATGACCACGCAATGTTCACTGCAGAACCGCACATAATGTGATCAATCCTGAAAACTGCAGGCCTTTCCAACCAAACAATTTGACTTCGAGCATCTTCAAACCCGATAAACATAGAATTTCAGGCAGGTTTGATCTGGTTTCCCCTGGCAGCAGCGGAGGTGTGTCAATTGGTACGGCCCCGAGTCCATTTCCTTCACCTTTGGAGGGTTGGAAAAACGACCAGTGGAAGATGTGGTCAGGGTCTCAGGAGTTCAAAGTAGGGGATTTCCAATCTGATTGCCATGTTTTTCTTCAAGATTTGTAATGTTGACCCGTTTCACATCGTTTTACTCTTGTCAGTTGGTGGCAAAACATGTTACTGCTAGTGCCTTGTTCTAGTGGACCAGTTGGTCAAATTTGGAGTTCTAACTTTTGAGACTGCGAGGTGAAACGCATCTCCGACCTTGGCTTCAACTGCGTCAGAGTTGCTTATAGCCTGGAAGCTCACGTGAGGCAGATGGCAGTGGTCACCAGTCAGTTCCATAACCAGTCTTTTTTCTCAGCCTTTTCAGCTATGACGCATATTGTGACATGTGTGACCCTTGGGGATTCGACAATATTCAACAATATTCAACATCATGTCCCATAGGATCCATGTATGGTAT